TTCCGTGCCGACGATAAAACCGCAAACCTCATTTGCGATTGCATTTGTCCCTCGATGCGATTTCCGGACCATGTAATCCGAACGGCCTCTCGCTTCCGTGTACCACCGACCTCATTCGGATGCGGAAATCGGTGCTCCTGGAGATTCGGGAAAGGGCTAGGGAATAACAATGAGTTACACGCCGAGACTTTCCAAAGGCTCCTAAAGTGATTGGTATCGACGCACGGGGGGAGGGGAGGAAGTAGACGGTAACGCGATTTACACGTCGAAAGGAAAAAAGACACGTTGGAAATCCTATGGCGAGGCGAAATGGGAATGCAGAACCCGGCGACACCGATACCGGGTAAATTGGATTTCGAGAATTATTAAATGTACAAATAACTCGGTGCGCGCCGGCTCTTCGGAAAGATAGAAAAAAAAATTAAATCAAGGAATAAGTAAAACCGGGAGAGGTGGAAACACAGCCGAAGATTATATCGAGATGAAATATAAATACGGAATTCAGCCGAGAAACGCGTGTTGACTGTGGAAATCGAATTTCAGAGACTGGGAGGGTAAATAGCGGCGCGAAAGACTTTTCGAAAAATACTACCTAGGGGAAGCAAGGACCGAACGTTATTTCCAAATGAAACGTAAACAGCGGATTCGGGGGAGATTGGGGAAATTAATTTCAACGATCGCTATCGACGAACGGCTGCGTGTCGAAAAAGAGCTCGACTCGACCTCGAAATTGAATATCGATACGCCGTTCTTCGGCGAGCGGTCGCGAAAATTGGATTTCAAAGTGCTGTCGAAGGAGCGGATAACGACGCCGCATCTTCGACGATCGCTTCCCCTCTCCCTGCCTTTGATTTACGCAATCGTTTAACCCGCGAGTCCCGATCTCTCGGAAGCCATCGGGAAATGCCCTCCAACCTCTTTCAGAAGTATCCCCTGCCTTCCCGGTGTCCTCTTCTTTCCTAGTAAATCTTCAGGAATTTTCCTCGAGTGTTCTGCCAGCTACTCCTCTTATTTTATTCTCTACTTCTTGTTTTATTTTATTTTATTTTATTTTATTTTATTCTCTACTTCTCCTGATGCGTCCCCATCGGGTGGACAAATCGCTCGATCCGCGGCAAATCCGGGGTCTTCTAGTCCCCTGGAACTCGAGTCTGGCATTTAATTGCAAACAACACTTGCAATTACCCTAGCGCCGTAAAACGTGTAGGCTTCCCTCGGACGTCGTTTCGCCATCCCAAGAATCCTCGTTGTCCCCATCCCAACGAAAACAGATGCGGAAGGCACGTCAAAAGCTCCTTTCTTCCCCATCCACGAGAGGGTGCGTTCTCGTCGACCCTCCTCCGGGTTGAATCCTCGGCAGTCCTCTTCATTACCGGAGTGCCTTGCTTACCGACCCATTGTCAAGGTGATCCTCTCCATCCCGTCGACGGCCCTTCGGGTCGTCCCTTCTTCGAGAGGGCGCGTCGTCGAATACCAATCCCCACCTCGGAGGCATCCGTGACCACCGGCTCGAATTTCCCTCCCCTGCAACGAGCGGGTTGGTCGTTAAATTAATCATCTCCCGGGAGACATCGGCGTTTCGTTCGGAGATTCAAACGGCGCCCTCTTTCTTTCCCTCTTTCCTCCGAGCTGATTCCTGCCCCTGACCTACCCTCTCTCTATTTGCCAAAGAGAAACACACATCCTTCCTCGGCTTTTGACGATCTCTTTGAGACTCTTCCCCGTACGCCCGGGGGCCGTCGTGCGCGGATCCAGGACTTCCCTGGGGATTCTTCGCTAATCCGATCACTCGCCACGATCCGCTGGGCATGAAACGAAATTCAAAGCGACACTTGGACCGGCCTCCGACTCGCTCTCCGGTGATTCGACCTGGTACATGGCTAACGAACCGGCTTGATTTTCTCCGCGGGAACACCCTTGGCCGAGGCCATGGTCCCCCTCGAGCCTTCCCCTCTGCTCCATTTTTTCGCGACGCCTCGAAAGCGTCCGGAAACGAACGTCCTTTATCGCCAGTCGAGGGCTCGGCATCTGACGGAATAAAAATAGCTGCTTTTAGAGATGACGGGGGGAAGCGGAGGGAAGGAGTTAACCTCCCTCGCCGAGGGAGGTGTCGCGAGGAATGGAGTCGATTCCTCACCGGGGCCGGCGATTGTACGTTTCCAATCCGAAGTAATCCCTTTCCTCGTCTCCACCGGTGATTGAAACGCTCCCGGAGAATCGGACGTGACCGCTTCCTGCCGCGTCCCCGAATTCCCCGGATCGCCATGACGGAATCCGCCGTCCGATTGGGAGCGGATCCAAAGGAGACGTCATTTCCTCCTGCCGCGTCTTCTTCTCGAGGCTCTCCGCTCCTCCTCGTTATTTCGGGAGGCTACCTGGCCACGGGAAATGAAATGAAAAAGTATTACGGAAACCCTTTTGGAGTAGATACCGTGTACCGGTATCTACCTTGGTCGCGTCTCCTTTCCACGTGTTCGTCGGCGAGTCGCGGACGCCGTCCCGTGTAGGAGGCCGCCATGACGGTTCAGAGTCCACCCGGACCAATCGAATCCGAGCCCGTTGACGTCTCGACGAATCGCCGTCCCGGCGGACCTTGGCCGCGACAGGCGCGGCCGCGGAGGTTTCCCTCGAAACCGAGAATCGATCGGGTCCTCGGGCTGGCGCCTACGCGTCGACTCTCGCGAGGACTCGGACCGTCGCCCTCGCCGACCTCTCTCGACCTTACCTACGTCCTCGACCGATAGTGGCAGCCCTCTTTTCGGGGATATCCCGGGTGGCGGGACCCGCCAGCGGGGGAACTTTCGAGAATCCTCGGGGGAGTTGGAATTTTTGACGGGCAGGTTCGCGGGCCGCCGCAATGGCGGCCGACTCCGCCGGTGGCGCCGCCCGGTGGCGCGACCCCGTACTACGCCGGTGCAGTCTCCACCTGGCCTAAAAGCGCGGAACACCTAGCGCCCCGGGACTCTCCCGAAACCTGCCGGCGATTCCGAGGCCTAAGCGATCCCCGACCCCGGACGCACCCACCAGGAGACGCGTAAGTCACCGGCGCGACCCCTCGAGGTCGAGGGCCTGTTGGCCACATCGATCGCGACCTCCGACCCCGCGAGACCTCCCGCCGCCCTGTTAGACCGAAATTTTCGCCCCGAGAATTTCTTTCCCACCGATATCCTAGGTAGGATTTGATACCAAGATTTGGTCCTAGGGGTTAGATCCTAGGATTCGGTCCCAACGTAACTCCTGTCGGGACGGGTTGGTCCTCTCCGTGAATTCACCTGCCGGCGAGACCGCGTCCCGGCAGTCTCCTGCTCTATTAAGTTAAGGCTAATAACGCGTTATTACCGCCTGTATACTAGGTGTATATCGCGCCTTAAACCGCGTCCAGGTAGCTCCTAGTTCCCGGGGACTTTTACGCCGGGAATTGCTCACCTTCTTCGCCTTAACGCGCTTTACGCCCGGATTATTAATCGCGAATATGGCCGGAATAACGACGCGGCTCCGGTCGCGTCGTTACTCCGGAGATTATCGCAACCCTTTCTCCGACCTGGGCTGCGGAAATTCACCGGGCCGAGCACGGCGCGCCGGTAAATTGCCGAGATATTGTCCGTTTAACCGAGTACATATCGCCGTCTCGTTTTCCTCCTGCCGTCTATTTTTTTTTTTATATCCCTTTCTTCTCTCTTATTTTCGCAAAACGCCCGCGCTGGGATGTTCCAAAAGGGGGGAACTGGCAGGGCCAGCCGGTACCCATCGGTGGCTCCGGGTAATAATTTCCATTTTCAAGGTATAATCGCGCGACGTGGAACGGCGATTATCCTCCCTGGAGATATCCTCGGGGGAGATCGATCCTCTTTCGGGTCGACGATCGGAGCCCGTCCTTCCAGGTAGTGCCGATTACGCGACCTGGATGGGGCTTTCCGATGTCGGGGATTTATCCTCGAGGTGGCGGAAACTCCCGGGGGGATCCTGGAATTTTTGGGGATTTTCTGGATATTTTTTTTTCCTCGCCGAGGAGGCTCGAAGGGAGGCCGGCCAAGTTCAGGGTCGAGCGGCGAGATCAAAGCCTTCCTCGGAGATCCCGAATGCCCGTGGCGTCCTCCTGCTTAAATATTCCAGCGGCGCCGTAAACGCCGGAAGCCGACGACGTCTCCTTCGCTTCCGTCTTCCCTTTCGGGCCCTTTCCTCCCCCGGGACCCCCGATATCGGGCCGATCGCGCTCTCTCTTCCGGTTTTGCGCGGACGACGGCGCGCAACCCCCGAGCGAGATCGATAATTAAACTTTCCGTGCTTTCGCCTCCCTCTCGCGCCCCGTCGGGGCGAGCCGAGCTTTTACTAGCCCCGCGCAAAAGGAGAAACCGCTTTAACGAGATTTTGCGGAAAAAAAAAAATAGAAGAAGCGGGAAAATGGGGCCCGTTTGGTTATCGCTGTCGCTTTGATCTCCTCCGTCGTCGGTCTCGTGATTCCGGCTCCCGCTCGATCTCGCCTCTGGGAAACCGATTCCAGACCTTCCGGGTTATTTCGACCTTCTCCTGGGGCGAGCCGAAATCAGAGAAGGATCGCTCTCTGCTCGGATTGAAAATTCATCTCGTAGAGATGGTGGAGGGAAACTCGATCGCGGGCAACCCGGTATCCGTGCACCGGCTCGAGAGATTCAGCATCGGCTTCGATAATCGATGGGATAAACCCGATATCCGATGATCCAGTCGAAGACTCGCGATCCGAGTTCACGCTCCCTCGGACCGAGCTCGAGAAATTTATGGGCTCTTTCTTTGACGAGCGAGCGTGCCACGCGGTACACGCCAAGTTCACCGAGGGTCAAGTGGCGACCGAGGAGGAACGACATGAAATATCGCCGGCAGGGTTACGATAATTTGCGAGCCCTTTTCTTTTCCATCGGGCACCTCCCACGGTAGGGAGGGAATTTTTTCCGAATTTTCTCCGGTCTTCTGAAATTTTTTCCGAATTTCTCCTCGACTTATTCCGCTCTTTTCCTGAGTTTCAGAAGGAGCAGGCCAGCAAGGAGAGATCGACGGGCAGCACGACGTACAACTCCTTCCCCGACGACCTCTACCTGGACGACCAGGACGGATTGGAGGGCTCGGGTCGAGGAGGCGGCGAGGTCAGGGACGACCTCGAGGCTTCCGGCAGCGGTCTCGGTCCCGACGACGAGGACGGCGACGATGGCCGAGGTAACGAAGGTCTATCCTCCGAGTGGGCGAGAGAATTCCTCTTCCGGGGAGTAGAACGATACCTCTCGATCTGTATTCACCTGGGGGAATTCTACTAGTGCAAGCTCCGAGGGGGAATATTTTTTGACGGACGCGATGACGGAAAAACGCGACGTCGATCGACCGGTCCTCGCGATTGACACGTTGATCCGGCTCTTTTTCCAGATTTCACCAATCCGAACAGGATAGAGCCGGCGCCCGATAAACCAGTAGAGCCGAAGACCACCTACGTCGAGGAGACGAACACCAAGGTGAAACAGGTACGGGGGGAAAGTCGCTTTTCGACGTGGACTTCGTTCAGGAGTTCAGAAATCGCTCCGGAACGAAATCGAGGGACGAGTAACGACCGCTTCCCTTTACAGCCCAGCGTCGTCGAGACGGTAAACAGGCCCGACAACGAGGTCGACCTGGTCGAGCCCTCGGGTGGCGACGACCACGAAGAGGACGCGGAGGACACCCACGAGGTCTACATCATGAATCCGAAGCACGAGGATCGCGCGAGCTCCTTCTTCGCGCAGCCAGGAGTTCTCGCCGGTAAACTGCGGATAACTCCACCTCGAGCCTCTTCCTCGTCGCCATCGACACCTGCCTGCCGAACCCTCTTCCCGGCACCGTCGAATTTAATTCACGAATTTCCATCCACGATTCCCTTCGTGCCGCCCTTATTGTACTCCCTCTTCCAATCAAGCTGGATTCTAGTTAAAATTGGACGGACGAAGGGAACCGAGCCGTGATTCAAAACCCATCGATTCCAATTAAAAGCGAACAAATGCACCTCTGTTGGAATATGGGTTATGGGTCATGGGTCGCGGTTGGTCGTAACCGAAGAAGAACTTCGGGACGCGGAAATGGCTCGTTTAGAAGTCACGTGTCGGTTCTCTTCTTTTTTATTTCGGATCTTAGAAGAAGAGATCTAGCGAAAACCAACTACGGTCAGTTTATCGTTCGTTTCGATTGCAGCCGTGATCGGAGGCGCGGTGGTGGGCCTGCTGTGCGCCATCCTGGTGGTGATGTTCATCGTCTACAGGATGCGCAAGAAGGACGAGGGCTCGTACGCCCTGGACGAGCCGAGAAGATCGCCGGCGGCGCAGGCGTACCCCAAGCCCGGGGCACCGCACCACAACCGGGAGTTCTACGCTTGAGGGCCAGGGCCCCTGGAAATCGTCAGGTCGGGCCCCGCCGACCTCGGGACGAGGAGACACTGATCGCGCGAGGACCTGGCGAGCGACCGTCGCACCTGGAATCAGACGCTCCCGGGACCCGGGGCTGAGCCGGGGGTCGAGCGATGATCCCCGACCGGCGACACGAGGTCGCCCTCGATCGACTCCTCCGACCCGAGAAGCGCCTCGAGGGACCTCGTCGGCTTCTCCAGGGCGCGTCCCGAGGCCGGTGGAGGCAACCTACGGCCGATTCCAGATGCGCTCGCCCAACTCGTGTAGCCTGTAGGAATGCTCGCGGAAGGTGGACGTAAGGTGGACCAGACGGAACGGCGGGACGATCCGAGGACGAGCGTCGCTCGTTTCCGCTCGACTCGACTCGCCGACGACTTCCTCCCGCGAGTCGCGTCTTCGACCTCGTCGGCGACCGCTGCAACGATCGTCGTCCCCGTGCCGATGGGTGCCCAATCGATTTACGGAACCCCGGTCCGTCTCCCAATCCCGGAATGCACTTGTCCTAGAACTCGAGGGGACTCCGTCGAGGGTCCCGATGTCTCTCTCCTTCTCCCGACCGTCTTTCGGCTCACTCGAAATCCCTCTCGGTTGCAAGCGAAAGGGACCTCGATTTTGTCGGCCGGCGCCTTGTACGGCCACCGAGTCTCGTTTCTCCTGGCGCGTCCGTTTATGGAAGCGTTGCCGACATCCGAGATCTCTCTCGCGACCAACAAGAGGTGCAATGTCGACTCCCTTCGGCGAATCAAATAGTCACGTCCGTATAAAGCGCGTTTAACGCGTCGCATAAAGGCGAGCCTGTTCGGGAGTAAGCGTACTCGCGAATGAGTCATTAGGCAAGGTCGGTGGAATTATCCTCTGGGGGCACCTATGGCACGGGACGGTGGTTTCTATGCAGACGACTCGTAGGAAGGAGGCGAAGTCGCTCGCGAGTTGATCGGAGATTAACGCCGGTTGATCGGGGGTTAACGCGAGTCGATCGGAGATTAACGCGAGACGCGGAAACGATTGCCGTTGCGCCTCGTGGCCTCGGCGGGCGATCCTGCTCCCCGAGGAGAGGAGAAAACTTTTACTAATTAATTAATTTAACTTGTGTAGCTAGAGAGAGAGAGAGATAGATAGAGCGCGTGTGTGTGGGAGAGTGCGTGAGAAAGGAAGAGAGAAAGAGTGGGAGAGAACGAGCGAGAGGTGGAAGGCATTAATCTAGGCGAACGAGATGCGATTGCTCGCGTTTCCCGGCTTGTTTCTACTTTTCCAAGGCGCGAGGAGAGATGCGTTTCTCGACAACTCGCCGGAGGAGGAAACGATAACGCGATGTCGACCGGTCGCGGAGACGTCCTTTGGGATTTGAAGGGAAGCTCAACCCTTACGGCCTTGAATCTTCCTTTATTCCGATGGTGGGGAAAGAAAAAAGGAAAAATGTAGAACTTGTTCGCGGGTATAGGCGATGTTATCGTTTACTCGGGCGAATGCAAGATGTGTAAGAAGTTTCTAATGTAACGATGTCGCGAGATACCGAATCGCCAACTTGTATTTGCCTTTTATGTACGAGGATGTCAGGGTCGAGGGGTTGGGGGGTCCTGCGTGGGATTTTTTGGAGAATTATTACCGATGGGCGAGACCGTAGAATTTCATGCAGGGACGCGTCTCACGGAGGAATGATCTCGAAGAGAAGGATAGTTTTATTCTTACCGCGTCCGACAGGGCATATCACGAGGAGACGCGTTTTAGCTAAACGTCGGACCACCTCCGACTGCACCGCATTTGCCATATTATCGTTTAAAATGGAGGAAAACGAGACAGCGTCGCTCCGAGGATTTCTTCTCGATATTTATTAAGAGGGCCCGAGTGCCGGCCCGACGCGGGGGGCCGTGGTTATTTATTCATTGTTTTACCCCTCTCTTTCATTTCACCTTGGACCTCCCGATTCTCCTAGACGAACCTTCGATCCGCCATCTTGAGAGAGTCACGGTCAAACCTTCCCCTGTTTGCGAGAAACCCTCCTTTTTGCCCGTGAACGACCGACGGCATCGGGAAGTGTTTCGAACAAAAGTTGTTCCGCGTATTGTTCCGGACAACTTTTGTCAGGCAGGTTTTCTTGTGTCGCGGGACCCGTTCGAATTAATCGACTTCGCAAGGGGTGTTTACTGAATTCCGACTCGATGCGGCAATGCCGTATTTACAACCCGTCGTTTGTCCGTCCTCCTGTCTTCTGTACCGCATCCGCGTTCTTCGATTTTCCTCCGTTGCTTCATTTCTCGACACCGTCCTATCCGGTACCGATGCAATCGGCCAAATATCAAGCATTGGTTTTGCAAGGTCGTATTTTCCTTGTAGATCAATTTTCGAGCGGCTGTTATCCATTCGGAGGCTCCGCTAACGCGTATTAACGCCGAGGTTAGGAAATCGAGAGATTAATATCATGTCGATACTGCCATTTATTACGTAAGAGAATTGAGATTTGGTACGAGTCCCTCGCGATTCCGCCGTATTCCATTTTAGGTCTCACGTTCGACCAACGATTTAATATACCCGTTGCTTTACTATCGATGATTTTAAATCTTTCAAGTTGAATCTACTCGCAGCCTTTACCGATCTCCGGTCTATTCTTTCTGTTCCTTTTTTTTTCTTCTTTTACACCAGTTACTTGCGACGTCTCGCATTTGATAACCACATTGTATTAGATTTCTCCTCGAAAGTGAATTGTGCTTTCCGGAACGCAGCCGGAAGTGCTAGTCGAGATCTTTATACGAGTAAAACCATGACCTTGGCGCCATTGAGTCGCGAATGATGATTCCGCGCGAATGCGCTTGAGAGGTACCGATAAAAAGCCGATCAATGTATTCCTCTTTGCGAAAACAAAATTGCGCAATACCGAGATAGCGCGTCCAACGTAAAAGATAAAAACCGCCGTTCATTCCAGACACGAGTTCTCTTGAAACGCGTAACACGATAAAATAGTACTCCGTTCGATGCACCGAATTCTTCCGATCAGCTGATCGACCAAAAACATACGTCAAATCGAACTTAGTCCAGCGGACGTTTCTCCGCATTTTCAAGGGAAAAGTGACTTCTCCTTTATGTCGATCCACCGACAGATGCACATTGACCAGAAACCATTTAACATCGGCTAGGTCGACTTTTTTTATTCCAAGTAGCACCCTCGTCGATCGGATAAAAATCGACGAGCCGTGTAGTAAACGTAAAAAACTAACGTTAAGAGATATCGCTTACGGTAATTAGATTAACTAACGGTATAATCGTTTAAGAGTCGCTTACTTTGTCCCCTTCTTCATCGATAATTTATTTAATCGCTCATCGGTGGTTCCCGCCTCGAAACCTCCTTATCTTCCCCTTCTTCTCTGTCACCTTCCCCCGTTATCGTCAGTGTTTACGTTGCTGCTGTACATTTTTTTTTTCTCCCCTCTTTTCCGATTTCCACTTCTTCGGGGGTTCCATGTCGAAATGCCCCTCCTGAGCCCGCGAGGAAAATCTCACACTCCTTTCCTTGCTCTCGAGCAAGGTAAACGGAACCTGGAACTGGATTGTAATCTTTATCATTCTAATGATATATAGACAGAACTCGACAGACATAAGTAATTAATTGTCCACGTGGGATCAGGGTCAACGCGAGATGGTCGGTCCTTCTCTGGATAAATATTTAACAGGAGCGAGGTACGTTAAATTAAACCCCGACATTGATGGCGATCCTCTCGATTCAACAATTGTTATCGTCGCTCCGTATTTCCTGAAATTAACGAGAACTGCCGTTCGTCGCGTGTTGAATCGAAGAGGAGACATTTACTCGTCCCACGTGGCTCATTAATACTCCAAGAACTCTGTCTACATTCTAAGCGAAATAATAATTGTAATGAAATCATATTTTATAAGAGGTTGTATTCCATAACACTATAGCGACTAAAAGATGTCAAACTAGAGAATCATAGGCCAGGTGGACGAATGAATAATAATTTTAAACTGATAATATTTAATGATAACGGTAATTAACAATGTTACTTTTTTAAGTGTAAGTATCGTTTCCCTAGCGCATACATATATGTGTATATGATATATATACATTTATATATATGTACTTATTCCCACGTCAGTGCGGTAAAGTGTCATTTTTATGACTCCGAACTTGTCACTGGTTGTTGCTTTACTGCCTTTAAAACATTTCGGGCAAGGTCTATCGATCGAGCATACGACAGGGATTATCGGTTTTATTGCGTGGTCCAATTATCTAGGATACTGCTGATTTCTTTTAAGTAAATTATTGATTGCCCGATGATGCGCTGGTATAGAAAATATTAAACATTCGGTGTGTTAGGATCTCAGACATTTTATTACAAAACGTGTTGAACGTTATCACCGCCTAAAGGTATACCTTATCTTCATTGGTTAGCGGACCTTGCTTCGAAGGCTAGAACACTCACGTTCCGTTAACTACATGCCGGTACAAGGAATCGCGTTATTTATAGGATGCTTCGGTGTTCGCCTGATAAGACGACTTTCCGAAGTTGAGAACTTTTGTGGACAAAAAGAAGAAAAAAAAGAGAGAGAGAAAAATACGAAGGAAGAATATAGGATTCTCGCGTTATCGCTCTCGCAGGCGCGTACGATAATAACACATTATTATTAATTAACAGGAATTAATAATAATTGCACTATACTAGTATGATAACAAATAATATTGTATGTCGTCGCTCCTATTCTGTAAATAAACACTGTACTATGTAAGGTACTTGAGGAGTCGTCCTTCGTACATATGATCTCGAAAATTTTTTACAAAAGCTACTGGCGGTCCTACGATTTTTTCGTCTCCTTTGAGTATTATTGCTAAAAGATACTTCGATTTTCTCGCCGTAAACGTCAGGGAATATCAGCGCTATTAAAAGTGTAAAATCATCTAAACGGAACTACTTGGACCATCGTGTTTCCATCCATTAACCTCTCTTATTTCTTACTAAAATTCGTATAAAATATACTATTTGTAATAACCATTTATCACCCATGCGATCACCATACAGCATTATTTTAATTAAATTATTCGGTCTTTGCCGTTTTCTGGCCAGACTTAATGGAAACACTTTGAGCTGAAATAAACTCCCGATAAAGCTACTAATATCATCTCTTCTGCTCGCCATAGTTAGGCAAACAGATTTGCACATCTTATTGGTTAAACTCGGAAGATTAATTGGCATAACAAGTCCATGATAATCTATCGCTAGCTTACATAATATTTCATCGCGATACTTGACCCTTTAATTCCTTCGCGTACTTAGTACGGCTGTTTTTTATATCACTTTGAATACATAGAAAATATTGTGATTCCCATACCAGACGATATTCATTACACGTTGATGCGCCAGGCACGTAACATTTTCCTTACAAGACCCGTACATAATACTTGATCAGCAACGAGTAATATTTGTAAACACCGGTCTTGTCGTAACTATAAATTGCTTTTGATAAATGGCTTCAAGTAATCGTGAAACGATTTATTGACGCTTTCTTGATTCAAAGGACTTTTCATGGCCGCTTCGAAAAGTCGCTGGTAAACATTACCGTCGTAAGCTCCCAAAGTGGAATTTAAAATCTCATCGCGTATGTCGAAACCGTCGACAAGACCGACGGCATTCGGTCGAATGGCTGCAAGTAACTCTTCGAGGCGTTTTCGGAGGGCCGGTACGTCTTTAACATCCAAAGTGGAAAACTACAATGGAATTACATCTATTAATACATCAACAGATAATAAAAACTCGCGTCGTAAAACATGAAAATCAACTTACCATTAGAAAGTCTCCGACCCTCTGCAACACCCAGTGCACGGCGTATAGTTCGCACAATTGCATAAGTACTGTATGCAATTCATGAGAAACTGACATTAAATTCCTAACGGACTCGACGAATCTCATGACCAAAAAAGACCGACAGTGAGACTCCGCGGCTTGAGCCAACTCTATGCTAGTCTGATTCCAAGCGTCTTCTGCAGGTACACCTGCACGGATCCTTCTGTCCATGTTCTCTGTAGCGGATTGAATTTTCCTACGACAATGTACGCGAAAACATTTAACTACTTGCATAAGATATGACGTAGCAATTAACGACGCGATGGAACATTAAATAACGAAAGTGTTTTTTACCCGGCAGCGACAGCTTCATGAGCGGAGACAATGCAGGTCAAAGTATTCTTCCAAGGTCTGTATTTTATCTTTTTAAAGTGACGCGTTAAGTACTCCACCGTCGGGGGCAAAGGTCGTCCGCTGGCAGCTTGTTTCCAAGCTTTCACCAAGTACCGAGCGGTTTGCAACAGTAACACAGTATTTTCTCCCTCGTAGGTACAAGCCGCGGTGACGAAGCCGTAAGTTGCTGGTAAATTGCTAGAGTCCATGTAACCGTGCCCACCACAAGCAAGGCGAACTTGCTCTATGCCTGTTGCTGCATCCGAGGTAGCCACCGATTTCAAACAACAAGCCAAGGCGTGTAACTAAAATATTCACGATATTAATCTCCTTTTCCAGTGTCTAATTACGTGGGGGAAAATGTGAAGTTAGTACCTCGGGAAGTCTCTCCAATTCTCCTTTATCGAGTTCGGCGGTAACGTTGTTGTACATCTCCCAAATCCAATCAGCAGACATAACGAAGGCATAGCACGCCGCCAAGTTGGGAAACAATTTGTACTGCTGTGTCACGTAGTCAATAATCTGCGTTTCTGGCTCGCTACGAAGAGAGTTATAATTTCATAAAATTGCATTACACGGAACTCTATGCCGCCGTCTATTCGCTTACTCGGATCTAATTTGACCTTGTCGTCTGACGGCGCTGTATCTGACAGCAATGGTCACAGCCTTTGATAAGTATCTCGATATATCCCGAATTAGGACAACGCGAACGAACATCATCGTGCCGTAGGTTAACTTATCGTTAGAAGCTTTAACGTAGGTGCCATCTTCCAAAACCTGTGAGTTCTTCATCAGCATGTTCTCCCGAGGTATCCTTACGTTTTCGAATCCGAGAAACCCATTGTTGGTCCCGTTCATCCCCAACTTTATACCAATTTCACCGATTTTGATCCCTAACAGAATATTATCCAGTTAACAAGATACTTCCATTATAATTAGCGTCACTTTCTTCCTTAGAATTACCTGGCATCGGCTCGTGTGTCTCTTCATTTCGAAGTTGTACGATAAAAGGATGCACCCCTTTGCACAGGCCATTGATGTACAGCTGTGCAACGACAACGGCGTAATTGGCAGTATGACCCACTGTAAATGATAAAAGGTATTAGTCAGAAATGATTTGTAATGAAACGGGATAAATTTAAAATGACGTACACCCTCCAGGCCACCACTTGTAAGACGTTAACGTCGGGCTGTCCAAGATAAATTCCTTCGTGGTAGAATCGTAGGTTGCAGTCGTTTCCAGTCCTCTAACAAATGTCCCGTGACCTAATTCAGTCTACAAAAGTGAAATGAAATTTATTAATTTCTAAATATAAGCTCTTCCCAGTGATTGTTATCACTCGGAGCTTACCTGAGCATATGTACCAATAATATCACACGTCCATGCTCTACCCATCCAGTATCCTTGCTGTTCATACGTGCCTTGCCCCATTATAGCTGGGATAAACATGACAAAATGTAAAGTTAAAGGATTCCCTTCCGTCATGATCGCGGTTCCCATCATGCCTCCTAATATTTGTCTGAAGAATTAATAAGAAACGTGATTAACGTGCGGAGTAAATTTGTTTAAAGCTACGCAGGGAATATTTAATAAAGCTTACGAGAATACGTCGATATCCGCTTTTCCCTCGCTCTCCAGTTCCTGCAATTTCCGAAGAACGTGGCATCCTTTTCGTAGAGCGTGTTCATAGACGTCCTTATGACTCCTGTATTTTGTAGGGATGTCGTCCCGAAACTCTGGATCGCTTATAAAATATTCCTCTGCAAATGTAAAATAGAAATCACTCAGAACTGTCGCGGGAATATATTAACATAAATATTCAATTTTTTTCCTGTACGACAAATATAATGAAGTTCAATCGCACGATGGACTTTTCCTTCCTCCTTCACAATTCGTGACTTGTTATTAGTATTAACACGAATGAATAAATATGTATGAGGCATTTTAAACAGTCTCAGTTTACGTGTGACAGTTGAATATTATGCATTCACAGGCAATTTTTAATCGGCGGATAATTTTTTCGCGAACGGTTTTATCCTTGAATGCTCCAACGATTTCTTTTCGTTAATTAGGACTTATGTCAATCTTGCTGTTACAAAGTCGAGTAACCTTATGGAAGGAATAGTAATAGAGGTCGAGATAAACCGGTCTTAACCAAGGATCAGGAAGATAATTGTGACATTGAAATCTGCTGAAAAACTCTTCTCACTCCGCTTTAATTTTATTCGTTCACGCAATTATAACGAGTGCAATATTAACGCAAGCATACAATAAGTTAGGCTCTCAATGAATTAGAGGAACTCGCGCAACATCATTCAATGATTCACCTCGGATCAACGTCCAGTGGATAATTGGGTATCAAAGTAAATTCTGCAGTTGACGTCAAAGTGAATGTATGTAGTGTTGCGGAATGTCGAATACGCATCTAAAGTAGCATTGCTTGATAACCCAAATACGATGCTTATCTGCGATATCGATAATGATATCCACTATTGCCGATTAATGAGACAAAGTTCGGCGTTTAAAAAAAATATATTTTCGAAAAATGATATCCCTCTCCCCGTTTGACTAAGAATGGAAGAATAGTCACATGCTGAGAACTTCCAAAACATCCGTCAATGGAACTGTCAAGTGAATTTTAACAGGTGGGCGGTAATCGGTCAAGTGAAATCGGTCTGGGTGATATTTAAAAAATATCTGGAAATAATGCCAAGTGTCAATATCTAAGAACAGCTGTCCTAGTAGATTCACAATTCCTGATCCCTTCCTTAATCGTCCGCTGGAAATGCGACACATGTGTACCTAGGCATGCTTTGAATGTCATGTATACACATGTAGTGTACCATGTACACATATGTATATCAAATGAAATAATAGATCGTGTACCTCTCTCTCGACGTAACGCCGTTCTTTCCGGACCTCCGTCCAGAAAGTGTGTGAGTTCAAGAGGGTTGAACGTACATTTCTTCCGTTCGCATAACAAATCTCCGTTGACCGTCGTCATGTCGAAGTGCGACTGAGTGCGACTGAGCGCGGCTGGGAATTCGCGGCCGCGAGAGTCGCCCAAGCCGGACTAGGTTTCTCTTGACTCTATGACCAACCTAACCTGGGATGGGCCGCGAGAGCAACGCGTTGACTCTTTCATCCTCCGAGCCACCTAACCGATGCTCAACTCCCTCGTTTTAGATCGTTTTCGTCAACGCTGGCAGACGCTATCAGACTACTGACAGTGGAAACCGAATATCCTTATTTCACTCCGTTTCCACTTTCTCCCCTTTCCATTACGAGAGCACGTCAGGTGCGCCGACTAACCTAAAGCATATATACTCTCCTCATAGTGTACAGTTCCTACGGGTACTCCGATGTGATTATATTAAATAGTAATATTACTCTATTACTAAGATATTAAATAGAAATACATACTCGCTGTAATGTTAAAATTCTTTCAATATCAGATGGCTGCAATAATGGTTATGCTTTTGTGCAAATTATTTTCATAATCGGTACTATGTTGATCCGAATCGCTTAGGTGGCTTTTCTTCTAGGAAAGAATTTATATTTATGCTTGTATGAATCTGAGGGTTAAATTGACGAAGTATTTTGCGATATTCCTTACATTTGCGTGGGTTAATAAAATGGAGTAACTTCGATGGTAACTGTGCAGGGTGCGGAATTAATCGCGACGGCCCTGTATCGGGGGATAAAAAACGAAAAGCTACTCAAATATGTATCTATGTTTTTATGCAGTGATTTGAGGAATTTGAAAGTGGAAAATTAATTCCAGTATTTATGGAGGAGATTTGTTCATGCGTTACGTTGTTTATTTTATTCAACAGTGGTTTTGACTCGGGAAAACAAGGAAGCACGACGGCGGCCATCTTGATCTTCTTTACCACGAAGAGCTCGGAGGCTTCATCATGAGGTACTTGTCTCTCGTTGAGTTTAATAACTTCGGCTGAAAGTACAGTTTAGAATGAAACGATTTGTGATAATGCTGGATAAACAAATTCGTTGTTATCTATTGCCAATATCTAAAGTACAAAAAAGCCGCAGACCGTGCACTTGACAGATTACCCGAGTCGAGCCTTGCCACATGGCTTGGTGTTTAACTTTTATTTCAATAGAATTTGTGAATGTATAAAGAAATTCTGCAGTGTTTCTCTTCCAAATATAAGAAAGACCTATTAAGCGGTCAAGGAGGTTTTTAATGTATAATAAACGATCTAAGATAACTCAGTGACATAACCTCGTTTTTCCTGTTCACAGCTCCCTAAAGTTGCAGAAGAGGCTAGCAGCCTCGGTTATGCGATGTGGCAAAAAAAAAGTCTGGTTAGATCCTAATGAAATCAACGAAATTGCCAATACCAATTCAAGTAAGTAAATTATCATTTCAAACTAATTTCCAGATGCATATTGTATAGTTACAGTATCTTATGCGTTATTCAAGATACTCATAATGATTAAATATTAAATATACTTGTAATATTTTTAGGACAAAACATCCGTAAGCTTATTAAGGATGGTCTTATTATTAAAAAGCCTGTAGCCGTTCACTCGAGGGCAAGAGTACGTAAGAATACCGAAGCTAGGCGGAAAGGGCGACATTGTGGTTTTGGTAAAAGGAAGGGTACTGCTAATGCCCGTACTCCACAAAAGGTAAATTATTTTCATTTTACTATGATTACAGGTAGAGTTTTATTCTTTAAAACACATTTTAACGTGTATGTAATTAATCGATGTTGATTTCAGGATTTGTGGATTCAACGCATGAGAGTACTGCGTCGACTTCTGAAGAAGTACAGGGAAACTAAGAAAATCGATAGACATCTGTACCATTCTTTGTACATGAAAGCTAAGGGAAATGTTTTTAAAAACAAGAGAGTATTGATGGAATTTATCCACAAGAAGAAGGCTGAAAAAGCTCGTGCAGAGATGCTTTCGGACCAGGCTGAAGCGCGTCGTACTAAAGTTCGTGAAGCTCGTAAGCGTAGAGCGGAACGCATCGCTACTAAAAAGCAGGAACTTCTGCAATCCTACCAGAAGGAAGACGAAGCTGCGGCAGCACAGAAAAAGTAATCTAAACCTGTTCTATTGTATAAGAAAATAAAAAATCCTCGGAAATTTGTAAATTCATGTAGTGCGTGCGTTTGAATCAAAGTGTAGCGAAGTTCCCATGCCAAGAAGATAACTCTTCATTGAAATAATCGGGTTTGAAATGCGTGTAATGAGAAGCGTGCGTAAGTTAAGTGTGGAATAGTTTCGATGGAAGAGTACTAGGCGATAGCTTAAACTTGAGAAATGAGTTGGGAGCAAAAATAAGATACAGCCCTGAGTAGGGCCGCCATTGCGGGTAAATGCACGAGCCGCCTGCATTCTCCACCGAGGGTACCACAGAATGCGATCGTGCGACGTTGCCCGTGAGCAATCTTCCAATTCATCTTTGGTAGAGTCTATCTACTACTATTAAGTACATTGCTGCCTCGAAGTTGGCTCCGACTAAAGAATGTCTAACCTGAAAGATACCAGGTGCCACGATTAAATAAATGTAAACAATTAGTAGAAATAATAAGTACTCTGTTAAGTGTTTCATAATTACAAGATGTCTACGGTAGACAATGAGAGTACTAAGCATAAATCTCACAGAGATCGCAATGCCGGTCGCAAGGCGGAAAAGAAAAAGGCGAAAAACGTGCACATTCAGGAGTTATCGGGCAAACAGAAAAATCCTAAAGCATTTACATTTAACTCTGCCATCAAAGCGGAGAGGAGATTTAGACGTAAGCAGGATATCGAGGCAAAGAGGCAGCATTTACCTTTAGTGGATCGAACGCCCCTAGAACCACCTCCGGTCTTAGTCGCAGTAGTCGGACCTCCTAAAGTAGGCAAATCTTTGGTGATCCAATGCTTAATAAAGGCTTTTGCACGGCAACCTCTGACTAGCATCATAGGACCGGTCACTGTGGTTTCTGGGAAGAAACAAAGAATCACGTTCATGGAGTGCAACAACGACGTTAACAGTATGATCGACATCGCTAAAGTAGCAGATCTAGTACTGCTCCTTGTGGATGCCTCCTTTGGATTTGAAATGGAAATATTTGAATTCTTAAACATATGTCAAGTCCATGGTATGCCTAGAATTATGGGAGTTTTAACTCATTTGGATCTAATAAAAAATGCAAAACAATTAAGGAAAACTAAGAAACAGTTGAAGCACCGCTTTTGGACCGAAGTCTATGCGGGTGCGAAATTGTTTTATCTTTCTGGTTTACTTCACGATGAGTACCTGAGGAATGAAATAAAAAATCTATCCAGGTTCATATCGGTTATGAAATTTAGGCCTTTAACTTGGCGCACGACTCATCCCTATTTGTTAGCGGACAGAATTGAGGATTTGACATCTCCTGAATTAATACGCAAAGATGTAAAAGTTGATAGAACGATTAGTTTATATGGGTAAGAATTTTTTCTTTAATGAATTACTTTTTTATTTCAAGTGGGTGCAAATTACGATTTTTCTTGCAGTTATGTCCGAGGAGTTCCCTTCAATAAACAGTCATCTGTTCATATACCTGGATGCGGGGATTTGAAAATTAAAGATATTAGTTTTCTCCCTGATCCTTGTCCTCTTCCGGAGCATCTAAAAAAACGATCACTTATTGAGAAGGAACGTTTAATTTATGCTCCATTTTCTGGTGTTGGTGGCATTGTTTATGATAAAGATGCTGTATATGTGGAATTGGGTGGCAGTCATTCCTATAAAGAGGATGATACTGGTCTAATTGGTTCATTGATGGCAACGCAAGAGACACTGGATAAAAAGCTACAGCACAGTGAGCTACAGATATTTAGTGAATCGGCACCTATAAAGGCAAAAGATGTCACCGACGATTTTTGTACTCCGGTATATGATGAAAGTAAATCTGGAGATAAAAGAATTAGAAGAAAAGTTACATTTAAAGATTCCAATGATAGTGATCAAGGGAATGAATCCAGTGACGACGACGATGAACTTCCTAACGTCAACAAGGACCAATCAGAATTAGAATCTGATAATGACATGATGTCTGTAGATGATTCTGACAGCGATGAGGCATCAGAGAAAGGTACCTCGAAGAGGAAAAGAAAAGGAATAACTTCTAAAAATGAGGAAAAGAAAATGGTGAAAAAAAGAAAATTTGATGTTCTCAATGCCAATGATTTGGACGAAGAACTTAAAATTCTTAGGGCTAAAGGCGTAAAGCATGAAGGTACAAAAAAAGAAGACAAATTTGAAGAACAGATCTACAAACGACCAAGTAAAAATCCAGAAAATCATGTTAAAAGTAAAATAGCCGAAGCACTCAACATGTTGAATGCAGAGGAGCGGGAGGGCAACTCAAGGCTAGATTCTGATGATGTTAGGAATGAAGAAAGCTTTGACGAACTGAGTGAAGATGAACTGGAAGCAAGAGAGAATATGGAAATTGATAAGTTAAACCATGACATCGACAGTGACGAGAATGAAGAGGATGACGATGAAAAGAATGAAGACGAAGAAGAAGATGAAGATAATTTAAATTGGAAGTCTAATTTAACCGAGAAAGCCAGTCAAGCATTTATTGCTCGACAACAGAGTACCAGGAATCTAATGAAGGTAGTTTATGGAGTATTTAACGAATCTACTAGCAGTCGAGAGAATGTCGATTCTAAAGAAGATCGTGATGAAGAAGAAGAAATTGGTGGAATTTTTCGAGCGATGACAAGACAGCAAAAAGAAAAGCTAAGAGATCGCGAATTGAAGAATCAAGAGGAAAGTGTATTCTATTCTTCCGAGCCACCACGCGATTGGTTATTCGAAGACAACAAAGTTTTCTTAACAAATCGTTTCGTAACGGGCAAATGGAAGGAATCCGAAGATGCTGAAATGTTGCTAAAGCTCGACGACATGAGCGATGAAGAATTATATGGCGATTTCGAGGATTTAGAAACAAAGGAGAAACACCTAGCGGAAACATCTAAAGACCAGAAATCTTCCAAGGAGATTCCAATAGATGACACTGAAGAGAAGAAAAAGCTACTGGAAAAAAAGAGAGAACTCAAAGAAAAATTCGATTCCGAGTATGACAATGGCGAAGGTAAGACCTATTATGATGAGTTAAAATCCGAAGCCGAAAAGCAGGCACAATTGAATAGGTCTGAATTTGAAAACATGGATGACGAAGCCAGAGTACAGCTCGAAGGATTTCGAGCAGGCATGTATGTCCGCATTGAAATAGAGTCTGTTCCCTCCGAGCTAATAACTCATTTAGATCCCACGTATCCTCTCGTGGTCGGAGGGTTGCTTCATAGAGAAGAAAATATTGGTATGGTACAGACTAGGATAAAGAAACACCGTTGGTACTCCAAGATCTTAAAGAGCAAAGATCCTATCATCTTGTCGATAGGCTGGAGACGTTTCCAGACACTGCCGATTTATTCCAAGTTGGAGGACAATCTGCGAAGCAGAATGCTGAAGTACACTCCGGAGCATGTGGCATGTATGGCTCATTTCTGGGGACCGATAACTCCACAAGGTAGCGGAGTGTTAGCTATACAAGATGTTTCAGTGAGAACACCAGGTTTTCGGATAGCTGCTACAGGGTCCATTGTTGAAATTGACAAGACGGCTCAAGTTATGAAGAAGCTAAAACTTACCGGTGTGCCAATGAAGATCTACAAGAAAACAGCTTTTATTAAAGACATGTTCAACTCTAGTTTGGAAGTGGCCAAGTTTGAAGGTGCAAAAATAAAAACTGTGTCGGGTATACGAGGACAAATAAAAAAAGCTGTGTCAAAGCCCGAAGGCTGCTTTCGAGCAACATTTGAGGATAAAATATTACTGAGTGACATCGTCTTCTGTCGTACTTGGTATACCGTCGAAGTGCCTCGCTTTTATAATCCAGTCACATCGCTCTTACTGCCACCTTCGACGAAGAGTCAGTGGCGTGGCATGAAAACAACTGGCCAACTGAAAAGAGAGAATAAAATTCGTGTAGAGCCTAATGTCGATTCCCTGTACACACCCATCGAAAGAGAGGTTAGGGTTTTCAAACCCTTGGTGATCCCTAAATCCTTGCAGAAGGATTTACCTTACCGCGACAAACCGAAATTGCCTGGAACCCATAAGCATACCTTCGAAGAGAAGCGTGTAGCTGTTGTCAGAGAACCTAAAGAAGAGAATATCGCTAGATTAATGAAAATGATCAAAACGACGTACAATCGTAAGCAGGAACAACTCAAAGAAGCTACCAGTAAACGAATGGCTGCACATCAAGCCCAGGTCGAGGCAGAAGAGGCTAAAAAATTACAGAGACAGAAGGAATTGAAAAAGCAAGTTTTCAGGCAACTCAGCAAAATGGAAGCTAAAAATAAGAAACGAGCTTCAAAGAGTTAAGTATTTTCGTAAGGTGACTTCGCGGTGTACGATTTTGTATATTATTAAAATATACCTGTTATATATAAATATATTTACATGTACCGTTTGTACATTACTACTTTAAATTATTTCCAATACTGCCTTAGTTTTAACACCGAACCATAGGAAGGCGATAAACGCGAGCTCCTAATGTCGATTTTATTGAAAACGTTTATATAAGTTACAATATTATATATTATAAAATATATTATTAGTTCATATAAAATAATAACAATGTTAAACGCGGCTACTCTACAGAATAGCTTGCGATCCTCGCCACGATGTGATAGTATGGTGGCCCGTCGAATAATTATCTCCCCCCTGAAATTAAAAACATGAGTCCCGTCTCGGTAGAAACCAGAATAAACAAAAATATATATTATCTTAGCCATATAAGTTAACCTGTGACAGCATCAACAGTTCGTCTTGGGTGTCCACGATTTTCACTGGAAAGGGCGAACCAGGAACAAGGACACCAGCCCAGCGAACCTCCACTCGATAGTCTCCAGGTTCCGTTGGGTCGTATCTACATAGTATTATTCTGTCCTTTTGAGTCTCCCTTTGCATTTCTACTCTGAACGCTCCTTTGGGACCTCGCACCCGAACGGTCAATTGACCAGCTCCGGCTCCTCGGGTATCGCAGATGAACCTTGACTGAAAGGTAGCCAGCACGCCATGTTCGATCCCAGGCCCGTACACGCGAACCTAATTATTACAATATTTTAGTACAAAGGTAACCACCCGAATACGTTCTTTAAAAACAATGGTACCTTGGAGGCATCTGGCGCGCCAGAGACGCGCAACGTGAATGGAGAACCAGGTACATGCTCACCGGCATACTTAATCGTAAGCGCGTGTCGCCCAGCTTCCTGAGGTTTTACATTCAAGGTAAACGTAGCATCGCCGTGATCATAAAGCTCGCAATAAGCTACTTTGTGAGGGCCGACACAATGTGCCGTAAGTTCGCCTGAAAACAATCCAACGTGAGACAAGAAAGCTCGAAGGAGGCTCTCCGACGTTGCATGGATTTTCACTCTACCAGGACCGGCCCGCCTCGTGTCGATGAAACTTCGGATCTCTTGACCGACAATTCCGTGTTTCAAACCGTCGCCCGAACAAATAACTCTCGAAGCGTCCGCTGCACTAGTGACGTTGACTTGCAAAGGGCATCCTTTCAGTTGCCTTCCGTTCCAAGACACTGTCATTAGAAGCGAGTCCGACGTCAGAGGGATGTAACTTGCTCGATAAACGCTGTCTCCTAGAAATGATCTTACAAAGTAGCGACTCAAACTTATTCCCTTCGTCATTCGGAATGCCACGAACAATAATTTACCCAAATGTTGCAACGTCACGTTTAATTCACTGGTAGGCGAGAAGAGTTGTACTTTAGGCGTTCCATTCCCCGCTTGAGAGCCATCGATTGTGAAGCTGACCTCCTCGCCAACCTTCGCCGAAGTTAGTCCTCGACCTCTCAACATGACTCTGCTCGTGTCCGGTGCGAGAGTCTGGAATAATATCAATATTAAGTAACAGAGTTTTAAAATGGATCCGTCGTTAACGTTACACATAGATTACCTCTGATTCAGGTACAACAGCAACCTTCGGCGCCCCGGGAAACGAAGCGCCATTAAATGTAATTTCCAGGTGATACTCCCCACCGCTCGTTTGCGGTGGGACAAGTTTTAATCTCCCATTCGACGTCATTTCGAAGGTCAATGGATGGTCTCCCACGCAGCCCCCGAGTTCTCCAGGTCCAGCCTCGGCGATATCGAAGCTGATCTTCGATGTTGGATTCAGCTTCAATCGACCCTTCTCATCGCAAAGCGCTGCCCACCCGCCTGCGCGAAAAAAAAAAAAACAAACAAATTATCCGATCACAATTTAATTATAAATCGAGTGGCTTATTTAATATCACTCACCTATCACGCGTAAATTTCGGGTATCTATAATCTTCGGATGCCAAGGTGATCCAGGTAGTTGTTGTCCAGCGCAGACGACCCTGATGTCGAATACACCCACCTCGGAAGGAGTATAAGAAACATTCCACGTGCCAGGGTTCGCCCCTGCCTCGATGGCAGCCTTCGACACGCTGTCTGGCCCGTCCACCTACGAATATCATCCAACAGGGGATAAATCTCTCGATAAGCCGTTAAATAAAAAAAAAAAATTACAGTTACTAATGAAGTACCTGAACAGCAGGAGGACTTCTGGTGCCAGTGACGATAAAGTGCGCAGGTTTCCCAACGTGTCCATTGATTAAACCTTCACCTTTCGCTCTGGCTTGCCCAGCAGCTTCAACGGTGTACACCATGGGACTGCTGGGTACTGGAATTCCTCCTGTAAAATGTCGATGCACTCTGGGTTATCATTACGTAACTCTTTGCTAATGATACAGACACCCAGAGCGTACTTACCGTAGGTTACATTAATCATGTACGTTCCAGGGACGCTCGGGGAGAATTCAATCATTTCCGCCCCATCGTTGAGGGAGCTGACCTGCAGGGAAAGCTCCTGCCCCAAAGGACTTGTCGCTGTCACGTCCAACTCTGCGACTCCGGCGTCAGTCTTCATCACTGAAAAATATCGGTAGAAAAGGGTTACGCCCCGATGCTTTCACATTTTCACGTTCCGTTCGACTCCAGTGCGTTCCCTACACGTACGCTCTCTCCTCCGTCCAGTGCACTTTGGCGAGAAATCCGTAACGACCGCTAAACCGTAAAACGGTAAGCGCGAAATACGCGAATTCGGAGCTCCGGTGCACCTGTTCACAAACAACGCGCCCCAAGACTGTCGGCGTTTCCGCGAGAACAAGGCCGTTCGAAAGTAGCTCAGATCGCCGATATACACCCGCAATTATTCTAAGTAGCCTTGAGAGTCTCACGGTTATGCATTGATGGAGCACCCGGGATTTTCTCCATTTCACAGAACCACCTACAGCGACAGGAAACTTGCCCCCGCTGAGAGTTAAACCGGAGCAGAGCGCGCGTCGCAACGTGAGAGAAATTAGCGCCGTGAAGCAACGACTAAACGAAGCAAATGGATTTCCTTTTGCGCAAGTCTCCTCCCCGATGAGAAATTAGGGTTACTTACATTTGAACGCGATGCGATCGTGAACCGATACGGTAGTCGGACCCAGCTCTTGAATCTTCACCTTCGAGGCATCGAATGCTTGGCAAAAGAACGGCGAGCCCAGCACTGGCTTAGCTCCGTGCAAGACGTCGATTTTGTACGTTCCTAATTACACAATTATTCATATAGAGAAAAGGATGAATTTTTATTAACGATAGCTGGGCGCATCGATAGACACGTTTTGCAGTAATCAAGGTAGCTTACCAACGGAGTTGGTGGTAAATTCAGCGAGCAGGTTTCCATCTCGGTGCTGATAACACCTAACCGGTACGGCATTGCCTTGCGGGCCGCTGATTACGACATCGAACTCTTTTCCAGGACGACCAAGAGTTTCGATGGTGAAAGAGGTAACTTTTCCAACCGGTGACTGATAGAGACCCAATCCAGTCGCGGTGACTTCGCGACCCCCGGTCGGTCCACGCACAGTTACTTCCAACGGACTTCCTGAATTCGCAGTTATCCAGGACGTTACGCACTGCTTATAGAATTATGTCAGCATGTAATAAGTACCTTGAATGTGGACGTCGTTGTATTTTATATGAATCCTGTGAGGCGCAGCGCGCGTTGGATGGAAGACTACCTCGTAAACTCCGTTTTCATTTTCTCGAATCACGCTATCGACATCGGCTCCGCCAGCTCGGACGTTCACGCTTAATTTCCCAGGTCCAGCTTCCGTGGAAGCAACTACTGCTCGAAGAGAATTCATACATAGAAAGTGTATTAACTTCGCATTAAGTATACTTAGGAATTCCCAGAAGAGAAGCACGTACCTAATATAGTACTAGGTCGATGGCAGACCGCATCGGACACTTCCTTAATGGTCACTTTGGTCGGGTCGAAGGCTTGAAGAGTTTGCGAGCTGATCATCTTATTACCGTCGTTGAACACGACGTTATACGTTCCAACCTGGCGAGTTCTGACTTCCACGCGGTACAAGGTGGAGGACAATTTTGTCAGCGTGCTTGGAATGATGATTCCATCCGGACCTGAATGGGAACGTAGGGATGAACGAGAGACTCCTACTACAAAAATTGAAAAGCTGGAGGAAACTAAGTACCGGTAATTTCTGCGGAAATAGGACCCTCTAAACCTGGCATGTCCAAGTCCATGTAAGCAGTGTTGCCCACTCTGATTACAGAAGGCCCGTCCAACACACTACCGATCACTGGGCACTTAAATGGACTTCCTGGAGGATCAAAAATTAAATTGTCGATTAATTTCTCCAATATATTTGACGCTGAGAATCTTAATAGAAAGAACTTAAAAGGGTGATCATTACCTGGAACATTATCGTCGTTAAAACTAATATTTACGTAGTGAGTGCTCGTTGTCTGTGGTATAAACGTGACGTCATACAGACCACGAGCACAGGCGACAACTTCTGCTTTGACGGTGTTATTTTCAGTGCTGACAACCAGCTCCAAAGTTCCTTCCCCAGCTTCTGCAGCATCGACCGTGAAAGTAGTTGCTTGGCCCAGTATCGCTTCCGTTAGTCCAGACACGTGAATCTAAAAAATATCCAAAGTGTCTACCCCATTGACTTCGTTACTTATGACCATCGCAGAGTATGTAAATCTTACTTTAGTCACGTCGTAGATATTGCAGGCGAACGGAGACCCTTTGATCGGCTCGTCATCGACTAGCACGCTGATATTGTGCCTGCCGACCTCGTTAGGAGTAAAACTAATGTTGTACCTTCCTTCGAAAGGCTCGATCGTTATTGGAAGTACTATATTCGACGGCGGTTTAACGATTACGTCACAGTTTGTCGACGAATTTTGAGGATCGACGGAAAAGGAGATCGTCTGTTTCACCGCTCCCATCTTCAAACTGTGACCGGAAATCATTGCCTGGCCTGCACCCACCACCTTGCAACTAAATGGAGAGCCTGCAAAAATCCAAGATTATGATTAATCCTGTTTAAAAGAAGTTCGAATTAAAAAAAAAAAAGTGAAACGAGTCAAGACTATTTCACCTGGGACGGGCTCGCCGTTAAAACGGACGCTCAGACTATGCACCGCAGCTTCCTGCGGTTTGAAGTTCACTCTGAACTTGGCGTTGCCTTCACTTTGCACGTAATTTGGAACGTTTTTACCATTAACCGCGACAATAATTTCTAGATTCCCTGCTCCGGCTTGACTGGCATTAACTGAAAAGTAGGGAAGGTATAACAAGAGACAACAGTGGAAATTACGTGGTTATCTGATATTGTAATAAACCTAGAAGTTCCGGAATCTTCATCCGATACTTTTGCATTATTCAGGTGGGATTACTTACTGCTGAAGAACACCGGCTTTCCCACGACTCCACTGTTGATGTCCGTCACCTTCACCTTATCAGCATTGTAAGCCTTTACCAGGAACGGACTGCCTTCCACGTGTGATCCCCGCAGTTTCACCTCGACGCTGTGATCACCTAAAAAGATAACGCTTCACTCAGTACCACCATAATTAATAAAGAACTAAAACTATATCCCATTTCTATACGGACCAACATCTTTCGGCGTGAACCCCGCACTGTAAGACCCATGTCCAGTTTGCTTCAGAATAACCGGTAAGCTTTCTCGGGTCGGCGACAAAACCTCGACCGTAGGTGTCCCCAGCGATGCATCGGCTTCGATGGTAAACGTAGCGACCCGGTTCACAGACACCTTCTCGAGTCCCTCGGTGATTAAAACTTTGGCGGTGTCGCTCACCTGAGTAAACGAAGAAATCCTTATAACATATAGTTACCGGAACGTAAATCCGCTCACAAAATCCGCTCCCACTTGAAACCGCCTTTCTCTCCCCAATCAGCGCCTAATCCTATCCCAACTGATAAACTATCCAAAGCACCACAAGATATTCAACCATCGCCTTCGCGACGGTCCAGCGACTCCTTTCCATTTAATCACCAACTGGAAGAGCAGAGAGTACCTGGCAGGTGAACGGACTGCCCGGTACGTCTTCTCCGTTGAACCTCAAGTCCACGGTATGGGCGATCGGTTCTCTAGGTGTGAACGAGATAGCGTAGGTATGAGGTCCTTGCGCCTGAGCCGAGGTAGGTACCCGCCCTCCATTCACGGTAACTTCCAGGTTCCCCGGTCCGGCTTGGCTGGTCTCCACTGGAAAAGCGCAAAGTAACGTTAAACCAGTTCGCCGTAGGAAAACATCGGATTCGATATCAGGTGTGATAAGGCTATCCGGAGCGTTCCATTCGTTCGTTCATCTCGGGATTTAACGGCCGTGAAAAAGGAAAACCAGGGACGGTACCTAGGAATGTAACGGGCAGGCCGATGACTCCGCGTTTGGCGTCTTTCACCTTGATGGCACCGACGTCGTAGACTTTGCAGCTGAACGGGCTGCCCACCACGGGTACGTTCCGATGGCTCACCGAGATTCTGTGCTCCCCGACGACCCTCGGTGTGAACGCAACGGTGCAGGTCGTGTCTTTGTTGTCAGTGACCTGTGCCGGTACGGCCTGTCCATTGGGTCCTATCAAGTCCGCCGGTTAGTCGTTTAATACTGTCGACCAAGGGGGCATTACGAAGGCGCCGGGCATATAGGGATCGCACGATTCACGTCTGGCCGTCGTCTTTTAAAGCGTTACAACGCGGATTCGCGGACAAGCGTTGTACTGTTAAGATAAGCGAGGTACGCCTAGAGTTACGACCCAGCGAATATATTACGAACGTGGCCTACGAGGCTCCTCGCCGAAGGGATTCGTTAATGAAAAAAAAAAATTAAAAAAAAAAAAAGAATCAGGCTTAATTGCAATAACTACGTAGCGATATACTAGCAGGTAACTGAATTCCCCTCGCGTGGCAAGGACGTAATAATTCTTGCGAACGCGAGGAGAAACGTTTAGTTAAAACGTTAAATCACTGGGAGCCCGTATACAAGAGACCTTCCGTGTCATCGGGTGATAAGGATAAGGTCCTTTGAATTTACCCGCGTTGAGCTTTAAAGGAACGATTAATATACGGAATAATAACGAGAAGGGAGATACGTGAGCAAGTGATCCGGCTAACTCGTGTAACGGCATTGGCACGTATTGTAAGGCATTAAGTAATTAGGCGTCGACGCTCGCACTGCGATCTACGGTTATTAAATTAATGAGTACGTATAATTATATAAGTCTTAAAACAAACACACGTAGCACCCGCAGCAGCTGATGGCTCGGTCATGAGGTTAATCCGACCCAGCACCCTTGGCAAGGATTGTCTCGGTTAGACCCGAAGAGACAAGGAAATAAATTACACGAGGTTATCTGATTAGAGGAGTAACGGAAACCATGCAAAAGTGTTAAGGCGCAACGCCTGGTAAAACGTGCAGAAGTTATGAGAGAGAAAAGCAACGATTAGAGTGTCCTTACGCAAGGCTTTCGGGAGACTGAAGTTAGGGACCCACCACCATTTCTTTTGCTACAGTCCATAAACTACGGTTAAAACGAAATGAGGGTGCTTGAGAAGTCTAGTAATGTCGTAGTCTGAAAGCTGGCCGACCTGCAACAGAGACAGAGAATTGCTCTCAAGCCACCGGTAATAAGATGGATGAACACTGAGGCGTATTGACGCAACAGCGCGTTGTCCTTTCTTTTTTTACAGCTAATAAACACACAGAAATTATTTTACAAGGAAAGCAAGTTGAATCTGTTTGCGATTGTCATTTCACAAACGAACGAAAATGGAAAACCATGAGTTTGTAAGGAAAATGCGAAAATTAATTACAGCATGCTACGATCTGTATTACAAGGAAAAAAAAAAAATTGAAATGGAGGTAAGACAGAATGAAAAGTGATCTGACTATTAACAACTCATGCCATTTCAGTCTTGCAACACGATGTTTACCCTGCGTAAATCGAATGTAAAGTAAAAATGCACACATAAACGGTTGTAAGTCTCTTAAAACACAAACAAGCATGAGATAATAACAGGGTATTGTTAGCTCACCTTCAACGTTAACTTCAAGATCTTCCAAGCTACCGGCAACGTTACTGACGGTAAGATAACTTTGCCGTCCTAAACCAGCGCTGCTTAATGCCTGCCCACTGACCGTTACGTGGCTATCTCCACCCACCCTTGTAATTATCGGACACCCTGGCACCGTTCTCTTATTGAATGCTATGTTGATGACATGTTCACATGCCTCAAAGGGCACGAAACTGACGGAGAAACGAGCATTGCCTTGAGGTGTCACTTGTGTGGGAATATTCTGGCCACGTGCCGATATAGTGATCTCCAAATTTCCTTCGCCAGCCTGACTTGCATCGACTAATAAAAATATAAGTTATTATGGTGTAATTCAAATATAATAACCTTAATTTACTGACACTAAAGATGTGATTAATTTAAACTAAGATACAAATTTACCAGTGAAGTGTGTAGGTTGGCCAACGCTGCCTCTGGCAACGGATCCTATTAATACTTTGTCAGCATTAAATGCTTTTGCTAAGAATGGTGTTCCATTTACTGGATGACCGTTATATTCTACACCAATGGAATGAACTCCTACATCTCTAGGAATAAACTCCGCTGTAAAACCACTATGTATGTTCCCGGTTACTTTGACAGGTAACTCCGTACTAGGTCCTGAATAAAATAAAATATTAATAATGCTAAGGTAATGAAATATATTTTTTCCAGTGTATTTGCTACTTACCCCTCACGGAGACCGCTAACTCTGCACTTCCACTTCCATCAACTACCATGTGGAAACTAGCTGGTTGATCAACGGGTATTAATTCCAAGTGGTTTAAACTTAAAGTAACTCTGCTTGTATCGGATACATTGCACACGAATGGACAACCAGATACGGTCTCTCCATTAAATTTAATGTCGATGTAATGAGGCTTGGCGATGTCAGGAGTAAACGAAACAAGGCACCGGCCACCTCCAACTACTTGAACATGGTTAGGTACTTCTCCTTCATTTATGGAGATCTCTAATTGACCTTCACCAGCAGCACTGGCGTCGACTGTATAACAAATTATTAATTCTTAGTATTTATAACCAGATCGCTTTTAGTTACACTTGCCAAAAATAAAATATACCTCTGAATTGGCAGGCATGTCCAACAATGGCACTGGGTATGTCAGTAACTTGAATGAGACTGCTGTTATATACTTTGGCGACGAGAGGTCCTGCCGGCAGCTTTTGTCCCGCGATGCTTACTTCTACCAGGTGACTGCCGACTTCGGTAGGAGTAAATTCAACACGGAACTCTCCTGGCCGTCCCGGCTCTTCCTCGATATGGGCAGATATGTGCCTCTTCGAAGGAGCTACGATAAATTTATAAATCAATTAAAATTCTAGAGCTCGACAAAAAACATTTTCTTCTCCAAAGTATAGCGAGTATTATCTATCCTTACTTATGATCTGCACGTCGATTTCGTTACTAGAAAAACCGAGTGCAGAGAGCTCGAACAGCGCAGGAGTGCCAGCAGGGACCAACCGAATCGAGTCCCCGACAACGGACATTTTTGGACCAGCCATAATGCCAACGCGCCAAGGCGATCCTAAAACAAATAATTAAATTATTTCACTAACTCCGACGTCTCCAAACAATTTGATCCTAAATTAAATATTTCTTAGAAAGTTGTCACGTTAACTTTCACTCAATTATCGTGTCAATTACACTCCTTTAAAGACAACACCGTACGCCCTCCCTCCAAACAATTAGACCTTCCAACGGACTATCCTTTAATTAAAGTGACATCGAACACTCGGAAGGTGCATCGTTTCAAGGCGAAAACGTCCGAAATTCGGAAAGTTCCTCCAATCTCGCTCCACCTGTTCCCACTGAGATCGAGGACGCCTCCTCGTCACTAGGCTCGACGATTTCACTTTTAGTCGAACTCGAGATTATTTCCCTTCCAAAAGATTACAACGGATCGTTCTCGAGATCCAGCTAGTCCCTCTCGACTTAATTTCCGACGACTCTGCGACGTTTTGGAGCTTTCAATAATCCGAAATATTCCGAAGACGCCGAGTGCACTTCTCCCGAGTCGACTCGAGCCGATCGAATGCCACATCCTAACCTTTCCGCCCGAGCGTGCATCCGAGTCGATCATCGATCGATCCACTGCCTTCTAAATCCACCTCTAAAACCGGTCGCCACAAACCTCAATAGAAAAATCATCACAAAAATCGCACAAATATCTTAACACCACCCACGCCACGACAGCATAATTCCTGCAAACTGAATATCGATCAAAATCCAAAGAACGCGATCTCTGACATAGCGCATTCCTTCAAGGCCACAGAAGGTGCGATACCCAAACATCGTTAATCCTTAAACCAAATCTAAAATAAAACACGCGTTCTAGAACAATCGAAATTACCTCGCGCGTTCGGCTTTCGGATCCACCCTGAAAATGCTGTAAAATCAAAGGGGGGAAAAAAGGTACTGAAGAAAAAAAAAAATATCCCCGAACTTTAAAAGGCGCGGTCCGCGGATCGACCGAAGATCGAGCGCGAGTCCCGTCTAACTAAAAGTCGACTCCGCGGCGGTCGACTTCGTTCTGCGACCGGGCGCAGGTGCGCGCAGAGCCCTGCGGAGACCCACGGAGCGCAGGAGTGCGCAGGAGCGTCCAAGGTCCGCGAGGTTAGGCCTCGCGCGGAGACAGTCCGAGGATCCGCGGCCCTCGGTCACATCTGGCCCACTCGACGCACACGGGCACTGGAGACGCGCGAGGAACTCGGGGAGGCGCGCAGGTAAGCGCACCAGGGTGGCTCTCGGCTCGGTCCAGCGGAGACGCTCGCTGATTGGCGGATCGGCCCCTCGATGGCGCGTCGGCCGATCTCGCTCGTTTCCCGCCTCCGTGGCGGCCGTCTAAGGTCGCGTATAGACGCCGACGTCGGCGAGGAGGCACTACGGCTCGCGGTGGCCGGCGCCGCGACGCTCTCCTCGGAATCGGTCGCGGCCGCCGGGCGGAAAACGCGAAGTCGGCCGAGGAGAGCGGCGGAGGGCAACGGGGAGACGTCATCGGATCGCGATTCCCTGGGCGGACTCGAGGCCAGGGGTGCACCCTCCGGCCGGATTCCCGTCCCCCGGAGGTCGGCGTTGAACACGGGAGGGGACCCCCCCCGCTACCTCGGCCGTATTCGGTTAATTTACAGGAGGCTCTCGAGAACTCCGCGAACGGCCTTGCGAGGCGGGTATTCTCATTCCGTTAGCGCCTCGCCTCGCCGCCGTGAATTTAATTCACGGTACGGATACGCCGGTGGGAAGTGGCACGCTGACCCATAAGGCGTGTCGATAAGAGAAGGCGGAATAGAACCGCGCGGCTCGCCTCGCCGAGGAGGAGAAAAAGGGAATTCGAATTTTAACAGATCGTAACGGTAACGATCGCATTTGCCGGCCCGGCTAGAGAGCGACACGTGGGCTCGGAGGTAATCGGCAGCTACGCCCGGTGCCATCCCGACGCCCCCTCATATCGACCCACGCGCCGTCGCCTCTCCTATTCCCTTAATTTCCCACGGAAATGCGAAAAACACAAGTAATAAAAATATACAAAGACGACCGTTCTCCTTGACTACCGCAATGCCAAATGATTTAATTTTCTCAGGTGCAGGCCGGGGCGCCGATGGTACAGGTACGAGCCTGATCAACCATCCGCTTCTTGCCCGACCGGCTATAGTCGACCCGTTGCGAGGTTGCCGATCTGCGTCCTCCGATACTCGATGCTCCACTCGTTACGAAACCGCGGACGCGTCTCGATGATCGCGGTCGAATTCGCGACGCGATCCGCCGCTGTTGGCGCTTCTCGGTCCCCCGTTACAAAGAAGCAAGATAGAGAAAGAAAGAGAAAAAAAAAGAAAAAGAAAGGAAGAGGCTCTCTATTATCCATCGCGGGCTCCTTCCGTGAACTCGGGAGGAACGTACCGTAGAGGCCGTCGATCGCTGCATTCCCCGGCATAACGGGCCGTCGCATCGGAGGCTCCTCGGCGAATGGCCGCGCCTCCCGGCGTATTCGGTCCGATTCCGCCCATTTCGGAGCCCCGATGGCGTTCCGCGCGTTCCTCTCGCATCTGGGTCATCGGGGTGGCGAGCGAAATCCCGCCCGATTGCGCAACGCCCTGGAGGCCCTCGACCCGATCTCGCATCCGACGCGCGAAAACCAACCCCGCGTAAACGAGACGCGTTTCCACCGCCAGAGGCTGAACACCTTGCGAAAGAGTTCGACTTTTGCGAGATTATTCACATCCTCCGAAACAAGGGGGAATTGCGTCGCTAGTTAGACCGCGGAATATGTGAACACATTGAGAGAGAAATATTTTCCCAATTCAAGAAATAATTACCTAACTCGAGAATACTTATATTTCCTTGGTTAGATGAATTTCCTCTGTTCCTTTTTTCTTTCCAGAGTACGTAGGATGCGTTGATGCGACTTTTGTCTCGCTCTTTGCGTCAGAGAATATTAAGGGAGCGAACGGGTGTCCAGGATCTATGCATATCCACGGGTTGGAGAACCGTTGGCTCGGTGATTTGAACGCGCGGCGCGACGCCTCGGCGGGAGGACAGCCGCGCCGGAAAATGCCTTTCGACGTTGCATACCGATTAATTAGAGGCGTCACACCCAACTCGTCGCGGGTCCCGCAAAATTGCGCCGGAATTCCCCGCTACGACGTTGCAAGCGCGTATAGAGGGCGGGCGACGTTGCAAGCGCGTATAGAGGGCGTGCAACGTCGCAAGCGGCTACTCGACGGTACTCCAAACCTATGAAAATCTACAATTACGCGTGTAAACGTCCCTTAAATCCCACTCGAGTATCATAGATGAACGCGACGAGCCGCCGGTATAACCCATACGAGGCCCAAATAATTACAAATAATTACGAATAATTACGAGGCGCTAATTGCCCGCTAAGCGGTTACGAAACCCACCTAACCTACAAAAGCGAGCGCGCGGTTATGCCCCCTTACACCTCGACAGCCCAATTACCGTTAAACCGTACACACTGTAAAGAGAAATTCGGCGTAGAAAAATCCACGCTTTATAACTATCTAGGAATTACCAGGCCGCGTTAGGTCGGCCGTTGACTTTAATACCGAATATTAAATTGCGTATGACCACGCGCGACGCCCACTCTCGATCTCGCGTAAGCGCTTCTTGCCCCGATAGAACACCACGAGAACGCTTCTTTTAATCCAGGGTTTCACTGGGAATAAATTTTCACGGGGCATAGCCTCGGCGTAAAATACGCATTTTAAACGCGTACGGGCTCTGGAGTGAGTACGTCGAGAGAGAAGAATAGAGAGCACCGTAAAGAAATTCCAACGGTATTCGAAAAGGCTTCGGTCAGGTTTCCTTACCGCGAGAAAAAACCCCCGACGAGCATGTGATTACAGTCCATTGATTTACCATAAATATATTTTTCCTTCCCGCCAGCCGCGGTCTAGCTATACTTATATGCGCGATCTAATGGCGGCAACTCTCACGAAATTGCGGAGCATTAAATCGCGGAATTAAAGGTCCCGGGAACTTCGGCGTTTACCCTGGTATATATACACCATACTCGCGCTTACGGGGTCGCAACAATTTACACCGCGATCGCTGGAGTCGAAGGCTACATGGTTAACGACTAATGGATTCCATACTAATTGCATTCCTGCCCGGGAACGCACACCATGGCCCTCGAGTTAGTAACGGTACGTTCCGATTGGGACGATTATGGGGCACGCGTAACGAAACAATAAGTTACGCAAAGTGATTCCCTTCATTCATAATCCCCGAGAGGCCTTTAATAAGGTCCAATGGACCATTGAGCGTCCTTGAATCTCGGGAGAGTACTCGAGAGTACCCGCGAGTGCTCGTTTTCATTCCCCCGTTACGCATAATTTATCCCGGAACGCGTTTACCGATAATCGGGCTAAATCGGCGAGAGGTATAGCACGGGGAGAGATTAAAAGAGAAACGCGATCCCCAGGGCCGTTGGGGTCTGGATTAAATTTTTCCTCTTATTTTAAGGACTCGATTCGTCCCAAGGAAACCAACTCGTCTGGACGTTATGGTGATTTGGCGGCCCCGAAAACCAGGACACGGCGGAAAAGCAAGGTCGACGAAATCATTACCGGGTGCGACAAGACGTAGCGCAAAACCCGGAACGGTGGTAAATCACTGGTGGAAAATGTACAGGGGCAAATTGCGCCAGTGGAGGTCTTAGACGCAATTCCGGTCGGAGCGGCGCATCACAACCGCGATGACATTCCGTTTCGCGTAATTTCCTGGTCGGGGCCGCTTTCGACTTTCCACGGAAGCGAGCCTAGACCCCTGGGGACGCGGAAAAGGGGCTACGAAACGTAAGGGAACGTGGCGAAGGCGAGGACCGTATCGGGATGCAACGAAAGACCGCGTAGACTTTTCACCGTACAACTTTGCGAGCGGTGCGTCACGACTGGGTTTTTTAATGTGTAGGTGAGTCGACGAGGAGTACACGCACCCGACACGTGGATAGGAGTCTACGTAGGCCGGTGGCGTGTATCCCCATCGACGACCAAATACGTCTACAAGTCGAGTTTGCAGGAGCCACACCTCTATACCGTCAGCCAGCCTCCCTTTATGTGTGGAGTGCGTCCGGCATGTACCCGACGACCTACGGAATGATTCCCAAGTGTCCTGCTCCACCACCAAACCGTGCAGCTCCTCTATAAGGCCCGTCGATTATGTGCCATGAGAGTTCGTACGTGATCCCGTCCCGGGTAACGATGCTCTAGGTGCTTGATCTTTCTTAGGTGCGTGGGAGACCTGGTGAGCAGTCAACCGATGCCGGAAGGAACCTGGATCTTTTAGGAAGCGGCTGGAAAAGGGAGAAGAAAATCACGGATCGGCGGATTTGGGTCAGTGGCACGTGCGTCTACAACGTCGGTTCCTACGTGAAATCGCAAGTCAACGACCCGGCCGGTGACCCCGGAGGTGTCGGCTTAGAGACAGGTGGACGAAGGCGGACGTGACGTCGCTTTTACGTACGACTTTCTGTCCCGGATTGCGAGAAAAATCCGCCCGTACGACTGGACGTCGTAATTCATTTCGGCGACAGCCACGTAGACCTGTATCGCCTTGCAACGTTTTTAGCGTTAAAGGTACTTATTGATTTCTTTCGGGAGATCTGAGATAGGATTCAGTGGTATTAACAATGGAAAATGTAGCGCTCGCCTGTGGAATGGGGCTAACTGGACCCGCGGAGAAGTTGGTATTTAATTAGACGTGGAGAAGGGTATTTAGGATCTGGGATTTAAGGAATAAGTGCTCATTAGCCCTAAACTAGTTGCTGGGGAAACGGTATTCTTCTTGGCGGTCCGCGCCAATAAAAGTGCCAGTCGATGCGACTCGGAGCGGAAAAGCGAAACGTCTTACTTACCGGGCACGGTTTCCCCGTTGAACGTCATCTCCACCAAGTGCGTGACCGCTTCGTGGGGGACGAAAGAGGCCAGGAATCGTTGATTACCCAGTGCCCTGACGAAGCTGGTAACATGCCCGCCATTTACCAGGATTTCTAGATTTCCAGAGCCTGCCCTCGAACCGTCGACTGAAAAACGCAAGGGCCAAAATTAATGCCTAATTCCATCTCGACGTTGCTGCATTTCTAGATCTTTTACAGAACTCATCAAAAATTATATCAAATAACGGATCAAATACTTTTTCGCCAATGCGAATTAAGTCGCTATTATCGCGCCACGGAAATCTACGTTTCATGCACGGTTGCATTTCAGCGTAAAAAAGATGTACTTACTTTCAAACTCTACAGGCTGGTCAACCACCCCGTCAGGAATATTCCCCACTTGTATAGCTCTTGCATTGTACGCCTGCGACCTGAAATTTATTAATTTCCGATTAACAATGCGATAGTCTTTCGTTCGTTCCAACGTATCAAATAGAATGACAGTCAAGTTGCATATCGGCGCACTCTACTAACCGGAACGGGGAACCTTTAATGTGCTGGCCATTAATTAAAATCTGGATAATGTATTCGCCAACCTCTTCTGCGGTTATCGTGTAGGTCAGACCTCGAAGTATGGACTTTTGCACGGGTACTGACTTTCCTCCTGGTCCTGGATTACGAACAGTATACGTTGTAATTTTTTTTCAACACGATTTACATAAAAAACTATATGTTCTAATCTGTATTCCCTGACCTGTGACAACCACGGAGACTTTACTGGAGTCGACATTGGAGTCTACGGAAAAAGATGTAGGTCGGTGAACCGGCAGCATGTCCAATGCCGTTCCGGAGACCAGTGAATTTTTCTTATGCGAAGACTTAAGCGTCGATACGCCATTATTCAGAAAGCGCTCGTGCACGGAATCCGTCGCGTCTACGCTTCTGTAATTATTGTTGCTCTTGTTTTTCAATATGCCGTGGGTTTGCCCGCGGGCGCTTTGATTTTCCCCGCCAAACTTCTTGGTAGCGTCGTAATCGGCGGTCGAAAACCTCTGCGAAGAGCTGTAGTTCGTCGAGGTGTTTCGCGTGTGTGTCACGTTCGACGACTCGTAGTGTTGATTGTTTCTGTAATTGTTGTTCAGAACGTTATCCCCGTGTGTCACGTAATCCACCGTGGTCGAGTTGTTCGCCAGGTTCGCCAAGGACTCCAAGCTACCGTACGAGAGCAGAGACTTCGTCTTGGCAATTGCATCCCACGAGTCGCGTCGCGAGGTCCCACCCGTCGTGGATGACACTAAACAATGGTAGGATATTAAAATGACAAATAGAAAAAAAATTAAAAACAGGTAAGACCGATGAATTACACAACCATACCCCTGACGTTGCTACTGGTGTCCACGACTCCGTTGTCCGAGGGACCCTTTTTGTTCACCGTAACGTCCTTCTCATTTATCCTGGGACTGAAACTTCTATTTACAGGACTCTGCGTGCTTCTAAACGTCATCGGGCTACGGTCCGGTGATCTGGACCGATTGAGCGGACTCGATTGATAAATGTCCTTCGATTCCTTGATAAGCGTAGGACTACCGGCAGCGCGCGACGAATGGCCAGGGTTTGGCGATCGAGATCTATTGATCGTGCTCGAAGAGTAGATCTCCTTCGATTCCTTAATGATACTCGGACTCTGAAGGTTCCTCGACCCGGAAATATTCCCATTCGGAGATCGGGAACGATTGACAGAGCTGCTGGAATATATCTCCTTCGACTCTTTGATCAGCGACGGACTGTGCAAGTTCCGCGCAGTCGAGTTTTGATTGTGATTGCTCGAGCGGGAGTGATTCAAGGAGCTCATCGTGTGGTAGGAGGAACTGTTCTCTGCGGTATAATTGCTGGACGTTTTGAACGACGACACGTTTTGACGTAACGGTGTATACTCGTGACCACCCTGAGTGGGGCTGGAAGATTTGTACACGGGAGAGTAACTCTTTTGTACAGGACTGGTTCGCTCGGTTTTCGATGAATTCAAGCCGTTCGTCCGTCTCTCCAGCGAGGAGATCTTGGTCCTCTCTAAACTGGAAGTAGATTCCTTCGACCTTCTGGACCCTTTCTGGGTGCCGACTCGCAGTAAGAACGGAGAGCCTCGAACATCGGAGCCGTTGAAGTAGACGTACACCCGGTACTTCCCAGCATCTCGAGGAATCAAAGACACTCGGTACCTCATGTGTCCGATGTCCTCGATTCGATGAGGGACGGATTGCTTGTCGTGGACGATGTCGATTATCACGTCGCCGAGACCTCCTGTTCCCGAGGCGTCGACGATAAAGAAAAATGGCTGATTGGGCATAGCACCCTCCGTGTCGAGCAACTGTACACAAAACCTGGGCCTAAGTCGAGAGCTTGACGGGGTGACCCGTTTGACGTCGTCCTGGAAATTACCTTGACTCCGTTGGGATCGAACACGAAACACGTGAATGGACCTCCCTGTATATGATTTCCCTTGTGGGTGATCGCGATACTCCATTCACCCGTCTCGTCCGGCTGAAAGGTTGCTGTGTGGACACCATCGTTCTCTTTAACTGGACACGGCAATGGTCTTCCAGTTGGGGACCAGGCCGTCACGTCGATGCCATCATGACTAGTTCCTGAACGACGCAAACCCATTCTAAATCCCGTCACCATTAATGGTAAAAAATTAGCAAGGTATAAATACCGCCTCTTACCATAACTATTGACTAGAACTTCGACGATGGACCCGATGGCGCACGGATCCATGCCAGGAGACTTGATTTTTGTAATAGGAGGTAAGACTCTGAAATGATACGGACACCCACTGACCAGCTCCCCATCGTTGTATATCATCAACTGGAACAATGAACGCCGATCGTATTGACCATATTTTTTATGATCGGATAGAAATAGCCGCAACGAACCTTATGCATTCCGATCTCGGTAGGAACGAAGGTCCCTTTCCCATGAACGCCGTTCCACGTTAATCGGCACTCGGTTCTTCCGCTGGGACTCACCACTTCGCCACGTACTTCCCGGGTATTGACTTCTTTCGACATCATCTCCAATTTGAAATAAGCCTGTGACGGAAGCGTAGCTTTTAAAAGAGTGCATTTTCCAAAGCGATTACATAAGAATAAGTCGCGTCATACCGGCTGTTGCACTCTGGCGGAAGTGCTATCTATGTAGACCGCAATTTGTTCACTGGCTTGAGGGCGGGGCTTTACCCACTGAAAGCACGCCGCATAAGCCATAACGCCTAAGTGCTCCACATTCTGATCTGCCATGTCCCTTGCCTTCAGGATTGGTTCGACGCCCAGTTTTCTACCACCGTCCATACCTTTTTAAATCGAAAAGACTCTGCATGTAATAACTGAAACTCCTGGTCGGTCCTAAGCTTGCGTTTCTAAGCGAACCTTGTTGTATGTTGTGCTCCCAGGCTGAGGGGTCGGTATCGAGTTTATCGAATGTCGGAGCAGGTCCTCCCAAATTTCTAACGATGCCGCAAAGCGCTCTGCCATCGTTCCAATCGGTCTGCACGGAGAGAATTAATTTTTTTTAATCTCAAATCGGTATAAAATTCCTTAGGAAATCTGAAGCTTCCATTACAGCTTACCGTAAAATTCCTAACCGGTGCATGAGGTAACTGAGAGTTGACCCATCGTAAGGTTGCATAAAACCCTGGAGATCCTTCCTTCATGAAGTATGATAGATACGTCATGCCGGACAGTTCATCTAAATAAGGTGACGCAAGGTACTCGGGTTCCAATACCACGGGAATGTCAAACTCTCGTTTAGAAATTTCCATCGCTTTGCGGCAATTGTACACGCTATCGTGGGCGGATAAGAGATACCATTAATTAATAAATTTCTTAAATGGTGATAAGCAATAATATTACAAGTACCTGTCGGTGTGGTCGAGTTGCCGCCAGTGAGGGAACATGCCGGGCTTGCAATAATCTATCAGCGCACTCAGATACACGCCAGAATTCCAATCGGTTGTAAAATTGTTAACTCTGCATTCTGGCAGTGCAGCCTGTAAAATAATATTTTACAACCGGTTGAATATTATTCCTTTTCTTCCCTTAGGGAAGAAAAGCGGTATTTTTATCCGTGCCTTAAGCATGAAAACAATGACGAGCCAGTGATATCTATTCTCAACGTGCGCGAAGATTCAATGCCGTATTATCGTAGAGGACAATCGCAATACGTATACCGCGAGTACTGACCTTGAGCCACGCTAGCATAAGTTTCCTTGGTGGGAACTTGGACTTGCCTATTTGGTATCTTACAATTAGAGACCATATTAATCCAAGGATCAGCTTCAAATTTCCATTTACAATGTCGACGTTACCTGAAAGCAACGCCGATGGTCATGTCCGATACCTCGAGCATTCGTCACGTCCGTTCGTAGCTCTTTCCCTCTTCCCAAACAGGGCCGATTAAGTGTCTTTTAAATCGATGGCGCAACCACCCCGAATAAAAGCCATTCCGGCACGTGAAATTACACGTATAAGAATTTAACGGAATTCCATTGTCCACCAACATTAAATTTCTAACGATCACGGTGCTCGCTCGGCGACGATACGTGCGAGAGGCAACGACCTCGAACGTCGATTTGCAAAGCCTATGACGTAATTGACTTACGGCCGTAAAAAGTAATGACGGGCCTGGTAAAAAAAAAAAGCGGCCTCACAAGTATCCCGAATAAGTTTCGCCGGAGGTGTGAGTCACGTACATGTTCATACATTCGTGCCTTCAACTTGTAACCGGGTCACGCGTATGTACATGTAATCGCAAAAGCATCTCCGATCGCCCTACAAACCCACCGTCTCTCTCCACTTTTCTGCTGGATTCGGTTAATACTTTTCTCATGTACAAGCAACCTTAGAGAGACGTCATAAAGAAATACCCCACCGAGGCGTGCACCGTGTCGAGAATAAGAGAAGATTAATCGTTCCCCGCATAGCCAGTGGATTCAACTAAGCGAATTCATTACAAAAAAAACACATATCTCGGCTAATTACGACTCCGGCATTTCTTGAAATCCTAACGCGATGCTCTTACCGCGGTTAGAAAGCGTCAATTTACTCAGATCGCTGCATAGAACTTGGAAACTCTGCCTCGAAGCAGTCAAACTATGACGCCCGAGTATATATCCAGCAATTGCTCATTATTTCCGGAATGCAATCCCTCATTCCGGAATACATTTCAACCGGTCTACGATTATATTGTGCACGAGCCGTCTCCTCGTAAGGAATCCAAGGAATGCAAGAGTCTCAGGGAAGAGTACGCAAATGATCTCATTAACCGACGTCTTTTTCGCCAGGGTGACGGAGAAAAAGGCACCACCTATGTTGACGAGTTTGACCCCGTCAGCTTCGATAGCTCGAAGAGCGGTCGAGACGTTTTCCAGGTGATGGTGTTGATTCGCAGGCCTGGGGTTCCACCGAGGTAACCTGCGCTTGGTAAGGACCTCCACCAGGGCGCAAAGCCTGGTCCCGTCTCTGAAGTCCTCGGCGAGGTCTATAACAGGACCACCTCCGGCATCCCCTGCGTGTTTCAGGTGCTCGTTCACCCAGTTCCTGAAGGTGTTCGCCTGTATCTCCACCCATAAATCCTCGTGTCCTTTGATCGGCATTCCCTTGGCGGCGGTTCCTTCCGCCGACCTGGCGACCAAGCCCACCAGCTGGTCGGGTCGAAGTTGCTCGGTCGACTGCATCGTGCTGTAAAAAATACATACCATGACAATGCGTACACTTAGAGGGATAAAAAAAAAATCGAGTACCCCCAAGAAATTCTCGACCCCATTGTCGCATTGTAATTCCCCTATGAGAAGATCTTTGCGCGAAGGTTCGCAAGCTTCGATTACGTCTACGTTCACGTAACGCAACCGAGTTACGTGCAATTCTACGTACATCGAGTGATTTTACAGTCCACTAGGACACCGTTAAGCCGAGTTTAACCGACACTGTCCGATGCGACTACCTTCTATTGACAAAACAGCAATGTCACGGTACGCTATTGAACTTCTCAAATTGCCGGGGGAATCCTAACATTAAGGCCAGGTACGTTCGGCATAAACCAGGGGAAACTCGGATTAAGTAAACCACGACGCTCCAGCGAGAGACCTTCCTCGTGAGAGTTTCCCGTACTCCTGTAAAACTCCATTTAAATAAATTGCTCCGGTTCTAATCACCTCCCGGGTGTTCCTTCCTTCCGGCCAGGAGTCATTACGTTGCCAAGCAATTATCACGGGCGTGCATCGAAAGTGCACTTTACAAAAGCCCGGAAAAAAAATCGTAATAGAAAGGGTGCATCGAAGACGGCACCGCGGAATGCGAGTCCCAAGTAAAGGTCACGCGCGTGCGCATCGAAAGGACCGTTCAAAGGCGGCTCGTTAATTAAACGATCCGACTCTAAGTACCCACGAACTTCCTCGGCTACGATAAATCGATTGGCAACGGGTAAACGCAGCGAATCCAAATGGAAAAGCACGAGAAGAGTCAGGACTTGCCCCCGAAAGAATAGTCCTTCCTCTCGCACACCTGGCAGGGGATGCACCTGTGACGTCACGGTCCGCTAACCACGAGCACATCCGCAAACACGGAGGACACGGATTTCGCACCTTGCGACGCATCCTGTGCGCGGTATATTCCCGTGGATCGTAAACAGGGTTATAAATCCATGGCGAGTCTCGACCTCGTGCTCGCGGTGCACCCTGCAGAGCGGTTACCGTGACGTCATTGGCAACACCGCGAAAGCACCAGCGGGATGCCGGTCTGCGAATTTTTTCGTACCCCTGGGTGAACTTTATCGTGGACGTTTTGAGAATCGCCAAATATTCGCCCTGTATTCTCTTACGTCGGATAAAAGTTTGTAAAAATATACAAATGAAAAATCGACCTCGTGCTCGCGGTGACCGTGACGTCATTGGCAACAACGCGAAAGTACCAGCGGGACCCCGGTCTCCGTACTTTCGTGCGCCCAGGTGCAACCTGTCGATGCCTCACGATGTGAAAATATTCACGAGTCGAGCAGGTGTCGGTAGTGAAACTTTTCACCTCGCGTGAGTAATGTCCCGCGATTTGGCGAACGTTTTACGGGGAAAGAATTTCCAAAAGCGCCGAAAGGCGCCGGAAGGGAGACGAACGCTTCGGCTCGGAAGAAAGAAAGCGCCCGCGGAAGCTACTTCCGGTCGTACCTGTTCGATTTGTTTACACGCACTGACAGGTCGGAACTCGCCGATGCGTCCCTCGGCGCGCGCCTCGCTTATTCGTGGAACGCCATTTTTGGACGTCGGAAGGCTCGACGCGCGCGCCTTCCAGCCACTTCCAGTGACTTTGGCGTTCGTGCCCGGCCCGTGACGTTCCCCGAGCGGTTCGTGAGCTCACTGCTGCTCGCTGCCGACTCGCGAGGCGAGGCCCTCCGCTGCTGGCGGCCTTAGCTCCGTCCTCGTCCGACCCGGCGACGGCGCTACGTGCGTCCTCCTCGCTCCCACCGGCGTAGCCTGCAGATTGTCCGCGGGAGGTCGTGCGCCTATGGCCCGACCATCCCGGGCCCGCAAGCGCCAATGACACCTAGTGGCAATTCGGTTTACTTACGAGTTTCGCTATCTCGCTCTCTCTCTCTCACTCATCCGCGAAACCAATCAAAGAGAGAGACGCAGCGAGCATCGAATCGCAGGGTGGGGGGATCGCTCCGGGAATTAATACGAGCGAGACGACCGGAAAATACGGAATTCGTATGCTCCAAGACTCGAGGTGCATTTAAACACATTTAAACCTGACTCTCAAAGGGTCCAGGTTGGCGCAGGTGCGCGTGGGTGGAACCTCTCACCGTGCCTTGTCTATGGCGACTCGATACCCTGTCCCGATAGATTTCGCAATGTCGATTCCGCCGGTTATTCGGCGCGATGACATGTTCCATATACATGCGCTAGGAACAGCTCGAGATCGTTATCCAGCGGCTAGGGAATTCCGGGAGTTCTTTCGAGCACTTCCTTGGATCACGGTTAGCGACGGGACACCATAATGTTTATTAGCGGTCGGCCCGCTAATTCCAAACAGGCAATCTTCTCCGTACGTTGAGCGCTCTGGTGGCTTCTTTACGGTCACGCACTTATGTCCGTTCATTTCCGGGGAGGCCTTCCTCTTGATTTCCACCCCGCCGTTCCCGGGTTACTGGGCGGTCCCCGTAAGAGAATAAATCATCGGGGAGGGCGTTCCACTTTACGCCAGCGAATTTAACCCGCGTTTATCTCACATTTTTGTAGACATCCACCGACCTTTCCCTTGACGCTCGAGGGACGCGTGCGAAAATCGCGCAGAGAATGCCTCGTAAAGGTTCAAGCGTGGGACCCGTGAATCCTATGTCTCGTAAGCGCCTTTTTTTATACCTCTGATCCTAAACCCAGGTAATCGACATTAAGCCGTTGCCCCACCGCGACGTCACAGGGTCGAGAGGTTCTGAAAATAAAATTAAAAGCATACACACCACCTCGTTTTTAACAGGATAAGAAACGGATGCGCATTGCTGTGCGCGATAAGCGCATGTATGTGTCCTGGCAATGACTTGTACATACGTCCGTGTACTTGCCCGGCAGAGTATGATTATTCGAGCGAAACTTATCCAAGGGAATACACGGTAGCGCACTCGAAAATTACTTGGCACATACGCGATGTGACCTTACACTTACGGATGACAAAACACGTATTAAATATATCCTTCCTTGGCGAGGGCTCGTCCGACCTCCTACGTGCTCGAAAGGCGTAAGTGTGCGCGTTCCTCCTTTTTTTTCTTTTTTTTCTTTTTTTTCTTTCAGTCTACCCACGCCGAGTTACACGCTGAAAATGATGTAAGAATTTGTTACGGGAATGACAGGGTGCGGGTGTGAAGGTGTACGCACCTCGGCGTCGAATGGTGGAGAAGAATGAAGGCCATAGTGATTTCAACTATCAATGAACCAAGAACGAGCCCAGCCGGCGACGTCTTCTACCCATCGTCGAAGTCTCCGAGACCGGGCCGTTCTGAAACGTCGGCCCACGATAAAGAATGCTCCACGCCCGCCGACCTCTAATCCGCCTCGCTTTCGTAACGGCCTCTTGCAAAACAACCGCTTCCTGTAATTATACGAGAGCCTCGTTAGAACGATTGTCGCTCGGCCCGTTGATTGCCAATTCTTGGTTTCTGCACGATTAAAGCTGTAAATCTCGCACTCCGTCAAGGCCGCTGCGTGAATTGGGTCAACAAAATTGCACGGATTTTTTTTTTTATCTGCGGCTGTGTCTCAGAATTTTTGACAATAGTTTGGGATACATGCGAATTAAATCGAGTTTAATTGTTTCCCTGCTTCAGCCGTGCTCGAGCGCGGCTTCAAACGTTCAAATATTCCCGCGGGTACAGTCGTTCGAGATCTCGATTCGAACTCGATACGGCAGTCGACGGTCGACAAGTTCACATGGTTCGAATGATGATTTTTTTGACAGATGATTTTTACCCAGTTCTTTGAAAACACTTGTGAATTATGTCAAGCATTTTCTGCAGACTTTGTAGTCGGACCTGTGATGAATATGTAAATGTTTTCGATCAAGAGGGTATACATCGGTCGCTGAAGTCTAAAATGGACTCCTGTTTGAAAATTTCGGTAATACATTTCATTTAACATTGTAAAGGTAGAATTTTTATAATCACTGCAGATATTTATCATTTTACAATTTGACAGGTCTTAAAAGATGACGTCTTACCGAAGTCGGTTTGTACACCGTGTTGTTCTAAATTGGATAAGTCATACGAATTCTTTGAGATTTCACAAAATGCTCAATTATTATTAGAAAAAATATATCATTCTGAAAAAAGGATTAATAAAAGTGTTGGCAATGAGATCAAGAATTTTACAATGACGGATAGCGATAATGAAAATGCTAGTATTTCTGAAACCCAAGTGCATCCTAAAAGAAAAAAGTATAAACATAAATCAACGTTACAAGATGTTCCTGTAAATCCACGGTTTTCAGAATTATTCCACGGTTACCCATGGTCCTGCACAATTTGTGAAGAAGCAAACATGAATTCACCGCAGGTTTGTAAACGTGCGTCAAAATAAATAAAATTATATTGTACAGTAATATAATATATAATTCAACAGCTAAGAATTATTTATCACAGGAAATGTGCGAACATTACAAGACAAAGCACAACGAGATTCCAACGTTTAGGTGTATTACATGTGGAAAGCGGTACAATTTATACAGGAGCTTCGTCAGACATTTCAAGATGCACAGAGATTCTAGGAAATACATGTTAGTATTGATTTTACATAATCTTAGGTTCCTTTATAGTGTCTAATTTTTTTTACAGTTGCACTATCTGTGGTAAATCATTTGGTCAAAAAAGGATATTACGATCTCATGCAACAGTTCATAGCCATGAAAAACCACACAAATGCTCGACATGTGGGAAAGCATTTAAAAATTCCAGTTCTCTTTACGTTCATTGCAAAACACACCAACCAGATGAAGTTAAAGAAAAATTCTCTTGTGAATTCTGCCAAAAAGAGTATATATTATTTGCTTAATATTATACGTGTTTCACACTTTTATCTATTATCACTGATTAATTCTTTTACGCTAGATTCTCAACAAAACATACTTTAGAAATCCATAGAAGGGTTCACACAGGAGAGCGTAATTTCATGTGCGACATTTGTGGCAAATCGTTCATAGCTAAAGGATCTCTAGTTTATCACCTACAGGGCCATGACGACACAAAACATACTTGTTCAACCTGTGGAAAAGCTTTCAAAACTTCAAGACTTCTAAGTAAATGATTTGCAATTTATTCTTTGCACGAATTATTGCAAATATTGAGGCTAATTAAATTCATTCAAATTATGATTTATGTTTGTGCATAAAATTACGTTGTATAAAAAGCTTATATTAATTTCAGCAAAGCACTTGTCATTGCATTCAGTAATGAAGCCTCACCAGTGCGATGCTTGTGGAAAACAGTTTCGTGAACGTAGTACCTTGAAAGAACATTCTCGTATACATACAGGGGACATGCCATATGGATGCGAGCATTGTGGCAAGCGTTTCCGATTTGCAGGAATTTTAACGGTAGGCAAACGTACATATGTCAATATTAAATTAATGCATGTCATACTTTCTCTAAAAAATCGTTTGTGTCATTATTTACAGGTACACCGAAGACAACACACAGGCGAGAGACCTTATGCATGTGCGGAATGTAAACGTTCTTTTACTAATTGGGCTAATTATAATAAACATATGAAACGTATACATAATTACGATACAAGCAATCCAGAAAACAGTAGAAGACGTGCTGCCCTTAGAGCTATTTTAAACACAACGATTGCTGATACTCCAAGTGTTATTGTTAATAAAACCGAAACAACAGGAGAAGGTACTGGTATCACATATCAGGGTTCTGACACATAAGTATTTACATTCTGGTTTTAAATACATATCGGTACGATTATTGCACGATTATTGTGCCAATGGAATAAATCACATTCCTTCTCTTTTCATTTACCCTGCCTTCATTTTATTCCATTAATAATAGTATCACAGAAAATTCACAGTTAGAATTCTGTTACTAAGTGCTCCTGCTATAACGACATAAGGAAGTCACTTTGAATTAAACCCTTATTCTTTCCAAATATATTGAGGCATGATATTGTCATTACGTATAATTTGATTGTTAATTTTCGGCCTTCTACTTGAATTATGGGTAACAATCATTATCAACACACGTCAGTGCTTCACAATGATTAATAGGTGAGATAAGTCACCTATTAACAAATTAACTACTTAGTGAACAAATTATATTCAAAATTGTCTTTAAAATGATCAATACATTCTGAGTACTCTGCACGGCACGATCATATTTTCTAATGATCACTTCTGATTTATCACTTAATTCATTATTCAATTTACGCAGATAAATTGCTTGAGCAAAAATAATAGAATAACATTGCTATTCCCTATCGTTAAAATAATATTAGGCTAGCGTCTTTTAAACTTTAATGAACATTTACAATCTGAGATACTGTTCAGCAATTCCGGCACTGTCACTACACTTCCAGAATATTGATAATCTTCAATTAAGAATTTTTCTTTTCCGAAGAAAAATAAAAATGTCGAATAACTTACGTGGTTGGAAATTGTGTTAGCTAATATTTGCACGTTATTAATGAGGTGGTACCATTTTGCGTCATGCAGTCTATGATGTTAGCGATAATGAAATATTGACAGTGTCAACATCATCGCTGACATTGTCATCCTTGTTGTGATTTTCAATGTCCACTCGTTCTTCCTGAGTGGATACAGTCTCTTCTCTCTGATTTTCCCTTTTTCTCTTTTCTGACAAATTGTATTCTCGAATTAGAAATTTATCCGACAAGTTGTTACATATACAAACATCAGTAGACGCTTCGAGACACTCCGGTGAACATGACTCTCTCGTACTAAGTTTTGCTTCGTTTTTAGTCAACTTTTGAGTGATTGTAGGTTTCTCGTATTTACAAATTACTGCGTACATATCACCACCCAAACGAAGGGCCAGCCACCGATTTTTAACCACCGCTAGTTTCAGACATTCGCATTTCATTTTAGCATACAAATTTGTATGCAAAGAACGTCCCATCCCCTCGATGACTATAAGGTCTACCTTATGCTTCACCATCGCCAGACAGAGATCCAGATTTAACCGGCTGTTAAAAATGAAAGTGCGCTTTAATATTACCGTAATGTATAAATATTAGTAAATAGGTCTATGTCGCGATTAAACAAAAATTACCTTAAATCTAAGCAAGGTCCAGCCTGTGAGGTTTCCATAGCAATCAATCTTTTCTCCTTGACAGCACGCTTTATCACTCGACATATTTTTGCTGCATCTCTCAATGTAACAACTAGCTCAGGATAAGTTACGTCATTCAAGGCTGGCATAGAGTTGGCACACAAGATAACCTAGATGATTTTGGAAATAAATGCTCTTTAAACAAAAGAAATTACTGCGGACTATTTAAATTTAGTGGTAAGCTGTGGCAAAAATCCACATAAAAGATATACAGGAACTTAACGTATAAAAATCTAAAAAACCTTTGTTCCTCTCTGCAGCAAATCACGAACAAAGGGTAATATTCCGAGCACTATGTCAACGCCGCTGTTATCGACAAATATGGCAGCACATTTATGTGGCGGAGCTTCTTCAAGCCTCCTTATCCATTCGTCGAGGCAATCTTCCAGCCAAGGTCTTCCTGAATTTGAAAGTGATCATACGGCGTATCCTTAGTCTTTTCTACCGATCGGGTGTCACCATTTAACCGCTAATCAGTGTTGACACGAACACGTCGAATTGGTACTAAAACGCTACTTTACCGGGGATTTTTGCTTGAGCTTCTTCGAAACCAAAATCCGTACATTCCATCATCTCGGCAACCTCCCTTGCTCCCCAATCGAACATATTCCCAGCCAGAACACCTAAAACCAGCTCTTTTATTTTTTCAGCGCCCTCCAACCTGTCTAAGGCAGTTATGCGGTCTTGCAGGTACATCAGCGCTTTGTCGTTTTCCAATTTCTTTTGCTAGCATGGACAGGTAATTAGGTCAGAACAAAACCTCGGTATAAAAATGCGAATCACTTGCACTTACATGCAAATATGGATCTGGAAAATCGAATTCTTTCATGCAGTGTTCGATGGTATCTAAAAGAGTCCTGACGGTAAGAGTTCCATAGGCACTGAAAAAAAAAATTACAAAGATTCTTACGCCAAATAAACTAATTCATACATCGAAGAGAAAATTTAATGCAACGTTTAACTTACAAAGGTTTTAGATGAAGATAGTGCAATCTGTTAATATACTTTTCCTTCAATTTACTTGCCCTATCTTTAGCTGTTGGACTTTGTGGTTGGCTGTGAATGGCACGAGCTACAAATTTGTCTATGGACTCTTCGAAGCACTGCAGCCAGTAATCTCTATTAAAAAAATTAAAAACGAAATTAAAGCATATATAATCATTTGTCGCAACTGTAATAAATAAAAAACAAACCTAGCTTCTTTATCTTGAGCAAGATCTGTTGTATCCGGATTATAAGTCAAGGGATCCTTAAGCAGAGGACAAAATGTTACCGCTGTCTCAGCTTGATCGATCTCTAATTGATCAAACTTGATTCCAAGATTCGTAGAGACAGGATCTTTAAAACCTGACGATCCGGCATAATTTTCTAACCAACTGTATTTATTGGACTGTTCAGCACCATAGAGAAATGCTCCAATAGCACCAAGATATCCTTCGTGTCGCAGAAACAGAGGTTTTACCTTTCCCTAAAAAGTAAATAAACATAAATATTTTGTATACTCGTTCCATAAAGAATCATTGCAGGTCCTCAACGTGATACTAACATGTGACCAAAATTTAATAGAATAAGAAATAGTGCGCATTGATAAAGGATGATTTCGTAGGAAATATCCTCCAAAATAAACTTTATCCATGTTATGTAAGGATGCGTACAAACTCGCTATTTGCCCGATGTCATTACTAATTGTTAATAACAGAGATCTAGCAATATCTGCCTCTGAGAAGTCACGTGCATCTAAAACAAATAAAGAGTTATTATTCAAGATGTCAATGAGACAAGATCTGATAAGCAAAGTAAATATCTCATTATTACCATGTCTGTTATTACATGACATTGCTTTACCAAAGGAGGAAGCAATCAGGTCTCCAGGGAGACCTTGTATAGAATAGTCACCACCATAAATATCCTTTACTAACATATCAACTTTACGATGATCTCCTTGTTCTGCCAGTAGCAGTAATTCATCGAAACCCTAAAGGAACTTGTTACATCATTTACATGATAAGCTTTGATCTTTCCTATATCTGTTCATCGATTCTATAAAATTAAGATTTACTGGATTTTAACGCTACCTTTGCTTTTGTGAGTAACGATCCCAGTCCCCAGAATGTCCCACCTCCGGTAGCTGTACCACCTACCCTTTCGTATTCTTCCTCGGATTCAACCTGTTGATATCAATTTTGCAAAATGTTCACATTTTGTATTAAAACCAGGAATACATATATTAATTTAAATTTACCTTAAGCACACTGACACCGCTTCCGATATTAACCAACATGTATGGAAATATATTGGGATTTGCTTTCTGAAACTTGTATTCTGGATTACCATGTCTTTCAAATTCAAATGCTTCGTATGAAATATTTTTTAATAAAAAGTTACAGCCCTTTATGAGACAGCATATCTCATCTTCTTTATCGATCCTAAAAGTGCCAATAATTCAGTACACACGACTACGCTTGCATAACAAAAACAAAGCATGCCAATACGTACAGTAATCCTAATTTGTCTTGTAGCAGAGATGTATATTTATAAGCTCCTCCTCCAGTAACTTTAATGCTTTTGCCATGAAACCTCTCGGCATTAACCAAATTCGCCTTGACAAAATCCAAACAATTCTCTAGATGTCTCGTTTCAAATTTAACAAAGTGTAGCCTGCTACCTTCGAACACCTTATACTCTCGTTCCCCATTGTTCCCAAAACCTGCATTCTCGTACAATGCTTTGCGATAACTAACTGTTGAGTAGTAAGCAATTTTTGTCAAAGACAATCCTGTAACAAGGCAACAACGTAAGCTATTCTATTTTCCTTCCTTCCAAAAGATAACCTCAAATTTTCAAAACCGTAGAAATAACTTGGCGCGGTAACGGCCTTTTGATAAAACAATGTGACGTTAAACCTACCTATGTCAATTGCAAATTTCTGTGCATTTTTCAGATTAGCAAACACCTCAACCGCCGGTGGCAATCTAATACTCCGTGGATGGGCCGGATGGGCTTGGTCCTCGTCGTTTTCTGACATCTCTTCGCTCAATGGATCGACCGGCTTCTCCGCGAACTCCTTTCTTGAATAAATCAAGACGCACCAGGGAACATCGCTCCTACTTGACGCTTATTTATAGTCCTGTAAATTATCTGATAATTTATCATCAATTCAATATTTATCTCCAGCAAACCTTTTTCCTCGAACTCTATCGAGGAGAAATGGAAACACCGAGACTGTTGCAAGCTCGCGCCGCGCCCTTCGGTTGACGCACGCTTCAATTCGTAAACGCACCAATCGAATGCATTGATAGATCAGTGCGTTTGCACTGAACTGTCATCTAAAAGCCCGATAACGCAATGTCTGAAAGTCAATCAAGTAGATAACCAAGCGTACTGGAAGCAAATAATTAAGGCATTGAAAAATAAAAAATGGTAATTATTGAAGGACATAGAATGTTTACTTCCATCTGCTCGCGTCTCATTTAGATACACATCGCACGTTCACCACTTTATGTCATAATGAATGAAAATTACGTTAAGATGGTTTAGTGAAACCTTTCATGTGCTCAAGTGCGATGAAGCATACAAGGGTTTGGTGGTATATACAGAAATATTACAATCCTAGAAATTATGGTTCGATCATTGTTGTGCAGTACTATTGCATTATACAATTTTACGATTGTTACAAAAATAGGATTGCCTATGTTCAAACTGCAAGGAAATGTGTACAAAAGTTGGAAATAAAGATGGATGTCCTCTTCCAAATACGTGTTAACTCTTCAACAGTTATCGTTTATGTATCTAAGTAATATTACTTTTTTTTTAATATGCACTGCTAATGCATTTACATAACTACATCACGACTGCTCAAGCCATTAGTAGATACTCTTATCTAGAGTTAGCATTTGTAGCGATTGCGCTGAACACCAAAAGTCAATCGATGATATTTTTATATTTACATATCTATTTACAGCTATGGTCGTGGTGCTCTTGCATCCTAAGTTTTAAATGTCCAAACATTCGACAAATGTTTAATGTTTTAATCGTAGCATGGAATGTGTCCTGAGATTCACGCCGCTGATGCACTTTTTGTCTTTGAGGACGATGAGAGCAACTTGAATTTTGTACTTTGCAATAAATTATATGAGCCATATGAACAGAATTTATCTGACAAAAAAGGAATATAAAAGGCTCTGTATAATGGATGGGACCTGCAACAAGGATGTAATTAATCGATACATTTACACGATAAATATCTGAGAAGCATGATTCTTGATTCTAGCATTTGAATAGTTTACTTGAACTTACTCCGAGGCATGTAAAAACTTGGACGATTTAATAATAGTAAAGTGATCAGGTTGGTGAGAGTAATTTGGTTCTAAAGCTGTTTCCGTGCCAAGATCCAAATCTAGCACAAAGTGACACCTCTCGATATCAAACTGAAAAACAACGATCACATTATTTTTTTTATTTAAAAAACTGGGTATTATAATACGGCTTACATATCGTGATGGCTCTTCTCTATTCAAGTCATTAAAGTTTGACTGAATTATACTCGTGGCATTTTCTTGATCCGGGAAAGGTTGTGGAAGTTGTCCTTTAAATTCGGATTGCAAGAATTGAAGCCTCCAGCTACATAAAGAATTAAATTTAGTTGAATAGATACTCTAAGATACTTTTTCTGAAATACTTACTTATTTGATGGAAAGAAGAAACTATTAGGAAAACGATACCATTCTTTCCCAACACAAAAATTGACATTTACATCAGTTGGAACTTTTCCTTCCGATCCAAGCTTATTAGCTTCCAACATAATTTCCATTGGTGCATAATAACCTACCATAATTGGTAATAATTTCAATGAACATTCTAAATCCCACGCACGTGATCAATTTAATGAAATATGAATTTTCATACCTTTATATAATGCAAGAGATCGTGATAATCCAAGAAAACCGCATAATAAAAATGCCATAACCATAATATGTGTAGTGTATTGCAGATAATGACATGTTATAGGAACTGAACTCAGTTGAGTTCGAACAAAAAAATATAGTTTTTGAGCAACATCCACTGTTACTGCTCCAGCTAGGCAGATCATGGGATAAATTGGAAATAAAAACCGCTCTTCCTGGAAAAAAGAAAATAGTGTTTTAATAATTCTGACCTTCTATCCTCTTACCTAAAAATTGATTTTAAGTCAACAAATTGCTATCATACCTTGTGTGATTGAAAAGAGAAAACAAGCATCCAGAGATAAAGTGGTGCCAGCGAATACCAATAAGGTAAACATAAAGGGTTTCTAGGTCTTGCCGGAACAACAGACCAAGTTAAAAGCTGCAAAATATTAAAGTGTATTGAATGGCAACTACGCGAATAATTTGTTTAAATTACCAATCCAAATGGAGCCAGCAACGAGCCGATGAAGACAAAATTGAAATTCAAGAATCCATTGACAAAGTAAAAGCTGAAAGGTTCGGTTCCATAGATATTGGGACCATGGCTGGTGAAGACATTGTAAAGAATTATATTAAGAGGTGCCACTACTAATTTACCAAAGTACATGGAATCAATCCATATCATTGGAACCAAAATCACAATGGCAGATAATACTGTCCATTTAATGAATTTTTTCCACTCTTGTCGGCGAATTAACATTTCTGCAGCAATAGGTAATCTATAATGGTAAAGAAAATTATTGTAATGATTTTTTCTAAATTGAAAAATAGTCATGAACATATGTAGATTATTACCCAAGTAATGCTGCAAAAGGCCATCCTAGTAACGAAGAAATAGCAGTAGCAAAGATAGCAAATTCATATTTCCGATCGTACCATGCTCCTACAGCTACAGTACTTAAATACCTACAACAGGACTATGTTCGTAAAGACAAAAATGAGGATTACCATTAGAATTAAAAAACAATTGTAAATTAAATTGCATGAATTATACTAAATAATTAAAAACTATAACTCATTTATGTACTTACATTGAAAATGAAGATGGTAGAAATGCTGCACTTGAAATAAACATGCCTGAGCTGACAATCAGAAATACTAATGTCATTCTTGCTATATGAATTCCGAATTCCCGACATACATTCCTGAAAAGTATATAAGATCATCGTTTGCTGTAATCTTTACGTTTAGTTATACCGGGTATGAAAATTAAAAGAATTCATAGCACGTACTTGTAGAAATATACTTCCGATAAAGCACAACCAACAGATAGGAGGCACCTGACAAAATAGAAAACTAAAACTGGATTAGGCTCCAATAGATAGTAATACAATTTTGCAGGGACCATGTGAATTAATAAATATGTATATGATCTCAGGGCAAACTCAGGACTGTATTCCCACGTTTGTTGGCCAGTACCATAAAGCAAATAATGACTCTGCAAATAAATAATCATTTATTATCGACCATGAAAAAGGAGAGAATTAATTTTAAGCATGTGAAGAGAAATGTTTATTTGACACCTACCGGCTCCCAATAATTATACGTTTCGTCACAGTCAGTTATGTGGCTCCATATGGCAGAACAAAATCTTGCCGATAATAATAGTTTAAATGCCGTATCACCTCCAGGATAAACAAGTCCAATATCCGAAGAATCCTCTGGTCTAAAATAAAACGGATACACGTCATTACATGCAATATTATATTTTCTGCCATTTACATATTCCCTGTTAAGACAATACTCCACGTATAAATATTTCTTATCTAAGATCTGTCTCCACCAACGTATTTCTATAGAAACCCACATGAAAGGGCAGGTATGAAAAATAGAAGCCTTTAAATATTTATTGAAATATTTATGAATATCCTCCATTACAACATTCATTCAACTAATGCTCTTTAAATATTAGTATCAGAAATGTGTTAACTGGATTACTGTAGACTTTGATCAATGTGGGTATAAATATCTAAAGATCTAAATAAACAACAATAAATTTTGTTTACGTACTTCGAATATTTTCTGCCATTGTTTTTTTTCTGATCTTTCTTCAAGTAAAATAATTGCCGTTGACGTTGTCGTGGTCCCATGATAACGCCGGTTATCGACAGCTGTCGATAGCTATCACTGACAATCAACAGTAGTAGAGTTGGATGAATGAGTGAATTCTTGGGATTTTAATTGAAGCCTACTAGCAGATAGTAACCAGAATCGTTGAATCGTCACCTACAGGTCATTCGCCGAACTGCTCCACACTTAGCATGGATACGCTCCCTTTCGCGCAACAGATTTCGCCATTACCTGCCTATTTCAAAATTTTTTCGTTTCCGTTTTAGTAAAACTTTTATGCAGCTCAATTACAAGTTGTACGAAGACTAAGACCCATGAGCAGAAATAAGTAATCAGGTGAACGTGTTTCAACGCTTAGCATGGAAACGCTCTTTGTTAACGTTAATGTAAATGTAATAACCTAAAATACGGATCCTACCTTAGAGCTAACGTATCTCTAACATGATACGAAAAAATATAATTAGTAAGGGGGAGACAGTGTCTCATGTATTTACAAAGTTTATTTTTACTGTGATACTTAAAACCTACTTAATTAAAATTCTTCTCATGGATCTGAGAATGTACATACTTAATTATCACAATTATTGATAAAATCTTAGAAATACTCTTTACATGTTCTTTAAATAATAGAACCACACCCACGGTAATGTACTTTCCAAATCTATTGCTTACCACTTTCTCACGTGAACTTTCGACTGTAGTCTGGTGGAGCATCTATATAATCTTGCTGTATATTAAATAGGTCAGATTTATTTTTTTCTAAATACTGCAGAAAATTTTGGAAATGTGTCAATAAAATTTGTATGCTTCTCTCATCTAGTGTTGTATAAGATAACATCCCTCCTAGCTTGACTAGGAACATAAGATTATTACAGGTCAGCTTTCTTTCGATGAAGAATTGTTAAACGTGTCAATAAAAGGAAATTACCAAAGAGCCTAAGCAGATGGAATGGTCCGTATAACTGGCTAGGTAATGTATCAGGATGTTCATTCGTTATCTCGTCGAATTGTAGTCGTTCCCATTTATACAGTAGCTGCAAACCTAACGTGGTGTTGAAATACTCCCTAATGCCTTTTGTAATTTCTAATGCACTTTCTCTGTCAATAAAAAAAAACATCACCTAGTTAGAAATTCGTATGTTGTAATAAAAAATCATTGATATTTAAAAGCTCAGAAACACATACCTGCTACTTTCATTGCTAGGTCCTACCGTTCTTGATTCTACAAAATCATCCAAGACCTTATCGACTGTAATTCGAGCAGGTAGATTCGGAAGCTTATGGAACCTTGAAACTGCCTCCCATTCATCTATTAGTAGTGTTTTAAGTTCTTCTGGTATTTTTATTCTAACTTCAACCTTGGTAAGATATTCCTCCGTATCGCCAGAGGGTTCCAACCGACTGAAACCAAGAATTTTTTTTAAATATAGATAATGAAAGTATTGAAATGTTAAAGTTGCATATAAAATATGTAAAAGAACTTACGTTCGTTTCTTGCGGGGTGGTTCAGATGGAGAGTCATGAGTAGAGGGTATGAGGGTTCCAGTACTTTTACTAGTTCTACCAAAAGTCCTTTCTGAAGTAGCGACTGGAGTGCTGGCACGACTATCACCTTCCTTTTCTCTACTACCTTCGCTCCTACGTCCCTGTGCTTTAGATGTGGTTGCACTTTTCTTATTTCGATGTGTCGATTGTTGATTGGAATGTGCTCGTTGAACTTCTCGTTGCTTTTGTACATTGGCTTCACTATATTTAAGTACTCGACTTTCCGGAACCCATTCATCCCAACTGTCAAATTTAATTGTGTAAGCATTTTAGCAAACCTATGTAAACTTCATTTCTGTAAATATAATTATTTGAGTGTTCTGGAAAATTAAACTTACTTTTTATTCCAACCCGCATAGTGAATTAAATATTTAATCTGTTTCTCCTTGGTGATAGATGACTTCAGGCATTTGGCTTCATAGATCAATGGTCCATGAAAACAGAGAACTTTTTCTCCTTGAATGAAATATAAAACAGTAAACCATTTGTTTACATTATTCTAAATGTGGAGGTTATGGGACATTTAGAAACAAACAATGCAAAAGAATGGGGCATAATATCCGGGATTCTAAAAACACCGGTCAATAATTTAGGCAATGAAAATTGTTGGAAATTAAATTTGAAATTATTATTAATACCTTCTTGAAATTTGCACTTTGGTGGCATTTGTAGTTTCCGTCTCGAACTATGTACTTCCATGTACTTCAACACAGAGATCTGGTAACACTGACGGGTAGCTCACTTGCACCAACCACCAGGAGCAGCACAGGACAATCGCACGACGCTGCCCGTGAGTAATCTCTCAACTTATCTCTGGTATCAGGTGGCAAGTGAGGTCTAAATGTATGTATATAGTCTGTGTCAGCAATTTGAACTTTTTATATATTTTTATATAAATGTATACAGAGCAGGACTCATAATTTTTTTTTATTCATAGCTCTTACAGTTCATTAACGAGTTTATAGATAATTAAATTATTGTGTAAATGCAAGATGTGTAAAAAAAGTTATCCGATATAATCCATGTAAATAGTAGTTTGATGTTTGACTGTGCTATTACAAAGTACATTTTGTTTTATTTTTGACTAGCAGGACCTGGACCCTGCTCCTCAATTGTTGTTATAATTTAAAAGATGATGCTGCGAAATGTGCCGAACTTGCTGCGTGTCACCGTACGTTTTATATTTTATACTTCTGTTATTATTTTGAACGAGTAGTTGAATCTATCAACACTTTTCTACACTGTAGGTTTTTACTCCAAAAATATGTCATCGAAATATGAATCTTGTTCCTGTAGTAGTGGAAAAAACTGGTCGAGGAGAGCGTGCATATGACATTTATTCACGTCTTCTGAAGGAAAGAATTATATGCCTTATGGGACCGGTATGAGAAAACCTAACCTTTAAACACAGCTTACCATGTAATAGATTATAAACAAATTAAGGGATACAAAAATTTCAAATTTTTTGAAATAGATTACAGATACTGTAGCTTCGCTAGTCGTAGCGCAATTGCTATTTTTACAATCGGAGAGTGGCAAGAAACCTATTCACATGTATATTAATTCACCTGGAGGAAGCGTCACCGCTGGCCTTGGAATCTATGACACGATGCAGTACGTCCTTCCACCTGTTGCTACATGGTGCGTTGGACAGGCATGTTCGATGGCAAGTTTACTCTTAGCTGCTGGATCTCATGGCATGCGACACTCACTCCCTAATGCCAGAATTATGATACATCAACCCTCCGGTGGAGTACAGGGTCAAGCTACGGATATTCAGATACAGGCTGAAGAAATACTAAAAATGAAAAAGCAGATTAATAAACTGTATGTAAAACATACAGGGCTGGACTTACTTAGAATAGGTAAGTGACTAAAATTATGAAATTTATTTCTAATACCTGTATCCTACAAAATTTTGCAGAGAATAGCATGGAAAGAGATAAATTTATGGATCCTTTAGAAGCCAAAGAATTTGGAATAATCGATAAAGTGTTGGAACATCCGCTGCAAGAGAAAGAAGGGAAAGAAGAGTTATCGGAACTATCGGAAACATCTAGTACGACAACTCCGTAATAAGTGTGCATGACAGTGGTGATAATATTTCATAGTACTGTAAAACGTTTTTATTAATATTTCATAATAATAATATATTTAATAATCATCGTTATAAAAAGTATTCTATATGACCGCAGTCAAGCAAAGTACGATGCAGATGCACTTATACCCTTGCTCCGTATCAATGGTTTTGATTACTCCATAGACATTGACACGTTCTAACAAAGAGAGCAAGTTTAATTATAAGAACAAATGCAGTCTTGATAGGGGCATCAAGCATCTATCAAGATAATTGCGATTAATAGTTTCACCACACACTTATGGAAGACGGCATTACATAACAATACGATTGGCAGAAAAATTATACAGAATAAATTTAATCGAAGATGTACGCACGTACGAATATATACATGTTCCATAGAATTTTTAGCTATGTGCGTTTTTCTGGGGGGCAATCTACGTAATACAATATGTATAAATACATATACATGAATCAATTTTTGATATGTTCTCCATCAACACCGATATTTATGTCGAACCTAGTCGTCCGCATTGCTGGAACAGCGATGTCTATGACACCTCAGGTTCCGAGATCCTTGAAAAGAGTTAGAAGGCAAGCAATAACGCGTCCCGCAACATTGTATTTATAAAGTTCGCGAAACGGTGGTAAGCTTTCTAACCGTCTTCTATTCTTCAGTCTTTAAAGAAAGACGAAGTTATATACCGTCAAGACGAGTTAGCATATTTTTCGAGCAGCTTTCCTCAGCTATCGACTTGACAAATCACTGAGGACAGACTTGAGCATGTGCGAGCATTAAAATGTCTTTTTTCTCTTTAGGAAATCTAAGCTCGCGACCCGCAAGGCGAGCAGTTTCAAGTTCTCTTTCGGCAAGGGCCAATTCCATGGCTACTACTCCACCACCGCTCTCGTGTTCTCTAGCGACCCAGTCTAGTGCCATTTGACTGCGCATGTCATCATCGAGAGCTCGATGACTGTAATGAGCAACAACCTCCTGTCTGCTGCATTGCCTTTCCCTCATTGCTTTCAAAGATCCATTCCAGTGAAGAAGTTGAAATACCGTCATGAGCTCTTGAAACTCCAGCATGGTCCTTCCTCGATTGCATTCTAACATAAAACGAAATGCACCTATTCCCGTATTTGGATCCTCCTTTTCATCTCCGCTTCCCTGACAAAGAATTCTTAAGTTAAGGAGAGAAACACAATAAAATTTAAAGATGCTCTCTAAATTAGAAATAAAATTACAAATTTTTTAAGCGTTTTATGGGCTAGAATCAGTACCTGCGTTTGACCACCAACACCATTCGAGGTAGACGAAGGCTTGGCAAAGCTGGCGCGTGCCTCGGCAACGGCCTTCTCGATGAAATCGTCCGTAATTTTCCTAGAGGGATGTTCGTTGAACACAGAATTCATCAAAGCTATTTTAGCAGCCGATCTGCGTGCCTCTGCCTTGGTGGGACAATTCTGAAAGCTCCCGAAGCAAGATCCTCCAGGTAAAGTGACATAACACACGTACGGAGGACTGGCACCAGGAACCGATTCGTATATAACTAGGGCACCGTTCCGTAGTTCCGTCCCTCTGCTCTGTTTCATTTGCCAAAATTCTTGTAATGCCTCCACAACATTTACTGCATTACAAAAAAAAATAGAATCTCAGCATTTAACGGACTGTATTCACCCCGACGTGGACATTTTTACATACCTCGGCCATACCCCTGCGTGTGTTTAGCAAAACTGTTCACGACCGCATCCACAGCCTCCCGGAGCACCTGTTTAGCTCGTGCATCGACAAGTCCACTGGCTACACCCATATTTTCTGGAACTCGAGACTTTGTCTTTGTTGGCATAACGCCTTGCATCACCTATCAGCAACTCCCAACCATTTACCCTAGAAAGTTCACCTCGTTCGTAACATGCCAAAGGGTAATTAAAACCCTCAAAGGTAGGGGGACAAAAACGTAATTAAAGATGAGATTCCACCGTAATTTTACCATAACTTGACGTATTAACGTCACCTGCAAGGTGATCACCTACCAGAAAGGATCAGTTCTGCGCAGCCGGACTCGGTCCCACGGTTCCAGACACCTTCCTCCGTAGTCCTCCTCCGTGGAGGATCGTTCCCTTCGGTCTCGACCAGGGGGTCGAGCGGTCACACGTCTGCAAAAGTCCGAGTCAAAGTTACACAAAGTTAGCCCGACACCGGTGGACGCGCGAGCGTGTCGAGGGACTATCAAGGGAGGACTCACCCGCGGACACCTCGCCGGCCAGGAATTCGCATAAATTACTCTCCGATCGGGGCACCGAGCGTAGCACCGAGTGCAGCGGGATCAAATTGCAAGACACATATAACGCGTTTAATGGCCCCCGGAGTGCCTCGGACCTCTGAGGGTTTCCAGAAAACCAGGGCCGCGAGACTTGTCGAGGGGCCCTCACCTACCTGTTACAACCTGTCGTGACTCGCACGACCACCGCCGGCGCTGAGCGACCCATCGACTATCGATTACCGATACAGATTTCTTTGTACCCCTCGAAATACAATATACGCTATATGTAACTAAAATGTTTATTTTTATTTCCTACGCAGTTCCATAAGCCTGTTATAAAACAAATAATATAACCTGCCTACATCGCATCAATACCAGGATTTTAAAATGCATCCGGACTTGGGAGCGAGGGAATTCTACATATAAGTTTTATGATTCTGTCGCAACGAAGTTTAGCAACGTTGAACTTTCCTGCGAAAATTTCCGACGATGGCTTGATTTTTATATGAAAGATTAAATGGGGCGCTCCAGAGGGAGGGTGGCCATGTTGCTGCGTTCGAGAGATGAGCTGGAAAACTTGTGCAGTTGGAATTAATTGTTTTCGAAGTGGAGGCGAGGACTTCTCCGATTGAGCCAGCCCTGCGACGGGGCAGTGGTTCTCCGGCCTCGCGGTGACCGCGGCAGGATCGGTTACGAGTTCGTCTGGCTTCCGCCGCCTTCTTTCGGTTCTCACGCGATTTTGGAGCCCCGGAGACCAGCGAGGTGACATCGACGAGTGGGCAGGGGACACACTCGCCGCGGTGGACGACCGAGCGTCGCCATTGTCGCGAGGCGCATCTGGCGCCATCTCTCAACGTGCCGCGAAACTTCCTCTACACGACGGAGAAATTCAACATTACCGACAGCGGAGGAAGAAATCTCACACGCAGGAACGCTTGATAAGAAAATATCACGACCCCACTCTTATCGACCGCCCAATGAATTCAGTGGGATGGAATAAAAAAATAAACCCAAACGAAACACGTGGGTCGTCCAATGAACCTCGCGTCGCAGTCTCTTATTTGCTTACTAATACCCTCTTTCTAAACCATTACATAAGAACGTCATTTTGTTTCCTCAAAACCCGAAATCTACCAGGCCAACTAGTATCGGATTTTTTTCGATCATCTCATCATCTCAAAGGAAAAAACTCCATAAATTCCTTATAATTGCAGGAATGCTGTAGCATCGCGTCAACGCAAAATGGGAGATAAAACGGAATAACCGGTGCATACAAAAAAAAAAAAAAAAAAAAAAAAAAAAAAAAAAAAAAAATCGACAAGTTCAGTTATGGGTTGAGCGCAGCACATTCCTTAAGAGAAGAACCGCCCTTCCCGCGCATCCCGCCGTTTAAAGCGCCAGTTCGCGCGCGCGATACGTGGCAAGCCGCCGTCTGGTTTGGCGGGAGAGCGGAGGGTCCTTGGCGGGGATTACGCGCGTCCGCGCCGCCGCGCGTCCCGCCGGCCGTGGAGTTTCCCGCGTGGTGAGGTTAGGGCCGGCGTTGTGTGTCGTTCATGCGTGTGCGCCCGATCAGCTGAGCGCCAGCTGTGCGCCGGGCCGTCGTCCCGCCGTCCGGTCGTTCCGCCGCGCGGTCGACCAATGGCGTCGACGCGCTGCGCGCCGGGCGTGCGCAGCTGCGCGTGCGCCGCGCGCCTCTCGGCCAGACGAAGCTTTCCCGCGGAACGCGGCGGTAGGAACGCCATCGAGTGCACGCGAGACGACGCGATCTTGGCCAGAAGTGCGCCAGCGGCCAAGAGGAAGAGAATTGCGCGCCGAATTCGGAACCACCGAGCCGATCGTCGAGCGGGTGTCAAGAGAGGACCCAGACACGTGAGAATCATCACCGGAGGCGAGAAATACGGGGCGTGGGTTGAGGGCGCGCGACGCACCGACGCGTGTTTATGCGCGCTTACGACGCCGAATTTCCCGCCCCAGGGCGGACGCAGCCTCGCGGGGAGGTCGGCACGACCTCGCCCGGGTGACCGGCGATCGACCTCGACTGGCCGGGAGGATCGGTCGGCCGAAAAATCCGGAAAATCTGGGCCCCTCCGGTCGAGCCGGCGAGCGACGCGTTTGGAGGTTAGATCTCGATTTTGCCCCGTTTGAGAGAGAAATCGACGGATTCCGGCGTTCGCGAGACGCTCGGCGCTCTTGGTGTGGCTTTTCACCCCAGCGGGCCAGGTCGCGAGGGTTTTTGAGGTTATGTTGTGTGTACAGAGGGCGTGACAGTGGCGGGTCACGGGCAGGGGTTGGTCGTGGTTTCGCGCGCTGGACTCCCGCGCTTTGAGAGAGATCCCCCGGGTTTTCGCGGTTTTGTCCACCGTAACGAGGCTCTGTGGACGTGGCCGATTTTTTCGGAGACTCTTGAAGAACCCTGAGGCTTTTCGCGACCCGGAGCGGACAATATTACGCGGGTGAATAGCGGATTTGGGCCTACGCGTATCGTGCATTATGGCGATTGCCTGAGTGGCTACGAGCTCCGTCGTTTTTCGCCGTTTATCCTGGGTTACATCCGTGGAAAGTCGGGCCTGATACTCGGGGAGTGCTGCGGAAGCAACGGCCGCTGCCAGGAAGCAGGGGAACTTCGTTGGGGACGCGGCCAGGTCGACACTACCCGTCGAAATCTGGACAAGATGCCACAGACCAGGTGAGCAAAGATTTCCTCGTTGCGGGCCAAATGGGATCGGGTTTTCGGGCCGATATCCTCCCCTTTTATGTTGTCTTTTTTGGGAATCCACTTGAAACTATTGCAGGAGACTTTGGTCGGTCAAAGTTGATTTTAGTTATTTAACTTCCACGTCTAACCTGCTTTAAGAGCATGCCTCGCCTTGATCCTTTGATAGCTGCATTCGTGCCAATTCTTTGAGGTTTTTGCGCTTGACAGGGCTTTAGGAAACGTAAGAATATATCTAGAGATTATGCCTGGTATCGAGGATTCGGTATAATTTTTTTTAAATTAAATGACCGTCGTCTTTTTGTAAAGAGGATGACGTGTCCTGGAGTAGTACGTGTTGAACGTAAAAAATTTTAAAATTAAGGGGTGTCACGTTTCCAAAGAAGAGTCGAGGGATAGTTGGACGACTAGGAAACGTATGACTTCCCTGTAAAAATGCGCCATGGTCGTTCAGTTTGCAGGAAAAGCAGCCTTCACAAATCTACTCACAGGGGAGCAAAGTGGCCCCACAGAGCTTGAAGAGGAAGAGGCGTGCCACCGAGCATTCCGAGGATGCTGAAAATATTTATCCTCCCAATAAATTACCTATCCTGTCGCATTCACCTTATACCGAATCTTGCAATGCGTCGCAATTTGTGGATGGCTCTCGAACTCCACAACATCAGTCTTCGCCATTGAAGGAGCAACAGGAGCCAACCACATGGTCCGACTTGAGAACGGCTACCTGTTTCTTGACTCCATCAGCCTCTGGAAATGGGTCAAGTAGACCTAGCCCATTACCGTCGTTACCTTGGGCCGATGGTTCCCAGGTGTGGTCGCTGATGTGCCTGGGAGATCAGAAGACGTTAACCCAGAGGGATTCTCAGATGTTCCAACGCCACCCTTCGTTACAACCACGAATGAGGGCGATATTATTAGACTGGTTGATCGAAGTTTGCGAGGTTTACAAATTGCACAGAGAGACCTACTACTTAGCCATGGATTACATAGATAGGTATTTGTCTACACACCATGATGTCCCCAAGAATCGATTACAACTTATCGGAATCACCTGCTTATTTATTGCTGCCAAGGTTTGTTCCTTCATTTTTCATTTCCCAGATGTATCCTTTTATGATTGCATCTTATTTTAATAAAATATATTATGTGGTATATTTTTTTTAAATCTTGGCCTCTGTCATTACAGGTGGAAGAAATTTATCCTCCCAAGATCGCAGAATTTGCATATGTTACGGATGGTGCTTGTACAGAGGAGGAAATTCTTGGAAAGGAATTAGTGGTGCTGAAAGGATTGGGCTGGAACTTGTCTCCTGTAACAGCCCCTGGATGGTTGAACATCTACATGCAAGTTGAATCGGGTGACTGGTCCAGACCAAAGGCCTTCATCTACCCTCAGTACGAAGGGTTGCAGTACTCCCAAGCTGCTCAACTTTTGGACTTAGCCACTCTCGACGAAGGCAGTTTGAAATTTCCGTACAGTCACATTGCTGCAGCTGCGGTTTATCACACACAAGGCAGGGAATGCGCCTTGAGAGTGTCCCGTCTCTCATGGGAACAGCTTGCTCCGTGTGCCAAGTGGCTTAGTCCATTTGCAACTATCGTCGCTGAGGAAGGTTCTCAGCTTCTTCTGAGATCTGCGGTGTCACCTGTTGAGTCTCATTCAGGATCTGGCCTGCGAGCCACAGTACCTAATATAGTAATGGACGAATCCCATCGCATCCAGACACATGTTGTGGATTTGACCATGTTGGAGAAAGCCCAACAACGTTTGACCCTTGACATGTTGGAAATGGACTCGGTCGAACGAGACACGAATCTGGATATCGAAGGCAGTCCGAATCAAAGTGGCATTTTAACTCCGCCATCTAGTAGTCAAAAGAATTCCCCGACACCTCCACGTCATGCACCACAGTTGCATCCGTATACATAACTGCGCTGTAAAGAAGTTAGAGAATTACTAAGAATTATTATGTAAAACCTTCCTGCCAGTCATTGGCGATTACGCTTATGCTCGGGTGAAAAAAAAAAAAAAAAATACTTATCTGTAACGATTCCTTCAAATTCTAGGTGAAGAGCGAGGTTCGTAATTCTGTAGAAGCGAGGAAGTTAACGAAGCTGCTTTGAGCAACTCTTTCGTCTCTTAATTAACGGGGAATGTATAAAGAACTTATGATAGTGACAATTTCATTTATGTCTATAGTACGTAACAACATTGTGCGTTGGTGTCAGATGAAGACACTGGTCAGGGGTGAAATTGATATTGACATGAACTCTCGTTCGGCTTGAAAGGAGATGGGGCACGTAGAAAACAATTTCTTTGCCTTTGACTCGAGTGTCTTAGAACGCGATGATGCTTATCAGTATTTGGAGTTAAGACATGCTGTGCGATATTTTAGATGACTTGCCACTTGTAGACTGCCATGTAATAATGCTAAAATAATTTACCTGGCGGTCACTATTTGAAATTAGTGCCGAACACTGCCGGAGATTGCATCGATAGGATTGTAATGAAACAAGTTTTCTATGGTTTGTAAGGACTCTAATGTAGAATTATACTCATTTCGTTCCCTTTTAAGCTTCGAGTTGGGCGTCCAACTGGACATCACTCGAGAAGCTTCCAAACTAAGCGAACAAGTGCCTTCGTAAAGTGCCTTCATTCTCTTATTTTTATCCATCAAATGAGATACAACATTGTGAATAGTATTCTTTTATACAATTTGCCTTATTACAACGCAACGCGTTCCAGCGTCGTCGTTAGAGACTGAGCGAATGTCATTTTTATGTATATATTGAGAGAGTGAGAGGGAGAGAGAGGAACCAGAGGGAGGGAAACGTTTTTCTTATTCACCACCTTTTCGGATCCGGTAAGTTCATACGAACTTGCATGCAGTAAAACGCGCGTATATATACAATATTTGTATGGAGAGAGTGACAATAAAAATGTATGAACTTACATAGCCGTTCATTCAAATTCAAATTTCGCGGGCTATTTGTCAAATCTGCATTATCTGCGGGTACTTTGGAATCGAATCTCCACCGAATATCGATCGCCGCGTTGCAGTAAAAGTTCCTCTCAATTTCCTTTTGTATTTCTAAATATGATCCTGACCGTTGCATTAAGATTAGCGGAATTTTAAATTTTTTCCGAATGCACTTTATCGCTAAGGCAGGGCTGATCACGTAGCTGAACGCTGATTGGTCGAAAGTTTCCCGCGCCAAATGCTCGCCAGTTATTAGTTCATTCGAAATAACTTGCGTTACCGACCGAGGCCGGAGTCCCAACGATTGCATCGGGAATACTGGATAAATAACCAATCAGAACTGCGCTTAACCTCGGCATCTTTTTTGCCGCCATTTTGATTGGTTGTTCATCCTCGATGCGTTGACGCGCCGCGCTGAGTGAAACACCCCACTCTTCCAGTAGGATTTAGTATGGGGACGCGACGCACGCGCACCACCACGGCGGCTGCGGCAACCACGAGCCGGCCTGTGATTGGCTGGCCGGTTTGCGTTCAAGTTGTCAAAAACCAAATAGCCGTTGAAGACAGATGCTGTGCGGCCTCTGTAAGTTTCTATCTCGCGAGTTCTCGTCACGGAATCCGAGTTTTTCGTACGAGAATTTAGTGCGGAGTTTAACATAAAAGTGTCGTGCTTCTTGAGACGTGAAATTGGGCCGGTGAGTCGACTCCGTTGACTTCTATTATCTCCTTTGTTCACCCGGTGACCGGGACGGTTGAGAGGGCACTCGTTAGCGGCCGTCCCTGGAATTCGTCGGCCCCTGGAATTGATAATTAATTCCTGTAGGGCGACATCGAGGACAGTTCCTCACATCTAACGCCATTTCGTCGCTCAAAGTCACTCGGTTGGCATGTATTCATCCTTGGAGGCGGAGAGCAAGAGGGAATTCGAACGGCAGGATCTGAAAATGTCGAGCCCCAGGAGTAGCGGAGCCGGCAGCGGAACGACGGTCATCCGAGAAGGCACCAGGGTCGTCCTCAGGGAAATCACAGCGACGTTGAACAATTCTCCGCCGATGCAGACCTCACGTAAGAAGGTACGGAGCTTCTACCCTATCGTGAACTCGAAGGAACACCCCTAGAAGTATCGAGCAAGATAGTAGGAATATTGGTAACATAGACTAGTAGTTACCCGAAAGCCTGTAAATTATCTAGATGAACTGAGATCCAATTAATTATCGATCGTTATGATAATCATTGCGATAGCGACAAGTTTCTGAAACTTTTAAGTGTCCAGTCAGGGAATAGTGTTTACATGTCATGTTTACTCTGGACTTATACTTGGTCAATCCGTGCTGTCCGTGCCACGCCTTCGGGTCGCTCCCTTTCCTTTCTTTCCTCCGTCTGACAGTTGGAACGTGGTGCAGCGATCCCTATAAATAAACGCCGCATCTGCAAGCGCTGTTTGGGGTAAAAATAAGTCGGCGTTCCCGCGCGCGCGCGCGTGCTTCGGCGCTAGGAGGAATGCCCGGCGATATACAGGGTGCCGGGGCGAATATTAAGGCGACGTCGAGCGCGGGCGCGACGAACACCCGATAAGGGATTGCCCGGTTCTGGCCACGTTCCAATGCGTCAGGCGGGGCGCATTCTGTCGCGTGCGCGCAACGTCTACGTCCACGTTAATTAATGCACGACGGTATGGGGAAACCGAGCGAAAGGATCAATTATCGCCGGAAGAAATTCCGCGGAGGCGGTCGGGAAGGCCGCGATACGAAGTTCCGCCTAACGCCAACGGATGGAACCACGCGCTCCGCGATATCAATAATATTCATTTCTACGCTATCTCAAGTTTAAAAGATACCCCTCTCGGGTTTCATAATCTCCGTACGAGCGGTTAACTCTTAGGAATGTAGATAATACTATCTTATATAAACGGATATCGGTAGTAATTCATCTAAGGTGATATTTACCGAGGGCACCGACCGTATATCAGGCGCCGGGGAGTTGGGTCGTCGCGCTACGGGTTTCCGGCGTGTTTCGATAGATGGCGCCACCGGGCTCGCGCATCGACCACGGGGTCCGCAGTATTCCCATAGTTGGCGGTCCCTCGCGCTACGACCCTACGGCGTGTGCGCGGTCCGCGGAGGTCCGGCGGTGCTCGCCAGTAGCAGCCGCCGAGTATCGGTGGGTATCAGTGAGTATCAGTGACTAGGCGACGAAGAGATATGGCCACGTCGCGGGCCGTCCCGCTGTCGGCGGTGGTACCAGGACGTTGATTATCGCTCCGGTCGGGGCGCGCTTCCTCGAGCGGGGCCAGCGACACGCGACCGCAATCCGCAAGGCTACGGGAATCCTCCAGGCCGTAGGAGTGCGAGAGGGAGGGAGAGGTGAGAGAACTCGCACGCTTCCCTTTGGCCGTGCACGCGAGAGTGCGCGCGCACCCGCCGCGTCGTCCTCAAAGACGGCGCCGACGTATCGACTTGCGACGGCCGGCGTCGCGTTGGACGCGTTTCCAATTCTAATATCGGAAGAAGCGTCCCGTTCGGCGGTGAACAACCCCCGAGGAGTACCGGGACCCGGGGTGTGTCCGCCGGGCGCGTGAGTCAGATCGCGCGGCCTCGAGACACGTAGGTCGGCGGGGACTCCTTTGCTTTCCCCTGGACCGCCCACGCGATTCGTCCTTTCCCCTGGAGCCGGCCGCTCGGCGGCCTTATAAGCGCCGCGCGCCGCCTCGGGCCGCGAGTCGCGCCTCGGACTCCCTCCGGACGGCCCTCGCTGGCCCTTTTCCGAATACGGGAGTGCGGAGACCGCGATCGACTCGCTCTTTTTTCTCCCACTGGATTTCAGATCGAGATCGTGCCGATTTACGAATCACCTGTCGCAATATCTGCAATTAACGCCCACGGTAAAAAACCCTGCTCGGGGGCACCTCTTGGTCGGGGAGAAATCAGAGTTTTGTTTACTCCTTGCGGCCGAAGGTCCTCGATGTGAGTCACGGGTCCGTGAGTCAAAAAGCCTCGGAAAGTCAAACCGCAGACGGCTCGACGATAGCTACGACACCGAGCGGGCATTCCGCAGTTCTTACGCAGCCTTCCAGTTGAATCGTTCGAGTAATCCCGATCGATCGCGTGGCCTCGTTCGGTGCCAAGACTTGCCACGTGGTCGCGCGGCCCGGATGAGTAAGACTTCGGTCGAGGCGCACTTTTACGCCTTAACTCCGCGAACTTGGCACCGCGAGGCGCAAATAATCAGAGATAGAAACGCTGACGCGCGTCTCAAGGATCTCCCGCTCTCTTAAACTAGGTATTTTCGAGGTTGGCGGGGAAAATCCGATGGAAAGTGGCCGCCTGGGAATGACTTCTTTTATCAACGCATTGTTCGCGTAGAGCGAGGTAAAAATCGAGATTTTACTTTTTCTCGCTTTGTCTTTTACTCTCGATTTTTATTTTATACGGAATTTTGTATAGGCTTGGGTGTCGATTGGGGTGGGTGGGTTTGGACGACGTTTGACGTTTGACGTTTGACGTTTGGCGACCACGTGGCCGCCTCTCGGTCGCGCGGTCCACGTGGTTCCCTCGCGGCTCGCCAGGATGACTGGCCCGATTTCTCTCGCCGAATCCTCTTTTCGTCGGCGATATTTTATTCTTAGATCGGACCCGGTGGGTGGTTGCGCAATTTTCTAACGAAATCCGTTGGCCTTCGCGACAGCCGTCGACGAGACGTCGAGACAGTCGAGCCACGGGCGCCGCGCGGTTTGGAGGGTTTCGGGTTGTCGACATGGAGTATCTCAACAAGTTGCTGCATCGCTCCTCTCCGAGCGTTTCCCCCTCCCCTCCGCCGGAGATTCGACGTAATGAGATAATAACGGTTCGTCAAGAAGAGAGAGAGAGAAAAAGAATGGGCCAAGAAGTGGGGAATTTCCACGAGAACTCTCGCGTCGCTGGGATTTTTTTTTTCCCTTTAGTTTAACCAATTAATTGTTGCGACCTTTTTTGGAAAGTGTAGAAATTGACGAGTATACTCGTCGAAATAGCCTGGTTGATTAAAAGGCATTAAATTTGTCGGTAGGAGTCTGTATTTAAAGGTTTAACGTCGACGGGGCTCTTCTTCCAGGATCCGAGGGAGCAGAACGGCGCCAAGGCGGAGCACGAGGTGAAGGTGCGCTTCGCCAGGGAGTTCGCCGACGTCGGGCCCTCCTCGCTCTACTCCGGGCCGGACAGCCTCTCCTCGGCGAGCAGCTTCCAGAGCCTCGCCAGCACCCTCAGCTCGAAGAGCAGCAGCGGAATCTGCGCCGACTCGGTGCCCCACACTCCCAGGAAACCGCTCGACGAGTCCTACACGAGCACCGACATCCCCGGGGTCGACGATCTGATCCTGGCCTGCGCGAGCATCCGGCTAGACGAGGATCATCGCCGGCGACAGGAGTCGGAGGGCTCCGCGAGCGAGGCGGACCTTAGCCAGGATCAAACCTTCACCTCCGCGGTCGGCGAGGACGTCCACTCGACCCGCCTCGAGGAGTCCTCGTTGCGACCCGAGGGCTGCGACGCCGATCCTGGGAATCTTCTGGGAAAGACCTCTCGGTCGGTATTCTCTTCGCCGGAGGTCTCGCCCTCTCCGGACACCGGAGAATCCTCCATCGGTGGATCTGGCGATACCTCCGCGAACGAGACCAAGGAGTCCTCTACGTCGGGCTCCTTCTCGATACCCGAGGTCGTACCCCTGGACGCTGCCGACAGGACTTTCGAGCGGATCGATAACTCCGACTCGTTTCCTCCGGGTGATCCCGACGTCCAAGACCTGAACAAGACCATCGACGTTCTGGTGGAAGGTTTACGGTCGAAGGAGAACTCTACGACTTACGGGAGCCAGGATAGACCCCAGGATCTCGGAGAAGATCGGGGAATCGCTGCGAACCCTACCTCCTCGTCTCGACCCAGGTCGGGTTTAGACGTTAATCCGTCCGCCGATGGTGGAAGACCTCCGCCACTCCCGGACATATCTGGCAACCTACCCTTTGCTTCACTGGTGAACGAGCCTCTGGAGAGGCCATTTAGTCCTTCTTTGAAGTTTGTCACCACCCGGAGGTCCGTTTCTCCGGAAGTCAGGCCGATCAACGAGACTTTCCAGGTTCCTTCGGAACCTCCCTGCGTCCGGGAGGTCGTTCGTGAGGCTTCGCCGACAGCGGTTCCCGAAGTCCGTACCTCGGCGACGGTGATACCTGAAATCCCTGTTTCGGCGATTTCGAGCCCGCTCAACTTAACTCAGATCTTCGGCATCGAGGCTGCTCCTGCGGAACGTACTTTCCCGGTTCCTCCGGAGGTCCCCGGTATCATCGAGAAACCTCCAGAAAATTCCGCCAAGCCGGAGGAGTCGAACAATGTCATTCCGGTGAAGGTCCAGGAGAACCTTGAAGAGGCCCCGAGTCGTCCTGCCATCCTCGTAGACAAGATCGCTCCAGTCGGCGACGTCGACGTCGGCCCTCCTCACCTGGAAGAAAAGGTCGGACAGCCGAGCTCTGCACCTCTTCCGGTGCCTCGACCTCTCCCGGACGGAGAGGTCTCACCTGTGGTCGAAGAGGTCATTCCCGAGGCACTTCCTGGGAAGGATCAGGGCCCAAAGGAACCGGCAGCGAAAGAGACTGAACGGTGTAATCTAGAAAGCTTCAAACAAGTCGTACCTAGCATAGTCGTAAATAAGGGCGAGCCCGAAATCGCGGTAAAGGTGGACGCGGCGTCTCCTGTCCCGGAAGACCTAGACAAGGAAGAGCTTCCCTTGATATCCGAGGTCCTCGACGACACGGCCCCTTTGAACGACACCTGGGAGGTCGCTGCCCCTGGACCCAAGAACGACCCCTGCGAGGTCGCTGCTCCTGGTCCAGAGAACGACGTGTACGTCTCGTTCAAGCCTCAACAACAGAGCACAACCTTGAATTCGGAGGGTCGTCTGGACTTTGAGAAATTGGAACTAGCCGCGCAGGCTGTCGCGAACGACATTTATCAGACCTCCTTGGGGATCTCGGAAGAGACTGATCAGTTCGTCAGCGCCACCTGTGAACGTGAGTTAACGTCGACTAGATGCACCAGGTATTGGTGAGCGTGGAATTAATTTTACGCTTCTTCGCAGTCTTCCAAGACCCCAGCACCTTCGACTTCCTGCTGGGAAGGACCGCCTCGCACAATCCGGCTCGCAACTTGAGAGCGGACTCCTTGTACGTAAAGTTCGACCCGTTGGTCTCGAACGTTAGCATGTTACCACAGGGGAATTGCCAGCCGGTGGAGGAAGAGAAGAACGTCAATAACGAGGCCCCGGAGGTAGCCAATACCCCGAAACGAAGTCCCGCCCTGGCGGCCATCGACAAGCTCCTCTTCTACAGCCCCAGCCCCACCGTTCCTCCGAGGAAGTCCGAGGGCAAGCAGGGGAAAAAGGTGAGGTGGCAAAGCGTACCCCGAATTTTTCCGGAATTCAGGGTCAAGTACTCAGGAAGCTGGACTCGTCCGCGTTCCTGGCACAGCCGGGGAGTCTATTTTGAGCCGAGTAAATATCCGCAGGAGGAAGAACCCGTGGAAGCCCCCTCCACTAATGGCCCTTTAATCGACTCCGACATGACCAAAGAACTGGAGCTGGTGAGGACGACGGTCTTGCAGCTCGAGGATCAACTCCAGAAGACGAAGCAACACGTGACGGAAATGGAGAAGCAGAAGGCGGCCCTGGAGGAGAAAGTCAACCAGCTGCAGACCCAACTGGCACAGGAGATCAAGAACACCAAGCAGATGTCGTGAGTTCTTCGGTGTCTTTCAATTATCCCTGACCTGGGGCAAGGATGTTAACTGGAGGGAAGGATTAAACCATGTATCGCGATTCTCCAGGGTCGTCGTGAGCGAGTACGAGAAGTCGATAAGCCGACTTCTGGCCGATAAGGAGAGGGACCGGGAGAGCCTCGAGCAGGAGAAGATGAAACTCCAGGAGGAGCTCCAGGCGACCAATCATCATCTCAGTAATACCGAAGCGGCGTTCAATGACGTTCATATGAAGTACGAACGACTGAAGGGGGTAGTGGCGGCTTACAAGAGCAACGAGACCGTTCTCAAGGAAAGTATTACGGAAAACGTGGAGACGATCAAGGCTCTGGAGTCTCGGTACGATCAGCTGAAGAGCCACGCCATGACTCAACTCGAGAAGTATGAGAAACAATTTTTAAGGGTTGTTTTTCTTTTTTTGCACGGTCTGAACGGGTAGTAACTTTTGCGAATTAATCTTACAGAGCCAACTTGGAGCTGGAGTCTATACGTAAACAGCAGGAGGCCGAGACCGTGAGATTACAAGCCATGGTGAAGAAAGCGGAGCTGAAGAGCAACTCGTTCGCCGAACTGGTTGAGCAGAAGACGAAGGAGAACAAAGAACTCGCGAAGATATTGGACGAGGTGATCAGCAGGGTTGGTTGCCAGAACGTCAAGTGAGAGGCCGCTTAATGTCGTCGAAGCAGCAGGATTAGTCCTTATTTTTTTACTCGATATTATTACTTATAAGTACGAGGAAATTCTATGTATACATGTATTATTTCGAGGAAGTCATATTATATCGCGGATATAGTATATTTCGTTCCGTTTCGAAGAGGCACCTTTTCTTTTTTTTTTTTTTTATTAATTATTTATCGGTTGTAAAATATCCTATCTTCGTCGCTAATAAAAAAAACGATTAGGCTTAAATGGAAGCATTTATCGTGGGTTTTCGCGGATGGACAATTGTGCAACAATTCCCAAGGTGAGCTAGGTACCGTGATGTATATCCCCGTTATAAGTATCCTCGGTGCATCTAGAGTAGAAATGTCGGCAGCACCTTAGAATCTACGAGCGAAAACCGAATTCTCGTTCATTACCCTATCCCCGACTTTGTATGTACACGTTAAATAATTTAAAGTTACAACAACGTTCGTTTAAGCGACAATGTTGCTAGTGATTACGTCGAGCCTCGACGTTGTCACTAACTTTGATTGCGCTAGGAGTTGACCACATCGCGAGTCAAGGGTCACACGAGGAAAACAATCGGTAGTTCTCTATTAACTAATTAACAATAGGAGCACACAACAAGGATGAATTGACACGACTGGGCTTAGTTCAATTGTAAAACTCGAGAAGCGTTAAATGTAGCCCAGCTTTTTTTTTAACTGTCCGAGACTATGGTTTTCTTTGTTTCGAGGACAAAGAGTACATGGTGTTTGGCGAGTTTTAACATGCGATCGCTGGTACTGCCTGGCTTCCGAGGTAAATTCTTGTTTTCTAAATCTGGCATTAACTTTTTCACAGTGCGTGCCAAGTTAGAGGCGTACTGCTTGAATCTTGGATGTCCCATGCCAATTCCTTTACTCCGCAGAGCTTCGGCTACAGCCCACAGTAATTTCTACAATGTGAACGATTAATCAATCTTAGTTGTCAGTGCATGATTTTTTTTTTTAATTAAAAATGCAGAATATAAGTTAAATCTATTCGATGCAGCTTACCTTCCTACGAGTATCGCTGAGTTCACATTTGTCATTCTGAAAGGCTGTTTCGCTCTTCGATTTCAAGCTACCGGTGGAGTGCCTGTCACGATCCCAAGATCCCATCGAAGCATTACCCAAGTCGTAAGGGCAGTCGAAGGATAAACTCTTAGCCCATTTTAATCTAGGTCCTTCCAGCTCGTCTTCACATTTCCTCTTTCTAGATTCTTCGAAGTTGACTCTTTCGAAGACTTCTGAATTTTCTTCCTTCTTCTTGGGAGTAGGGAATAATGCTCTCTTGATTTTTTGGGGATTTGCACTCGTGGAGGCTAGTAATTTACTAGGGCCTGCTCGATCACCTGGTGGACTTTGAAAGAGTGCTCTCTTGGAAGTCTCAAGTTTGACTTTCCGAGGACTTGGACCTTCTAAGGATAGTCGGCGAGACGCGCGTTTTTTGGCCGAGCCACGAGGGCTTTTTCCTCTGGGACTTTTTCCCCTGGGACTCTTACCTTTCCTAACTATAGGTTTCCTGAAATGAAGACGTATGAAATTTGTATATCTTATTTAATCAGTCAGATCGTAAGTCATTTTAATACGTACTTAACATTAAGTACTATATGCTTCTTGTCTGGAAGTCCCAAACCTTGAAGATTTGCACTAGAAAACGTTCGTCGTCTTCTCGCTAAATGACTCAGTCTTTTTCCTGGACTCTGACCAATGTTCCTCTTGGCTAACAGACTTCGTTTCCTTGCGCTCCCAGGTGCTTGTTTCGTAAACCATACGTTACAGGTGGATTGCGTTTCAGCACCCACGTATCTCTCGCACATTTTCGTCGTCAGATTTTCAAATTCCTCTATGACTTTACTTCGGTTATAACTGTAATGAATGAAAGAATTAATGGTAATAACAAAATACAATGAAAAAATGGCTATTAATAAAGCATGGAGAAACACTCACTGAATCCCATGAAACTTATGTTGAAATGCTTCTGGCCATGATAACCCAGATGCTTCGTCTTTGTTAGTGGTACAGTAGCGTAAAAGTGATGGGTTGTCTAGTGGTTCCTTAGAAGTCCAGTCTTTGCATGCTATCGAGGAATTTATGGAGGCACAAGTAGTGCTGCAGTCATCTTCCATTATATTGTACATTCTAGTCATATCACCTGATTGAAGTACATTAATCGTCGAGTTGCTACTAATCTCACAGATATTACTGCTCTTCGACAGTAAATCTTTATCCGAAGTCGTATTAATCGATGTATCACAGGCATCGAAAGCATTGCTCAAATTTCTTGAACCTTTCCGTGGTCGTTGATAAATATTATTTTTCGTACTATCACTCTCCGCATTCTTCTCATTGGACCTATTTTTCGCTTTATCGTGAGACAATACTTTATCTTTATCATCCTTATCGATAGGTTCTACCCAAAAATATTCACGATTTTGTCTAATATACATTAAGAATTCTGTACAGTCTTTTTGTGAAATTGTGTGACTTGGTGGTGGAGGCACTCCGCTTAAAAACTTATTCATCCTAGCTAACAAGTAACAGTCCGACATAGCAACCAATTCCTCCTGCGTGTATGTTTTCCGATCCTCCACTGTTGACACTCCAGCATCTACTCTTTTTTCCTGGTCTGCCAATGATTTGTCCTTATCTGGTTCATCCTCTGCGTCACTGGCAAACATTTCTGGACTCGATGGTTCTGGAAGAGTCTCCAGATTTTTTGAAGTATCGTTCGACTCGTCATAGTTGCAGTCCATCGCATTTTCATTCACGTAAACTAATTTCTCTACAATTTCATCCGTGTCTTCTTTAAAACCCTCCTCCTCATTACTTTTAACAGTTGTATCTGTATGATTTTGCAATGTAAATTTTATAATTACCATGTATAAACTTATTATTAGGAATTACTGTCGAAATACTTGCCTAAAGTCGAAGAAATGGTAGTCATCGATACACTGTGCTGACACATTTAATGACAGATAAGAAATACGACACATTAGCTGTCAGGAATTATCAATGAAAGTCAAGACACGCCTCAAGAAAAACCTGAAATTTTTCTTGGCGGAGCTGCCAGCACGGCAAGTAGCCACGAAACACCATGAAGAATATTGGAGCAGTAAGGCGCGTGAAACAACGACCACCAGCAACAACTACTATTGGTGGAGTGCGAAACGATTCAACAAACTATGCCAAATGGGCGCAATCCTACCAAATTCAGCCAAATCGCAGTCGACTATCGACAAGTCGATTGTAATTAAAATTATACTCAACCAGTGTTAAAAAATATCTCAAAGATATATCACCGCGGGATCCTTTCCTGACGCTTTCTAGCGGACAAAGTGCGAACTACCTACTGCCTTGGTTAACCGTGGGAATTTTAAAAGGGTCTTCTAAACTTCCATGAGAAGTATGAGAAGCTAGTTTCTCAAACGTTTATTTGTAACAAAATGTGCACTGTACAAAGTAAGACCAACGAATGAAATGATTTATTTATTACATCATGGACTTAGATATGTCAACGGTAAAAGGTTCATGTAGGTTTTCATTACATTAACCATCGTGTAAATTATTCCTGATGCATTTTCTTATATGTAGGCATTGCGATAAAGTCATCGTACATATTTTCATTTAATTTCTTGGCTAGAAAATATATTTCCGCCAAGGCTACGACGAGCCCACAGATTATACCTAGTAATAATCGGAACCCAAAATCCAAATTACCAACTATGAGTTCTACTCCTAGAAAACCAAATGTAAAACCTGCTATCACAGAGAATACAAACTGTGCCACGGCGATGAGTTGTCTGTTAATCTCCTTCACTGAAAATATAACGAAAGTTGTGAGTATTTTACCAAAAATTCATAGAGCATCGATGCAAATAGGAAGTGTCGTACTCTGGTATGCAATTGTATCCTCCGGCAGTCTTTTCCTAACGGGATCAACGCTTTTAGTCATTGCTTCGTACTCTCTTGCATTCTGTCGGGCTGTCAATCGTTGAATTCTTGCTTCTAATTCAGGATTCCTGGGTGTTATAGTTGGTTCGGGTAGAAGTACGTCAGCATCTTCTAGAAGTTCATGTATGTAGACGTTCTCTTCTGAATTTTTGCGATACTTTTCCAGATAGGCATTGAGCCACTTTACATCTTTAACTTTCAGTAGTACACTCGAACGTTGATCTTTTTTTGAAGTTCGTAGAGAAACGATACCTTCTGGAGCATTACTTGTATCTGTCACTTTTTTCAAGACAAAATCTATAAGTTTGGCTGACGGCTTAATTGTTATGGAAGGATCAGTGATTGGTTCCACTGGCATTATTATATCCAAGTTATCTATCTGTACTTTAATATAATACTTTTTATTCCAACGCTTTATATCGTTGAAACTTACTGATGCAGTGCAATGATAGGTCAATAACTACTAGTAAATTAAATTGAAATTGGAAGATCTGGTATTATAAAAAATTTTAGAATATAACTCTTATTTTTGAGAAAATAAGTAGCGATAAAAATGTTTATACGATTGACTTTGAAAAGTAACAAATTTATGGGGTAATGTGTAACTTCCTCTCTAAATCAGCATAAAATTCTTCGAGTTCCTTCTCTTTTTCTTGAAACGTCTCATCAACTTTTTGGCACTTTTCACTCATATCATTTATGAACTTTTGCCACTCCGCTTTTCTAAGCTCTCGTTTTTCATTTAATTTAGTTTCCTGTAAAGAGTCAGAAAATTCGTTATGAAATAATGCAGGAATAAACCGTGACATTTTAGAGTAGAATCTAAAAGACGTACACTATCAAATTCCTCTTCTCGTTGCAAAACCCGTTCGCACATGCTCAGTGCAACATCTACATTGGCTTTCAAGCTCGGCAGGTGACAATCGCCTAGCTGTTCCACCCGATCCAACTGATTTTGACCCAGTTCAGTCGAGAACTCCAAGATTTTAAAAAGGTGTTGGACTTCCCTGTCGTTCCTTTTGTCCTGTGAATCCAACAGTTTTATTTCTATAATATTAACCATAGTAATCCTATTAATTGAATCACTCTTATTTATCGTTATAATCATTTTCGACAATATTTTACCTGAAACTCCCTTAAGAAAAATGTGATCTCGCCCTGAACGAACGGCCGATGATCGAAAAGCCTGCTCCAGATCTCGCCCGTGTCTGCAGCACCGCGATCACGAACAAATAAAAAATATTACGTAAAATTGAACATCCTTACGTCGTAGGAACTTTACATACGATCCAGGAATATTTTATGAACGTCACATGAACATCGCACCTTTTATGATTGACGCCATGTTGTCCAGGGATGCACAGTGGTTGCAGTGCGCAGACAAACTGGGGCGTTCTGCGCAGAAATTCGGGTCACGTGACAAGCACGTGCTGCGCAAAAACATGCGCACTATCAAACGTTACAATTTGGAGCTGGGCCAATGTTTAAAGAAACGATCTTTTATGGGGACTCGAAAAAAAAAAGATGGTTAGGATAATCATATCTAAAAAGAGAAGAAATTCATATAAAGGCGTTGAGAAATTTTATACGTACCGCATTGTCATTCTACCTGCCAGCGAGGGTTACTTGACTGATACGTGTATATCGATTCTGTCTCGAATGTTTCGGTTTAATTAACTATCGCCTTACACGATAAGATGGCACGGAAGTATATTAAAACCCGATGCCAAAAGAAGACCCCGTCGAACAATTCCATCACGTGACATCCGTGCATTATGTTGCACACGTCGTAAGGCGTATACGAAGGTCTCCGATTCGCTATATATACCAGAAGTTTTTTCAAACCATCACCAGTTTTGAACGAATTGGTTCACTTATTGCACGTTCTTCGACAATAAAACTCAACGAAAGTCGTTATGGGATTCTCTGTGCTGTTCAGTCTATTTCTCTGGTCTTCGGTGCCGCTCGTTATGTATGATGAAATTTTTGTATAATTAAGTCAACAAAATCATGAAGACTAGTGAACGGGTGTATTTCCATTTTGTTAATTATTTTCCAATATATTTTTAAGAAATGCGGAGGAGAGGGGGACATGCAGTTGTGCTGCATTTTCGTCGGAAACGGATACAGAACCTATAATCGAGCAAGAATTGCGATTGAACGTCGAGTGTAATCAGAAAGGCTCGGAGCAATGTCAACATCTCTGTATTGCATTGGTAAATTTTTCCGCAATTTCCTTCATGCAAATCTAAAACGTGTCGGGTCGAAATTAAAAAAGAAAATCCTTTGCAGGCGGAAAGTGCAAAGGAAAAAGTGCCTTGCCTAATTTGCGAGAAGATTAACAAGCACGTCGAGAATATGAAGGTCAGCCTTTCGAATTTTTAATTTATTCCAGGAATTGTCGCAGGATCATACATTTTTCATTAGACATAAAGAAAAATTAAATAATCCCTTTTTAAAGGTGGCACTCTTTTCGAAGTCCTGCGGTTCACCGTCCTGGAAGTTCACCGGAATAAAAAGTTCAGACATGATATGTTGTCATGAAGGAGAGGTAGCTGTCTGCAACGCGAGTATGTTGACAAACGAGGAATGAGAAAAGAATTTTCCAATCGAGTGTGTATAAGATTTCCTCTTGCATTCGATAGAATCGAATTTTTTTTGTAACGAGTATGATGATAATAAACATAGATTAAATTTACGACAGCGGTCGACCGGTACTTTCGGATTATCAACAGCTGCGCGATTTATTCTGTGGAGAAAGTTTTAAAAAGGAGATCTCTTTTATCTATGTACGGTAAGCGCAGGTGTATGGAACATTTCGTTCCTCGTCTCCATGGTGCCCTGATCCATTCCAAATCCACACGTTCCGGACTCCATTCGAAGCGACGAAGATCTTTAAGTGATTGTAAATGCCTAATGATACGAGAGGGGCTCTGAGGACGAGGAAGCTTCAAGAGTCGGAGCTGAGTAGCTTTCTTTGTCGCACACGCTACTAGAGCGTGTATAAGAGAGAGGGAGACTGGTCTCCCGACGGGTAGTAGTGGGGGCGCGGATGAGGCGGCCTCGTAATAAACCAATCATGGCGAAGTGGCTCCGAATTTGTAGCAATGCTGTTCAGTGCTGTCGTAGAGGCATGAGAAGATGGCGACGTATTTGAAACGAACGTCAAAATTGTTTGATTTATCGTTATCGCGGATGTCTGCGGAGGTGAATTTGAGGGACTTGATGTGCCCAGTGTGCAGAGGCATCCTGATAGAGCCAGTGACGCTCCCATGTACGCACAATTTGTGTTTAAGGTGCCTCAAGGGTACCTTCGAGCACAACAGTCTGAGTTGTCCGCTCTGTAGAGTTCGTGTAGGTTCCTGGCTACGTACGGCCACCAAGTCGGAAACTCTCGTAAATAACGGACTCTGGGAACTCATTCGCACCAAATTCCCGAGAGAAGTCGAAAGCAAGCACAACGGCGACGAGGCTGACATCGAGCTGGACTCTGGTGAGCGTCACTCCTCAAAGAATAAACAAACCGAACCTAACCTATCAGCGCGTAGAACACGTATATAACACCTATCTTTTAAGGCTAATTGTGAAATTGTACTCAATCTTCTCTCTGTTTTCTCTCCGCGGTGTTTCGTCGTTACGTTTTATTTCATTTTCCACCCATCTGCACACATTCCTTTGAAATTGGTTCGCTTACCGATGCTGAAGATTTAGATACTATGGGGGTGATATTTACTTGTGTTGTTATACTTTATATTAGTCAAATGAGTTGAATGATCGAGTGAATGTAATCGACATATTGTAAGTGTAGGGAGAGTCGAGATAGAGGTCTGATTTGTTTAGATAATTTTTTACTCCGATTTTGGGACTCGTTTAACAAAGCGTATTTTATTTCAACGATGTAGACTACACCAGGACGAACAAAATACTCAGTGCTGCTGGAGAGATTCGTAGGGAATATGAGGCTCAACTGCGAATTGCCGAAGAAGAGATGCGAAGGCAGCGGGAGGCAGAACGAATCGCCAGCGAAGCCTTGATACGAAAAATTCAGGAGGAGGAACAGCACCAGTTAACACAGTTGGCCCAAGATCAATTATTGGCAAAAAGTTTGGCGAAGAGACAAATTATGGATAAGGACAACGAAGCGATGAGATACTATAATGAGTATTTGAACGTCTCGATGCCGGATTGCAACATCGAAAAGTCAAAGTTGAATATGCACTTAACACCTGTCACCGATGCAGAACTGTCAACGGTAGCTGGTATAAATTTACAGGACGAGAAGGCGATTGTAATTAAATCAAGGGATGGCTTAGAACCACGGAAATCAAATGTTGCATTAATATCGAAAATTCGGACAGAGCGATATGCTTCTAACATAAGGGGCAATCCTTCAAATATATATAATGACATTGCTGATAATAAATTATGCTGTCAAAAAGCAATACCTATGCATAACACCGTAGCAAGAACATTGAAGCATCCGGTCATATCGAAATTTCCACAACCTTGCGGTTCAAAGTATGTACCGGAGCCTGGTTGCTCTGGTTCTAAAATGTATGGTTTACAAAGTAAAGAAGAATTACATGTACCGAGTGATGTTTTGACTAATAACAAAAAGCGATTAGGAGTTGAAGTTTGCGTGACCGTTGGCGAGGACGACGAAAGAATTGGAAGTGCAGAAAGCGCTGGCAGTCATGATAGTATTAATCAAGAAATTCATCATTTTAAACCTATAAAAGCAATGCCAAGAACACCGCTCAAAATGTCTCCAGGTAATAAGAATAGAATTTTATTAATTATTGTAGAATTATCACTGTCCACTATTATGTATATTATTCTGTTATAATGATATCTATGATTGAGCTGATAGACTATTTAATTTCAGATGGTAAGCAGATAGATCCAAAATTAATTCGAGTTATCCCTTTGTTGAAATACGTTTCCAATGTTGTGCCAAAACCTCCGGCACCGACTCATTTGAAACGGATGATCGGTTGCTCCTGGAGTGCCTTTAAAGGTACGTAATAACTCATTCTTCTTATTGTCCTGTTTTCTGGCCATCTTCACTCATGCAATTAATTTTTGCTCCTGACAGGTAAAGCACGACAAGACTTGAAGATAAAAGAAACATCTGGCGAACTGAGTACTGCGGAAGAGGATACCGACAAGAAATCATCATCGTCACTGCTGAACCAATTTCAGAATATTTCTAATAAGTTAGTAAAATCTCAGGTGTCCGAAACGGTTCGAAGGCTTGACCTTGAACCCGAATTAGCATTTGACAGTAATAAGAACTATGCGAAGAACATTAACCGAATGATCAATGGTACTAAAGTTAGCAAAAAATTAATTCTGGGCAAGGACATGGAGCCGGAAAGGATTGGCAAATCTTGGAAAGGTAAAAATGGAATACTTGTCAAATGTAGACGTCAGAAGAGCTGGGACGAACAGAAGGACGTGGAACACGTTGACTCGAAGATTTCAGGAGACGATGATAACGAAGATTCCGACATCATCCTCTGTTCGCCCAATCCCGCGGAAAGTTCCTCGAAATATCACGAGAACACGGTAGGCTCCTCGAACGTGGCAGTGCACGAGAACATTGCGGAAAGAATGAAGAAGAGAAAAGCGCACCTCGGTAACGAGACTTCGCAGAACGCCAGGGACCTTGTAGAACCAGAAAACGTGCCTAGGAGGACGACGAAGAAATCCAACAAAAAGAATTCCGTCTGTTCGGAGCCCTTCGAGGACACTGGCTCGGCATTAAGTGGGAGACAAAAAAGGAAAGCGGCCTCCAAGAGTGCACCCAAGTCGAAGCGACAAAGACCCTACAGATTAACTCGAGCAAACTTTACCAATTTAACGGGCAGCGTCGAATCGCTGATCGAGTCCAGCGACAACGGCGTGGCCTCCGAGGCAGGGAAACTCTCTTGCAAGAGGGCCAACAAGAAAACGCCGAGAAGTTTGCTGAAGGGGGACGAGTTCAACTCTCTCGAAAAAAATCTGAGCGAGACCGAGGATTTGTACGACTCCGGAGACGGCAGAGCCAACGAGTCGGCCTCCGAGGACAACGGGCTGGACACCGATGACCCCTCCTACGGTGACCCTCAGAAATTGTCCGAGGAGGACGTCATCAAGGAGCAGGAACGGATCGAGAGGCTCGTTCTCCAGGAGAAGCAAGACTTCGAGCTGGCCCAGAGACTGCAGGCCAAATTCAACGAGATGGAGAGAATAGCCGGACGCACCAGGGGCTCCAGAAGGGCCCTCGAGAACGGCAGCCTGGAGGCGGATCTCTTCAAGATCGACTTGAGGAAGAGTGCCAAGAAGACCAACGCGCACACTGCCAAACGAGCAATCAATGGCGAGGTAACGAGCAGTCCCGGTAAGCAGCGAAGGCCTCAGAGACGAGCGGCGAAATAATGCGTCTGTCCTTCGCACCCATCGTCGTAACGAGCCCTCCAACGCGGATGTTCCTATATATAAACTTAACGCAAGGCGGTTTCAAATTCACCGTGGGTATTGCAACACTTTTTATGTCATTCATTTGTCCGACACGATGATACGTACCTGGTTGCCTCGAGGAGGGCCGTGTCAAGACACCCGTCAAGAAATGTCATTTTATCGGAGGCCTGGATTACTCTACGTTGCGTTCGTAATGCATTAATGGGCTTTTACATTTATTATTCCTGACACGTCGTGTGATTTTACCGAAGATGCGGCAGATCGTCCGATAGAAATTTATATTTCACGCATTTCTACTGGCCTGTAATACTACTCTAGAATAAGGGTAACTAGGCGAGGATTTTTTTAAATCATTTTAAGTCAGTGCTGGTCTTACGGATTATTCCTGGGGATTTTCGAGCGCACTTGGGGAATTACACTACGTGTCATTGGCAGCGTGCATGAAGAGGTACTCGAAGTGCAACGAGCGTCGTGGGCGCATTTGTACGGGCGTCAAAGATATTACGTTATCTGGTCATTTGGTTAATTAATCTCTTACATTTTTCTCTCCATCTTGTCATGGACGATGTAGGCGTAACACGGTACAAATGTACTCACTTCCGACTCACGTAAAATGAGATTCCTTGGACGAAGTCGGTTAAACGGGGCTTAGAAAAATCGCTCCTCGGTTGAACGAAGTTTCTGCCTTGGCTGGTTTTCTTTTTCTTTTTTTTTTTTTCCCAAAGAATCGGATCCCGAAGAAATATTTTCCTACATTTACGAGAGGTCGGGGACCTTCATCGTGGCTCCTCACCTTTCTTGTACAATTATAAATGCCCGAAGTTTAATGATATTCAAAGTCCATTGATTTCGTTGTCGATCGCGATATGTATTCGAGAAGTAACGCAAGATTCAGGTCCGCGGGACGAGGAGGAATTAAAGAATTATTAATTTTTTCTCACGACTCCGTCTATGCGATCGTCTGACGAAGCGAAGGCGGAGCTCGATTTTGATCTTTTGGTGTTTATGGATACTTTGTGCCACAAGTTATAATTGTATGCTCGATATATATATATTTTTTTTTGCGTAAAGAGGAAGGAAGGGACTACGATCGAGGATGAGGGATTTTTTTTAAATGCCGGTTGTTGATACCTATCGCCAACGAGACTACCGCGCGGACGGTAGAGGTTCCTCTTGGATTCAAGACTCAATTGTACATTTGCTTAAAATTAGGGTACGTAGTATTGATTAAAAGTCTGTGAATTCTTAATTCTAAGTTCGAACTCAACCTTGGAGCGCCATCAATCCGTGGATTTTACTATTAAGCGAGCGTCGTCCCGCCCTCGACGGGGGACGCGCATAGGATTTAATTTTATAAATACTGTTGCGCGATTAATTATAAATACTGTCCATCGATTTAACGGTCCGGAAGTACGTCCACGAGCTGTAATCAGGCTGGCGAATCAAACGCGAAACGGTGGCCTCGTTTTAACGTCGTTCCAAGCACCTATCAAAGGATTTGAAGTACCGGCTAAGAAGTATTAATATAACGAAGTACTCTAGTTACATTTCGATCTATTCGGGGCAATACCTCGAGCTGCGTTGTCCTTACCAGGGTGCAAAAGCAACGAGCTGCGTTATTATACGTTTACGTAAATTATTAGTCATCGAGGACCTCCACCTTCTGGGCCACTGCTCCTCTTCGCCTTGCGCAATCGTTTACGTGCAACCTTCTTATATACCCTTATTACGCGATAAATCGTAGAATTTAATTTCGGTCTCCCTATTGAGAAGCGTCCTCACTTTATTAATTCCAATCTAAGACGATATTCCCAGCTAGGACGTGGCGATAAACCATAGAAAATTATAGATACCCAATACTGCGGTGACACATTCGTGCGAGCTCTCGCTTTTCACCGTTTACAGATCTAACACGTTCCGTTGGCGCGATTTACACCGGGGGAAGATGAAGTATTTTTTTACAACCGCCCCTGGCTTCGTAGAATTTCTAAAGATCAAGCAAATCGGAGGATCCTTCATCGTGCCGCTCTGACTTCTCTCTCTCTCTCTCTTTTTTTTTCCCCCTTTTTTCCTTACTTTTTTATACGCTTTCTAAGAGTGGCCGTCAGACGCGAAGCGAGAGGCTTATCAATTTCCTCGCGATAAACGTCTTCCGCGCCCTGATCGAATCTTCGGACCACTCTTTTTCGGATCGGATGAGATATGCGCCGGTGCACCGAACGCGGTCACAGGGACAATGGAGTATACGCGGCCTCGTAAACGCGGAATTGACTCTCTGCCTGGGGAATAAAATTCCAACCGAGGGACTTTTGCCCGCGCCTCGTCCGCCCTAATCCACTCGTAAAAATGAAAATTTACCGCCAAAGGGTAAATCTCGGCCCCGGATTTATCGCTTGACGCGAATCAACGTCTGAGTCGAGCGATTTTTTTTTCTCTCCACTAGCTTTTTTTTTCTTTTTTTTTTCCACCCCCGGAACCGGAGAGCCCTTCCTTTGTGATCGCGGGGGTGCAACGTCGAGTCGATTTGCTCAAATCTTTTATGTTGATCGCTTCGACTCGTCGATGCGGTTTCCCTAGAATTTCGGGGGAAGGCTTAATTGTACAATGGCGTTTTTCCTATTTACAGAGAGATTTAGAAATCATTGCTATACGTCACTTAACGATTAATGCCGCAGACCCGATTACATTTGATCAGGCTTTCGCCGTTTCCTTTCGTTACGAGTTAAGAGGTGCCGATCGCATAGTTAGATTGTAGCGAGGGAGCGACTTCCTGGCCGAGAGGACTCATCTCGGCCGGGTCGGAAATCGCTGGTCCAGATCGAACGCCGATCGTGCTAATCGTACTACGAGCTAATCCTTGGAGAATTAACCTCCTGTTAAGACGAGACGAGATCACGCGGCTGGCGGCGAGGGAATTAAATACCAGAGTATATAGATAAATATCCTAGCGTTACGATAATAATGTGTATTGAAATATCATGTATTAATACCGAATGAATAGATTATAAATAAAAGTAGTCTTGCATCGAAGACCGGGATTCGACGTCCGAATAAAAGTATCAAGTACACCTGGTGTCGTTTTATCGGGCATCGCTTTGCTTTTTGGTCATTCTGTGGCGACATCGAGAAACGGGGTAATCGTCCTTTCGAGCGTTTACGTGCGAGCGGTTTAACTCGGTTTTTTTTATTTTTTTACATTAAGTCCCTCCAAATTTTTCGGACTGATTAATTCCATCGGCACTAAATTCGGTCACTGCGGTGTCGAGATTGATTACGGACTTCGATTATCGGTCGGGCGAGATTCGGTGAAATTGAACGTCCCGATCTGCGACTCTGTAATCAGATTCTCGGGCAGGTGTAGGGGGGATTTGCACCCTCGGGTTCGTAGGAACTTTACGTGGACTAGGTAGTATTGCAGGGGCTAATTCGGTATATGATAAACCGCTGATAATGGCTCTCACTTGCCGAGGTATTATTAGCGCCATTAGGTGCGTAACTTGGACGAGGGTCACTCGTACGGACGCGTAGAAAGTCGGCGCGCGAATTCAACCAACGGGCCCGTGTGTGGGAAGTAAACGTTATTTACCGAGGGGATCCGCGCGTGTGTGGATATGTATTACATACCTACACGACAGGTAGAATGCATGGGATATAAATCCCCGGGAGTTGCTCCAGCGTTGAGCTCCCGGCAAGCGCGGTTTGCACTGGGTCAGAGACGGATAACGAAGAGGACGTCCTGAAAATGATAATCGGAAATTACTGGGAAATTTTTATACACTGTATATATATTTAGTGGGTGGAGAAGTTTTCGGCGAGGGACCCTGGGAATGTTTCGGTGTAGTTGTGTCATCCGGGTAGGAAAAAAAAAAAAAATATTTCTATAAGTAACATCTTTTAAGGGGGCGTCCGGGATGTCTTTATACGCGCCGGAAGGAGGAAACGAGGAAACCCGAATTTTCGGTCGCCTCGTCTAATGAGGAATGCCTTGCGTTTATGCCCCATCGGGGAAATGTATCGCCGGGGCGCTTTGTTCCTTTGAGGGCTTTGAGGGTAAATTCTGGCCGCCATTTAATCATCCCGCCGCTCCGGAAGAGCGCCGCGCCCTGGCGTGACGTCCCGTCGATTGGATCAGTCGTTCACTTGGAAAAATAAAACTGAAAGGTCCTCGAAACGCTGAACGTCGATGCGATTACCTGTGACCGATAGTCGTATTTTCCAGGCTGCCCCCCGGCGAAACGGCCGGCCGGCAGGAACGGAATTGATATACCCTGGAAATCGGCAAAGTGGCCGCGGGTGGTGTCAGGAAAAGGGATGAAAAAAAAAACGTGGACCCCGATACGAATACCGCGTCGCATGGTTTTGTGTTATCTCCCGCCCTGTATAACTGGAATTCCTGTATTTCCAATTATATCTCCATTTATCAATCTCGTAATGGCGATGACGACCGTTCGGCCTTGGCGCCGTCTACGTTCACGGCGTCCAGGTGCCGCGACCTCGGGGGCATTTTGGCAGGACTTCGAGAGGGGCTCGCCTGAACGCGGCCCTCTGGGATGAGGAAAGGAGAAAGAAAAGGGTACTCGCGATAGAGGAGGTCGGGTGAGAGGCCCGGACCACGTCGTTCGCAACGTGACCGGGGACCACGTGACAGTGACAGCCAATCGGAGCGGCCGCGCGGCCCGCGGTCACGTTGCGCTCGGCGTGGCTCGAGCCCCTTCCCTCGTCCTCCGTCACCGCGATCGCGTTCAATCGCGCAGTTGAGCGCAGTTTAACGCCAGCGGTAGATTTTCACGGTGCTTTTCGCCGATCGAACCCGTCGACGGGGAGATCCGATCTCGGAAAGTGGAGGACGGTCCTGAAAGGCGAGGGAAATTTCGCAAAGGGGAGGGACTCCACCCGCGCGTTCGGAAAATCCCTCGCGGAACCGAATCGCAGATTTCGGAAACGTTTCCCTCCAAGACCCGCAATTCCCACGATTCGGAGGTGGCGGCCTTTCGAATCGTGTATTTGACGGGGCGAAGTTCGGCCTGGGGGGAACGAGACAAGTGCGAGCGCGCGTCCTGTTTTACCGACGCGTCGGTAAGGGAGGGACTCGCTCTAGAGAGGCGGGTGGAAGGCATCGACCGGATCTTCGATTATGACTCGCCGAGGGATGCGAAGGGTGCCCGGGAGACAAGATTAAGTACGTCCACGTGGTGGTTGGATTTTTAAACCGAGGTTAGAAAGTCACGGAGAGTGCCCACGCTGCCGCCGACAGGTTTACGGCTTGCTCGATCGGTTTAATACGTCGGGTTGCGATACACCCTGTGGCTTTTTTTATCCCCATTTGCCGGCACGTGCTGGGTGTTTTTTTTTTTTTTTCCCGGACAATGGGTGTATGTACCTGGCTTAATGGAACTATCTCCAGGAGGGTCGTCTTTATGAAAGCGATCCCTAGGGGGTTTATCGCTGTTGGGATTTTTCTATATATTTTTGGGAAGAGGTACTCCATGTTGGATGTACGTACAATGTCGCTTTTTGGCCAGTTGGTCTATGGAATGAATTAGGCTCGATCGGAGAGCAGTCGGACCCCGAACGTAAATCCACTTTGTAATTGGCATCGCTCGATTGGCATTGGTGTAATTGCTCGTTTCCAGATCTGCGGCCACTTAACTAGCGCAATCGGTTCGCCGATAATTAAAGTTACGTGTGCGTCGTCGCGATCGACCGAGGGAATATCCCGAGGACGGTACTTACCGCGACTCCAAGATTGCATGAATTTCCCCCCGGGATTCGCGGGATCTCTCCCGAATATCGTACGGGAAAGTTGAACGCCGGATGCACGCTCCGAAGCGCAGACAACGCGTTTGAGGAAAACAGTGCCTGGAATCTATTTAGGGGAGGATTTCATTCGCGATAATAATCCCGCTTTGGAACTGGATATTCCATGGAAAATGGAGTCGGTTATTCGGCTACAGCCGAGAGACATTTGTATCCCCGAAAAAGGTTGAGAGAGAATTATAAATCCTTTTACGACGACCCGAGGAAAAACCTGCGACTGGTTAAAGAGCAGTTTTTCAGTTTCCTCAGGGTTAAAATAACCCGATATCACCGACATCCGGTTAAGTCAGCTTTAAGGCTCCGTCGTATGAAAAGGTCCCTTATATGAAAAGTTTCCGGAAGGAAGTCCGCGGTAAAGGTGTCTCGGGGGGAGTGAACTCGAGCCGTAAAAATCTTCCCTGGCTCGTTGCTCAATTCTCGCGGAATTCTCCGTCGAGATTGGTGTCTAGGATCGGCGGCATCGTAGTCGCCGTAATCGACCGTGGAAATAGCTCCACGTAGTGCGGGTATTAATTAGATTGCGCAATCATCACCGGGATTATCATAAAACGGAGCCTTTGAATGGACGCTTAAGAGCGGGCGCTAAATTTACGCGGTTACCAGTTACCGGCAATTATTTCTTCCGCACTCAGAGGAGGAATAACAATCGTGGAAATGAATTCCCTAGTGCGGACGTGCGAGCGAGAAGCCAATGCCATTTAGCGAGGGCCTCCTCCTCCTCGACTTGGACCTTGAAATCCCAGGGTTGGAAAACCCTCCCTTCCTCGTTTCGAAAAAAGTACCCCGGTAATAATTTCCCCCTTTATCTTGCAGCGAGACCGGCAGTCTTCGGCGAGGAGAAGTAATCCGAAGAGTGCACCTACGCCCTTTACAGAAGACGACCCTTTTCCACGGGGGAAGGTGAACCGATCGATCGAAATCCAAGACCCTGGCAGCATGTCTCTGGAAACAAACGGAAGCCGCGCACTGTTCCAGATCGACAAATCGCTTTAGAGCCGCCCGTAGATAAGAGGAACGGAGCCGCAATCATGGCGCATTTTTTCAAAGACTAAATTCTCGCCGGAATTAAAAGATGACCGGAAGTCTGTCGGAGCTGGACCAGGGACCTCCCACCAGGGGAGGCAGGGGGAAACACACGGTCCATTGGTTTCGAAAAGGGCTGCGATTACACGACAACCCTTCCTTAAGGGATGGCCTCCTCGGCGCGTCCACCTTCAGATGCGTCTTCGTCCTGGATCCCTGGTTCGCAGGGAGCACGAACGTCGGCATCAACAAGTGGAGGTGCCAAAGATGATCGATATTAAGAGCAAGCGAACCCTTGCGAGAGATTCGCCGGAGTCTTACCACGACTCGGAGAAATTCCGCGGCTTTGGTTTGTCGTTAAAAGCCGGTGGTTCTTCTCCGGCCTTCTCCGGTGACTGGGAAATTAATGGCGAGGAGTTTCGGACTTGGCATGGGGGGCTTGGATATCGAAGTTTCTTCGATTGGGCATTCCGGCGAATTTCTACGAGATTTCACGTCATCTCGAAAGTTTCACAGCCGGCCAGTAAGCATTTCCCGAGGAGGCGCTCCCGAAGTTTGCCGAGCTGACTGCAAAACATTCGAGAGGCGCAACGGAGAGAGAAATGCATCGGCTGTGTCATCAGTTGCACCGGCCGATATATATTTTCATGAATGTCAATACTTAACGCGTGCCGCACTGTCGGGAATTACGGGTTTTAAGTGTAAGCTAATTTAGAAATTGTTCGCTGAATCTGGGAAGGAAATAGCGTCGGCGCTCCCTTTTTAGAATCTCCTCCGGTCGATACGTCGCAAGCTCTATTTCCTGAAAGTGGCGTAACCTTTAGCAGCAAAAATACTATTGCGCTAACAACAGGTAGATTTTACACGACAGGCGTTGGGATCCGTCGAAGAATTTTTTTACTCGTTAAAGGGGCGAAATCAACCCTCGACCCTTGTCGAGGAGTTTGGGCGCGAACTCCTGAAATATTTTCTTAATAATCGGCCCATTCGATCTTGTACGACGGAGTGTGCCCTGGAAGGCGGCATTGTTTAATGGTTATTAATTGTGTCCTCGTTTCCAGATTCCTTCTGCAGTGCCTCGAGGACCTGGACTGCTCGCTGAGGAAGCTTAATTCCCGCCTCTTCGTGATACGTGGCCAGCCGGCCGATGCCTTGCCAAAACTCTTCAAAGAGTGGGGCACCACGAATTTAACCTTCGAGGAGGATCCCGAGCCTTTCGGACGAGTCCGGGACCACAACATCTCCACCCTCTGCAAGGAACTCGGCATTTCCGTGGTGCAGAGGGTATCGCACACCCTCTACAAACTGGACAAGTGAGTATTCTCTGGAGATCGTTTGGCCAACGAGCACTCCAGGTTCTCTCGGCTCGAACTTTACCCGGGCACAGCTGGGGTACATTTCCGGTATCTGGGACGGCGAATTTACTTCCTTCCGCCCATTGGAACTCGCCCTGGGACTCGATCCTTGACTCCATGCAGATTTTTATTTTTTTTTTTTTCCAATAGAGCGCAGTTGTATAATGTTTGGTTTTTTCTTTCTTTCATTTCTAGGATCATTGACAGAAACGGGGGCCAGTCGCCGTTGACTTACCACCAGTTTCAGAACATCGTGGCCAGCATGGAGCCTCCGGAACCGCCGGTACCGACCGTAACCAGCGCGTGCATCGGCGGTGCATATACCCCCCTAGAAGACGACCACGACGACGTTTACGGGGTCCCCACTTTAGAGGAATTAGGTGAGGCGCGAACGAGGTGGTTGCACAGAGCTCGATTAAAATTTAACCGGTGTTTGCGTATCGATATGAATCGCGTTTGAGCGCGGTCTAAGGCAGCGCTTAAACCCCAGGTTAAATTTTAAAGCGAAATCTATACCCCCTCAGACATAGCGGGAGGCAGTTAAGGCGGAATAAGCGAGTTACCCCAAGTTCTTAGATTCCGACCGGTTAAGTCTTCGCCCTTAATTTCCCCCAGATCCCGTCGAATAATTAAACTTGCATTCGGCACAGCTTCCCCTATCGTTCTTTTGGCTCGCTTAAAGCTGTATTAATGTAATCTTACGGCGATTTCGGCTAGAAGAAACGAACGGAGGTGAAGCGACGCTACCCTTGCTCGGGGATCGAATTCTCGCTCCCGATATGACATCTCCGAGGAAGTGGACCATATTTTTACTCTGCCTGACGTATCGACATTTAATTGGCTCTAAGGTTTCTCGCGCCCCGGCGCTACGGGTGCCCAGTGGAACGACAAGAAGTCGAGATGTCGGCCCGATGGACGTTCCCATTATAAAAGGCGTTTTCCAGGCTTCGACACGGAAGGGTTGCTTCCGCCCGTTTGGGTCGGCGGGGAGAGCGAAGCTCTGGCGAGGCTGGAACGTCATCTCGAGAGGAAAGCCTGGGTGGCAAGCTTTGGCAGACCGAAGATGACACCGCAGTCCCTGCTGCCGAGCCAGACCGGCCTCTCGCCCTTCCTCCGATTCGGGTGTCTCAGCACTAGGTTGTTTTACTACCAGTTGACGGATCTGTACAAAAAGGTCAGCGAAATGGATCCCATCCGACCCTGTCGAGCGAGACCGTGAATGTACCAAAATGAGCGAACAGCGAATTTGAACCGTTCCACGTCTTTTTTTCCAGATAAAGAAGACCGCGCCTCCACTGTCGCTCCATGGGCAGCTTCTATGGCGGGAGTTCTTCTACTGCGCCGCGACGAAGAATCCGAATTTCGATCGGATGCAGGGCAACCCGATTTGCGTGCAAATACCCTGGGACAAGAACGGCGAGGCCCTGGCCAAGTGGGCAAACGTGAGTAAACTCCTCCGGATCCATCTTGATACTTTCCCCACCTGCGATGCCCGCCCCCGGGAGGGGAGTCCTTCGGTCCTCGACCTAGTTGGATCTTTAAAATCTTCGATTCCATTTCGAGCCTCTCTTGAACAGGGCCAGACGGGGTTTCCATGGATCGACGCGATAATGACGCAGCTCAGGGAGGAGGGCTGGATCCATCCCCTGGCCAGACACGCCGTGGCTTGCTTCTTGACCAGGGGGGACCTTTGGATCTCCTGGGAGGAAGGAATGAAGGTAAAATGTCGCGCTAAGTGCTGGCATTTCAGACTCGCTAAACGAGAGCCTCGCAGGAGCTGCGAAATGTCCCGTCGACCTGATGAGGTCGGCTTGGGGGAAAGATTTATTTACCCGGGGGTGCATGTCGTTCCAGGTTTTTGACGAACTTCTCTTCGACGCCGATTGGTCCGTCAATGCCGGCATGTGGATGTGGCTGTCCTGCAGCTCGTTCTTTCAACAGTTCTTCCATTGCTACTGTCCGGTCCGCTTTGGTCGGAAAGCAGACCCTAATGGCGATTACATTCGGTAGGGACGGACCTCTGGATAGGGAAGCTAATTCTCCCACGGTAACGAGAGCGGTAAAGAAACGGTACAAGTAATTACTTACCTTCGTCAGGCGTTACCTACCGGTGCTGAAGAATTTCCCGACTCGGTACATCCACGAGCCCTGGAATGCACCATTGAGCGTGCAGCGCACCGCTAAGTGCATCATAGGGAAGGAATACTCCAGGCCCATGGTGAATCACAGCAAAACCTCCAGAATTAACATCGAGCGCATGAAGCAAGTCTACCAACAGCTGAACAAGTATCGCGGAACTGGTGAGTGTAAGTTGCAAAGGGCCAAATGCACCGGATACCTTTTTATGCTCCGAAGAGTCCAGTGTCGGCTCTCCGGGGAGCTTCCGCATGATCTTTTGCAATGTTTTACGCGCAAAGCGTTTACAGCGTCGGTTTGTTTCTTCTTGGTTGCAGAAGGACCCGCAAAGGGGACGGCAGATGCCGGGTAAATGACGTTAATTGTTAAATTATACGCGAGGGGGGATTCATCTCGAGAGGTCAGCCGATTAATCGACGTGTTCTCTTTCTTTCTGTCCGCGGGGTCAAGTCTTACTTCCTGAAGCGCATCTTTCCTCGAGGGGGTGCAGCCACCCGGAGGGGAACCAGGAAGAGTCCCCGACGAGTCTGGAAGCCAGCTGGAAGGTGGACGGTAACGCAACGTGTCGATAACGCCCAGAAAATCGGCACTTATCGAACATTCGATTTCGATCGCAACTTCGGCTGGATTTTGGCGAGGGCGGGTGTATTATTTAATTCCTATTTTATATAAAAATAAACGAGAGGCCGAGAAGTTCGATCGACTCTGCAGGAAGGGGTGTGAAGGAGTAATTAAGAAATCGGTGATAACTGATGATAGGAGTGATATTAAAATAAGGCGGGAAATGACAATGAAAAGTGCAGTGAACGATCGCCAGGACTTGGCAGCCGGTCAAGAGGTGTAACGAAGGAGCCCAAATGGTTTCATGTCAACAAATGATATATTTTTAGTGCCTATACAGTGAGTTTCTTGTCTCCTCTAGTTTTACAGTACATTTTTTTCTCATTAGATTTAAACAATTACAAATGAATACTGCTCGTAACACTCAAAAACGAAACTAACTCTCTCGCCGCAACCTCGCTCACTCTCCCTCTCTTACAAATGATTACGCAGCGCTCTCTCGATAACTATTACCATAATCGTCCTGGTAGTATTGACAGTAGTGACAGTAATGATGATAATAATCAATAATAATAACAATAACCCCATCATCGTCGTTATTAATCGCGAAGTACTCTCTAGATTTACATTACGCGGGCGTACGCTCGTGCCCGAACTTACATCGAAACTTAAGAAATCGCACGGTACAAACGCAAACGATTAATGATCTTCGTTTCGTTTCGTTCGAGCAGGATCGCTCCAGGACTCTGAATGGAGCAGGTGCGGGAGCGGTCGGGTTATGGAGTCAGTGATGGACCATCTCGAGATGTTTTTCTCTGTCAAGCGCCGTTCAGGAGGAGCGGATTTCACGCTTTACGCGGAGAGTCCGAAAACTCGAGGAGAGGTAATGTCTCGCGGATCTTGATTTATTTATTTATTTTTATTTTTTTTCTCTTTCCTTTCAGGTCATCCTTAGAAAATGCCCATCTCGCGGGGAGGTGCTCGATGCATGTATGCGACGACTCTTCGCCGGATTTCATATTTCAAGGACTTGGCTCTTGATGGACCATGGAATTAACGTCGCAAGCGATGACGCGTAATTCCCGGTCGAGGCAGAGCTCGTTAAAGGTCTTCACATTTGTCTAGGAAAATCAAGCCCGAAGCTTATCGATCGGAGGTGGGATTCCTGGAGGATCGTCTTCCGTTCCGCGTTCTCCAGCCGGAGCGGGTCCTTATGCATTCCGGGCAGGCGCAATCAATGGGGAGCGCGATGAGACTTCCCCGAGGGAATTTTATCCCGCGACAAAGATCCCTGCGGAAATTCCGACGATACGTCCCTGTCGTCCGCACCGGTTCCGCCCGACGCAACGGAGCATAATGTATGCGCAGCAATTCCGCATTTCGGACCCGCCACCGAGCCCTGCGATCCGGTCGATTTTCCGCTCTCTATCCGTCTCGCTCCTATCGGCCCTCTCGCTCTTGCCCCCGTTGAAATCTCTTCCCGGATGGCCTCGCTCCGATTTTCCCGGCGAAGTGGCCTTCGAGGGCCGACTTTTCCGAAATCCATCGGGATGATTTCCCGGGGAAAAGCCCCGTCGAGGTCGACAGGAGCGATTCGGCGGACACGCGCCGACCTTACCGCGACTCTTCGCGGGAATTCCTCCTTATTCGACCGGCGAACCTCATATTGATCCTTTCCGTTCATTTCAGAATTTCCCGGCACCTCCTGATTTTCCTCGCCTTTTTTCCCGCTCTCGATTAGAGGATCCTACCTGCGGAAAGAAAGACGTCGGCGGAAGGGGCGAGTCGGTGCATCGCGCCTCATCGGTGGTATTGACGCGGGGGTGGCGTGCACTTCGAAAATGACAACTAACGCCCGATACACGACCCACTTCCGATTGCCGTCGGTGAGCACGCGGTGCGGAAAGTGCGGCCGCATTGTCGGGCTAGGAAAGATGAATCCATTGTCGCGGCCGCGGAAGAGACGCACAGGTGCCGGGAAACGCGGCGCCGAGGACGCATCTAATTCCGTGAGGCAGTCTCGCTTTTTTCTTTTTTTTTCCCCACGAATTCGCCTACGATTTCACCCCCCTTTCCTGGATTTATCTCGAGGCTTTGATGTCCAAGCGCTCTAAAAAGGGGAACGACACCTGACGGTAGAGAATATATCCGAATGAATTTCCTTCGGCGATTTCCGATCTCCTAATATGTGATGACGCGTAAAGGGGTAGGTTTGGTGGGTTGTTTTTTTTTTTCTCTCTTCTTCTAATCTCCGGGTAAGAGGAGAAAATCCCTCGGGGGAGGCGATGAAACAAACGACAGGAGTTTCGGGAGTGGACGATGACGCATCGGGGACTCGGCAATGCGGAGTCGTAACGTCGGCGGAACTTGGGGTCGTGGTCGGGCTTTAATTTTCCGGCATGTCTCATCCGAGTGCGACGACCTTTTGATGCCTCCTCGAGGGTGCTCCGACCCGGCGAAAAGTCGGCGTCCTGATGGATCGCGACGCTTCCTTCGGAAATGTCGGGAAGCTCGAGAGGTGTTTCAAGGGGCCATGAAACTTTAATTTACGGCGCGGCGAGCAAAAGCCGCGCAAAAGGAAAGCGCAACCCCCGCAGCGATCGGGGCGTTCTGCCGATAAAAACGGGATATTACCCTCCACTCGGGAAATATAATGTGATAATTTGCATCTCTATGCGAGGACCTCCACGGTCGGGAGAAAAAGTAACGTCGATCGTCGGCAATTATCCGGTGATTTCTCGGGGGGGTCGTAATGGTGTCTAGGCGTAGAAATTCGGGGATTAAGGAATCCTCGTCGAAGGAAATTTCCCTCGGATTATTTCCCCGCGACCAGAGCTCGAGGAAGGCTCTCGCCCGGAGGGGAAGCATTTTCAGGAAACATTCTTCCAGTCGAAAGTTCAAAAGTCGCAGCTCCTCCTCTGGGGACAAGATGGCGGCGACACGGTCCGCGGCAGCCCGGAAACGGGAAGGAGAAAGAGCGAGAAGTTTGTTACGTTCGGAGGCCTTAAAGCAGTTTCGCAAGAACAAAGTGCCGCGGTGTTTCAGTCAAAGATACCGGACCTACTCCCGGCCGCTCGCGTTTCCGCCGGCGGAGTAATTTGAGCATTAATTCGCTCGCGATTGGATTCCTGGACGTGGAAGTAGAAGACGTAGGATACCGCCTTTCGAGGGGTCCGAGATTATCGGCTCGGATGTAAATTGCGAGCGATTTTATTTTAATGCGCTTCTGTATTTCTGGGTCTCCGACGAGACGCGTTTCGCATAAAGCTCTGACACTGGAGCAAGCCGTGATATATCTTACGTAATCGTATCGGTAGAGTAGGTGTTTAAGATTTAGGCTATTTTTCGTGAGGAATGCAGAGAGCTCGCGCTTTACACGAAGTGCGGCAAAATAAAGCGTGGTAGTAGAGGCTCATTTGGGCTCGACTAAAATTTTCGACGAGGTACGAGAGAGCCTCGAGTCCGAGAGAACGAGCCTCTGGTCCTGTCACGTCGGAACTGTCAAAAGTAACAGGGAGGTCGCGTATTATTTACAAATTCCCCCGTTCAAGCGAGCACGCACTACGGGGTAGCGTTAACGAAGCGTCCATGGCGCAACGATTGGCCGTTTAGGTGGGTGGACGCTCGTGCAATCGAGGACTCTGGAGTACGCGTGATACCGGTGACGAGTATATACACGGCTATAGGAATATTCGAGGAGGATGCACTCTACGTAGTGACATAAAATACCGAGTGTGGGTTCCTTTAGTCCTGACAATGCGACGAAATTCGAGGATGCGCGCGTGTTGCGACATTTTGAGTCGCGGCGGATATTCCCGACGGAAGTATCGATTAAAATCGCTCGATTGTACGTTTCGACGAAGAGCCTTCTTCATCCGCGTGGGAAACGCCCGAGTAATTCGGCTGCAACGGCGCGGTTGCTGTGGACGCAGTTTCCCGAATATCGAGGACGCGGTTGCCAGAGACGCGGCAGCCATGGCAACGGTTGCTACGGACGCTAGGCGGTTTTGAGGGACCATCGGACGCGCGGATTAAAAGGACCGATGGGAAGTGGACGAGCGGTCCAAATGGACAACGAAGGTCCAAGATAACGAAAAACCGATTGAACGACTGCTGCATCGAGTCTTTTATCGAAATTAACCCTTTTGACCGCCGAAAAATCTGGAATTCCGGCCCAAACTCTGCGGTATCCACGGGAACGAGGCGTCGCAACGCTCGCGCATCCTGTCGACGAGTGCTGTGACCTCCGAACCTTTAGAATGAATCTCCTTTCTCCTGTCCTTTTTTTGTTGTTGTTGCTCGCGCAACAAGCACTTTTACGACCTAGGTACTAACGCGCGTTATCGCCTACCTACACACGTGTTACTTTTTTTTTTCCTCTTTACGTTACGTTAATTAACGCCTAAATATTATGTCAACATGGTATCCTCGTAATTAATTACTTCTTTAACAACAACGCTTACTTCCTAGTTATGTTTCTGGTTTGTTACTTTCTAAGGCCTTGTTCGCATGGGTCCTGCTGTCTCTAAGGCAGTGGCTCTTAGCTCGAATCGCTCTACCAAGTCATCTCGCGTCTGTCGCTCGCAAGATTTAACTCTACGTGGACGCGTCGTTTTCGAAACCTCCCCCTCGCTTTCTCGCGTCGGACGCACGCCCCGTCTCTCTCTTCCCCTTACTCTCTCATTTTCTGAATTTAAACCCCCTGTTCCAAGCTCCGGCAGTCAGTTCCCTCCGTTCTCCGAAGACTCCAGGCCCTCGTTCAGAACGGAAATAAACCCCTACCGAAGGCGCGGACAAATTCAACAATAGCGAGGGTCTCCGCGTCGTAACGAGCCGCAGGCTTTCACGACTAGGTGGGTAAAGGGCGAAAACGGAGGCCCGACGATGACACTTAATACGACGATATTTAGAAACTGGCCACGCGATAAATCCAAATCGAGCGCGATGCAAAGGAAACGAGGCGTCCTTCCTTTTGGTTAGCGGACCGATAAAAGAAATACCGCGACGAGTAGGAAATAAATCAACAAGGGGTAGGATGAAAAGATGTATGAATACAGTTAACGATTTTCCATTCGAAATTTTCATTGGATTTTTCAAGTTCGATGACACGATCAATCACGACGCTTGGAAAGGAACCGCCGCCATGTTGGAGTACGCCAGGGCTCAGGAAGGCGCAGAGGGAGGCGAAAGCGAGACCTTTGGAGCACACCTCGTCGTTTTTGCATCACGAGAGCGAATCAACGGGTCGAACGCGGAAAAAGTCAACAGGGGAAAAAGCAACCGAGAGTCGCGCATGCATCGAGATGGGCGGACAGGCGGAATCACGAGAGCCGCG